GTAACGTAGCAACTAGACTGAAAAATATATCCTAAGCTATGGATTTAATTTATGGTTTTTAAAATCACCTTGCTGAATTTTTATTTATGTATTGCATGCCAATTTTGTCGTATCGAAGTCGTTAACTTCTACATAGTTGCATATTCTCAATTTAGAAGGCGTTTTATCCGTCGAAAAAGGGCCCTATGTTACGATCGTCACTACAAATACTAATTTAAAAATGAAACTAGATACAAAATACTATTAAAAATTCTTGGTACCTTACGAGAGCTTTGTTTTCATCGATGCCCTTAGTCCATATTATTTGAACTGCAATTTGCAAAGAGGAGCCTCTATTTCTGGATCATTACAGTGTTATAAGTTTACTTATGCTACAATGGAAGCGCCGGAAATAGTGGCCCCTTATTGGAAAACGCAGTGCATTCGGTCAATATATTTTTGACAAGGAGCCCTTTTAATTTCGGAGACAAGCTTCCTCTTGTTACTTTATTGCAAACTGAGAGTCCAATTTTAGGTGTCTATTATACTGTCCTATAGGTGAGCCAGTCTGGACCACACTCCGTTGTTTTGAAAGACGTTCAGCCGTACATGGCTGGAAAATATAGGTGTGAAGTTTCTGCAGATGCTCCACACTTCTCTACGGAGGTCGTTGCTGATTTCTTGAATATTACCCGTGAGTACACACTTCAACCTTTACATCTCTACTTAAGTAATGAGTAGTACGCACCATACTACACCGTACCGTGCTGAGAAAATTATACTCACGTCAGTCGTAAGTTGCCTGACATATTTTATCTCCATACTGAAAGACCAATCATTAATTTGAATTAAGAGTATGCTTTCCATAGAGCTCTCTTCTTTCAAAAAAAATATCACGAGCCATTTGGTAAGGTAATATTTCAAATAGAGCTGTAGGCAGCAATGATCTGAAAACGATAAACTAAAAGTCGCTCCTATTTTTCAAAATTACACTTTGTCTGATGCCAGAATATCTGTCGGCCAGTTTTTAATCACGAAACTTTCTTTGTACAGTTCCACCTACGGGAAAGGTAAAACTCCAAGTTGATAAACTTCACTATTTCGTCGGCGAAACTTTGAGGGCTGATTGTACATCTGCACCTTCCAAACCTGCCGCCAATATAACTTTCTTCTTGAACGGGAAGATGGTAAACCCATCCAAAACTGAAACACACCCGACCATTGATCGGCCGTATTACGTCACGACTGCAACACTGTCCACAGTTTTGGATAAAAGTTTCCCAAGAGCCATACATGTTCTGTGCCAAGTCAATGTTCAAGATAACTTCAAATCGAGTGCCGAACGGTTTGTCACCATCACAGAAGAGATTGATTCTTACGATGAGTTCTTTAGATCTCGTTCTGCTAATTCAGGTAAACCAAGATATGATTTTATTCAGAAATAATTTGACACTATGAAAAAAAAAACAGAAAAAATGCGTAACCCCGACCCTTCTTGCCTGGCTCCTCTAGCTTTCTTATCAAAACACAGCACTGGGGCACTTCATCATTTCTTCTCCATAATTTAGTACCCGTCAAATGAAGTTGCTTCAGTCACAGCGCTTGGAACACTACAGCAACCAACGATTTCATTTTCCCGTTTCGGTTTCACCCTCTTGCGCAAAGTAACCCTTTCAGTTAGACCGCATTTTGCAATTTGGAAACACTATTTCTTACTCTTTGTAGGAGCAACATATGTCTTATTAATTTGTCTACGCAGATGGTTGCTTTTACAGATGAGTTAGAAATTGCAGTTCCTGATTGCGAAACGTATTTCAATTTGTGGATCATATTTTGCACACTATTTACGAAGAAGCACGAAAGCTTTTATTACGGCTTGTAAATAACATGTAATTTTTCCTCTCTCTTTCTTCACAATGAGGAAACAATTGCTCCCTTCACCTCGTATGAGCCTACTTGTATTAATACAAAAAAATCTATATTTTTACTAGAGCCGGAGATTCGGCGAAAAAAATTAAATTGCTAGCCTCAATTGAATGGTAATTTGCAAAAGTAATCGTGATCAATTTTTGGCGATTATTTGAAAATAGTGTAACCACACTTATAGAGAGCCTCTTCATAAATATACAGTCATGTACTCAAAGTTCAGTGTGTGTGTTTGGGGAGGCTCCTCAGGAGTGTTGTCATGCCGGTACGTAACTTAACACTGTCAAAAATTCATTACGGTCGTTTTTGAAGACCATCATTCAATCGAAGTGCTGGACGTCAGCTTGGCATGCTCTCTGTGCCATTGCACATCTCAATACTGGGCAGCTAGACGCATTTAAATTGAAAGAAACTATATCCCATCTCACATGAGCCCAGAAAACCATAAGAATACAGGGCTCAAATCACAATGGATATAGGTTCTTTCAATTTAAAGGCGCCCAAATAATTTTCTAGGTTTTTATTTGCTCATCAATTCGTCATTAATTTATTTGTTTCTTTCCCCCAGGAACGCACCCCATTGGAGGATTGATAATTTTGCTCCAAATTGCTGCATTCCATTGGCTAATGTATTCGGCACTGGTACCTCTGAGATGACATTGATGGCAACCTAATCGGAAACCGATGGAATTTTCCGTCAGAATGCCTTGATTGTTATTAAATTAATTTTCTTGTTGTAGATGATTTAAGTACTACAGGGACTTAGAATTGGTACCAAACAGAATAGGCTTTTAATACGAGCAATCGTGATTTTACGTGTCAGCGTTCATCGTGCTACTTTCGGGGCCAGTGTGTTGTCTTCCTAGGGCTCTTTCTTGTTATTGCAACTATTGTATAAAGTCATAGATTATTTGTCACTCGCTCTATCTAAATTAGATATTTGCCATTTTTCTAAGATTGGAAGCTGAAAACTAGGAGTCTAAGATTCTCTGATGATGTGAAAAATATCCTCAAGACGCATCATCGGGTGTCCTTCTGACATTTTAAAAGTATCTGCATAAAGTTACAACACGCCGCATCTCTCTAAAGAAAAAATTTCCTGGGCCAAGCTCTTTTCTTATCTAAGTATTATGAATATTATTCATTTCGTATCGAATCCAACGTACAAAGACAAACACGTCAACTCTTTATCCAACTGCCAAGTAAATTAAGTACTCTGTCGTCAAATCATATAAGTACATGTTTTTGTTATTTTTTTATTTATTTCCTTATACCTGTGAATATGTACATACAAATAAATAGACTACGATTTTATTCAATTTTTACATTTCATCGTGAGAAAATTTTTAGAAAGAATTCACATTTCCATAGAATTTCTAATCATCAACATTTCCTTTCTCCTCACTCTCTCCTCATCTTTTATTAAGTCTCACGTACCTATTTAACTATTGGCCTTCGATATATGTGCTCAGATTAATGAAAACTATGAAAAGTTGCGCTGGAAAATAATTCAAAGGTAATGGCCATTGCGTTGTAGAAAGTTGGTATAAGCGATGTGATTGGTGAAACTGACTCTATGGAAGGAACAAATGTGCAGCAAGGGGATTTCGGAGTTGTTTTGACGCGAAATCTACTTATAGATAAACACGTTAAAATAAGTGGAGGCCGATTTTTTGTTTAATTTTAGGTAACTAAAAATTCTGGAATTCCGTAAAGACTGATAAGCTCGATGGCAAAATTTCTAAAAAAAAAAAAAAAAAAAAAAAAAAAAGGAACTAAGTAACCGCAACTAAAAGGGCCAGTCTCACTCCAACATTTCTAACAGCGCAATTAATTTTGAGCTCATAACCATCTGGCGTGGATTAGAGAGGATGTCAACTAAAAGGTGATAAAAGCGTTCAATTGGATTTCAACATGCAGTTTACCTCCGAGTCTGGCCTCGACTTTATTTACACAAAAAATATTGTTCGGAAAAATTTAGTGGTAGCATTTGAAAGGAATCTCAATGTCCCTCGGTGACGGTGTCGATCTCGTGCTGGAGTTTGGACAGGTCAGCTGAGATGTCGAAGTTCATGTCCTGAACCCCGAGTCCAGCGTGTTTCTTGAAGACCTCTATGTCCTCGGAGAAATGTTTGGACTGTTCCCTTGCCGCCTCGATCGTCGCCTTGAGGTCGCGAGTTTTCAGAGCCACTTCTTCATCTGTCCGCTCCGCTGCATTATTTTCCACCGACTTCACCTCAGATTCCTCCACATTCTGTTTAGTCCCAGCTTTCGTCACCTCCTTCAGCTCAGCCATTTCCTCTCTCTTCGTAGTCTCCTCCAAAGCCTTATTGCTCTCAATCCTCGGGTTCATCTCCTTCTCCGCAACCGCCGCCACATTCCCATTATCATCCACATTCCAGTCCAGATTCTCATTGCCCAGATCCACCTTTCCACATGTTTCCATGTCGCTCAAGTCAGGCGCGAAGACTTCGTCATTGAGGGCAGGTGCGCCACAGTACCCCTGAAACCAAATCAACTCTGAGTTGACGATGACGTGGACTCTTTTATACGCACAATACGCCCATCCACAGCCTTATATCAGCAATGGTGCTGAGAGCCTTGCTATTTTTGAAAGCATAAGTGGATCCAAGGGGGGGGGGAGCGTAAGGAGCCCACGTCCCCCACCCTCGGTTTGTCCGAAATAAAGGAGGAGAAATAAGAGAAGGAAGAAAGAAGGAAAGGTACGCGGAGGAAAGAAGAAGAGAAGACGCTTACATTTGGTACTTATTCATGCCGAAATTGACGCAGACTGCTTATTGGATGCTCCAAAAATTCAAAAATATTCTGAGGGAGGCCCCTGGACTGGACTCCCCCTGTCGCTCTCTCCGGTTGAGGTGTCTGGGTCCGCCTATGTTTGAGGAAGAAGGAGGCTGAGGGCTCCATACTTATCAATATTTACCCCATTTGTCAATTTATCTATTAATCAATGACAGTTTTCTCAGAATTTGCTTCGTGCGGAGGAAAAATCCCGGAAGTTTTTATGAATTGACTCAGAATAGTTCCTAAAAAAATTAAAGTATGATGAGAAGTCTGCAACGTCGCAAAGCGAGATGCATGGTTTGGGAGTTTCACCATATAAATTCAACCAGAAAATGTATGGAAGATGAGTGAGAAACGATATGTTAAAATAGTGCTGAGTCCACACTACGTCACGTGGAAAACAAAACTGAGAAAACTATAGATTAGAATTTCAGATTCAAAAGAGAAATCTAATACGTTGCTGCGTCTGCTACTCCACCATACTATTACTTACACTAGTTGGATCGCGTATTTCCTTACATAGGTAAATTTGCATTTATGACTCCCTTCCGGTGTAAATGTTTCTCTTCCCTCGCAGAACGATACGATGGAACGACAACACTATTCAAAATAGTTATCTATATTATACAGCTACAAGCAAAATCTTGGAAGCACTATTTCTGACGAACTGCCGGACCGATAAGGATGATCTTTACATGTTTGTCATCTGTAGTAGATGTAGATGTGCAAAAAATTATGAAACCCCGAACTTTTAATGTTTTAGAGCTTTTAAAGCTCATGTCACTAAAGTCCAATGTTGATAGCGTGAGAGATATGTCGTTTCCGCTAGAAATGTCAAGGTGTGGGATTCTACCTGAGTGACTCGAATAAACAATAAAACAATGGAAAAGCTCGTGAAGGGCTCCTCATTCGAAGAGTGGAGGAACGGTGCATCGCTCAGGGTGCAAGGCTCAAAGTTCAAGGTATAAGGTTTAACTCAATTTTTCCTGCATTCCTCCGGCTTCGATTTGTGGCATTGGTCAATTTACTTGATTGCTGAATTTTTATTAATATTTAGAGCAGATAAACAGCAGATACAAAGTGAGAACTTAATTGAGAAGGCAGGCCCTGCGTCGCGTCGGGACAGACCAAATATTTTTAACTCTTAACGGTCGAAATTCGATTTTTTTTTAAATTAAGTATTTAAAAATAACATAATAAATGGAAATTTCTCCAGTAAGTGGACTGTGAAACTATGTACATCCAGCTATTCCTCATCATTTACAAATCTGAGTGTTACGTCAAAAATTTTGAAATCGATGCAGCTCGATCACAAAATGGTGTATTAAAATGGAAGAACATGTTTGCCTATACATATGCGTATAGGGCCCGCGAAGCGGGCCTGAGGCTGAGGGCGCGAGGCGTCCTCCTGGGGGTTGGGCCGCGTAGCGGTCAGGGGGCAGGGCCCCCTAGTTATTATTATAAAGCGATAAAATTTTACAAATGAGAAATTGGGAAGTGCCTAAAGAAACCCTTTATTAAATATGCATGATCACGGACATACTCAAATGCATAGGTTACACGACTTTCGTTATCGGCTTCGTTTCGGCGACAGTTAAATAACGTGTGAAGGAAGAACGCAGCAACCTTTTCTTCTCGCAATTAAAAACTTGTTGATTTCAAATTTTAAAAAAATAGTTAATTTTACCTGGATAACTGCGGCAAAACACAAAATTTTCAGTGAAGCGGAGATCATTGTTGAGCTTCTGCAACGACTGCTCATTGCGTAGCAATGAAACGACAATTTATATGATTCACACGCATTCTCACATTCTCCTGAATTCGTTGACGCAATGGCTTTTCCACACTGACAAATCGAACAAGAGGAGACAATTTTCAAGGAATGCTTACGCTCTGAGGTTATTTTCCACTTTCCAGCCGTCAAAAAAGGTTAAAAAAAATGGGGAAAATGCGATGATCCGAAGAGGATTATAACGACACGCAAGCCTTCTCGTGCCTGTGTGTCTGCACAAAACCCTCCTCGGATATTTTTTACCACGTAAAACGTGGTACTATGCCAGTGGCGTGGCGTGCTCGGCGATATATCGATTGTTATGCCATTTAAATCTATGGTATAGAATCGATTATTAAGGTGTTCGCAGAGTGTTCGCAGCGAACACCTTAATAATCGATTCTTTACCGCAGATTTAAATGGCATAACAATCGATATATCGCAATTCATGCCACGCCACTGTACTATACAGTTATTTTCCTGCCATTGACATTTCTAGATTCGCAGAAATCGCTAGGTTTCGCTAGAGGCCTGCTAAAGGGATTTTTACCTTTCATCACTCACAAAATAGAATTAATTTGCGTGGGGCCAGGAGGATCTATTTTTAAAAAGATTTTTTTACTAAGTAAAAATTTTCATTTAACCATTGAAATAAATCGCAATTGTCACAATCGTTCGGCTGAGCCCCATTGGTGAGCGCTTTGCCATGCCGTGGACCGGAGAGCAACCAAAAGTTAACACGGACCTGTTTTCCACCCCATCACAGCGTCGCCTCCTTCAGAGAGTGCATGAGCATCACGAACGAATACAGGTTCTGCATGAACTGGAAAAAGCCGAATTTTCAATCAGTACGAATGATTTTAGCATACAATCAACCAAGGGCGGATTACCCATCGGCGCACAGTGGATCGAGTCAATTTGAGAGGTCGGACATACAGAATTTTTGACTAAAACTGCAAATTTTTATGTTTATTTCGTCACATTTTAATTTTTGAGGATACTTTAAAAGTAAATTTCCCGAGAAAATCAATGATAACACTTGTAGAACCTAAAAGTTTTGTATGTACAGAGTTATAAGCTTTCAAAGTTTCCGAATTATGCCCGACCTCTCCTATTGACTCGATCCACAGTGCGGCGTGTCATGCCTTGCGATGAATCGATTGCGATCTAAGGAAAAGGATCAATTATCAGAGTGTTCGCAACGATTACCTATAAATAATCGATTCTTTACCATAGCTTCAAACAAGAAAATATCGATAGCTGATAATACGTTTCTGAATTACAACACACAACAAGCCTGAAAATCGTCTTCGGACCTTTTTTTTCACCGTGAACACTGAAAAGAATACCATGTCCAAGAATACGAAGGTCCAGGTCATATTTGATTTATAAGGATCCAAGCCATCCACAAGCGCTTGAATTGGCAAGAGAACTAGAGTCTTGATACCATTGTCTTGTCGATAAGACAAGATTATTTTTCCATAACAAAATATAGTTATATGGGAGTCTTGTGGGGAACAAATGGCAAGGATTCTTATAAGTTGTAACATGTGAGTTTTTTTTAGACTTCTTTAACAAGACTCCTTTAAACGCTTATGGAGGCAGAATGTGTTTAAAATGCTTTGTTCTAACATTTAAAGAAGTAGCACAACACTTAAGAGGGTGATCGAGTTCGTGAGATCGTCCATTGCATTCATTACACACTGATTAACAATTTTCTTGTTTTTAGTTTTGCCATAAGTATGGTAACAAACTCTAGGGGTGCTGATTCCAAAAATGACGTCCGTTAGTCTGAGTCGCTTCGGTTTTCCCCGGAAAAGTCGGAACTTTTCCGAATATCGAGCTCTCTATAAGAATATTACATTTTCCGGGAACTCTGTGCATGATAGAGAAAGCCAAAATCATTTTCGCAGACAGCAGAGGAAAGTAAATTAATGATCATAGGTGGCATGCTTATTAGATTTTTCCCTCTGTTCTGCCATCAAAAGTTGTATGAGACCATCAAAGTCGGGTCGCCTTGCTATAGGAATCAATCCTGGGGTCTCTTGCTCATTTAGCCAGCGCTACGACCAGAACGCCAGAGGAAATCAACATTTAAAACTTGATATAAACAGCTTACTAGGTTCCTCATTGATGAAAAAAATTAACTATACCAACAAACCATCCAGTAAACGCAATAAAAACATCAAAATTACGCTTTTGAAATGCATAGAAATTAATAATTATATACTATTTAAACATACCGAAACAAAATTAAACAGCGTCAACTCGCGAAGCCTACCAGCCTCAAAGACTACAGGTTTCTGAGATCGCATCAGCAAGAATAGGAGGACATTGAATCGAATTTCAGATCCCTCTTTCAGAAGGTCCAAATGTTCTTGGTAGAGAACATTTGCGGTTTCCTCGCACTGAAAGTAATTTACAACAAAATGAAAAGCAATCAAGTACACCTTTGTAACGATCAGCATTAAATTTACGGGATAACAAATAGATAATACGACGATTATCTAAAAAAAACCAGAAATTTCTGAAAATAATCATCGTATCATCTAACGTTACCCTGTAAAAATGCAATTCGCTTAGTTTTAGTATTAAACCATGTAGATAGATACAAGGGAATACTTGTAGTAGTTACGTTATATTTAAATAAAATTCGTTAAAAAAAAAAAAAAAAACTTTGTATCGATAAAATATGTTTTTAATACACCTATCCCCTTCGTCAAAAGGGTAATTTCTGTGGTGTAGCATGAAAACCTCGATTCATATTGCAATTCAAAATACTATACGTCAAAGAATCGGTGCTTAGTAAATTTTCTTGAAACAAAGAAAAGATAATCGTATTTTCCCCCTTTAAAATGATTTAAAAGTCCAAACAAGAGCAATCCGAAGAATTGGACATGGTGTAAATTCGCAGTTTAAAGGTTTAAACTAAGTATAGCTCTTTTAGCGTTTGCATCATTTTTCAGTGATAAAGCAGGGGAATCGCGACGATTTGAACTTTCTACGCAGGAGGTAAAGAGCTTACACCAACTCTCGCATCATTCAGTCGGGCGTTTTTGCATGAAGACTTCTCAGAAAGGTACATACACCATGCGATGGTTGCCACACTATACCGGTTTAGGTATCAGAACTTTCAACATATTATGCTAGAACTATTGACTAATTTCAATAACCGTTGGAGTAAAGACGATCTCCTATGCAGGGATCATCGTAATTATCACAATGATCATGGGGGCACAGGCCCTTTTAACTGGCCACCAGATGCGGATCATACATGATATTTTCCGTGTAAAACTAAAAAGCGTAAGAAATTGAAATGCAGAAAACTTACGGCAACAGTGACTCTGGAAGCCATGAAAAAAAATGCGAATATGTGGACGACTGGAATAATCATTAACGTCACGCCATACGCATAACGCTCTGGGTCCTAAAAAATGGGTAAAAGAGGTTGTGTCATAGTGTCAACTACGATTTCTTACTGGTGTGAAAAAATCCGGAGCCACGTATCTCGGTTTGCGATGTTGCGACTTCTTGTCGTTCTTTATCTTCTGAATGAAAAACCACGCATCGGTAATTTTTAAAAACTGCCGTGATTTTTCTTCTCTGTGCAAAGAAAATTCAGCGAAAACGTCAAGAAATTACGTTAATTCGTTCTCCTTTAAAAAAATCGATAGAAGCGGAAATTCTCAAACACCGCAAACAAGATACATAATTACGGACGTACACCGCGGAAATCAAGATTTCAACATTATATTTAAAAGTAAGTAATCATGAGATTAATTCATAGCTTTTTAAAAAGTTGGAATTAAAACTGGGTCTTTCAAGGAGACTTTGAAGTTTATTGAAATAATATCTATCTATTCTTCGCCATCCTCGTGCTGAGTTGAGATATCACGGTGAAATTTACAATATCCTGTATCGTACTTGATCTGCACTCTAAAATTACATTTCCCTCATATCCAATTAGGTTCCTTTGTTGACTCATATAACATGCTCCAATGGAGATGTTGCATGTGTGGGGGATTTGCGATTTAACTGCTGTCTCTTATGTAAAAGTTTACGAGAAACACGATGGTGCCACTGGTTTTCTCTGAAATCATCTCCCAAGCTCAAAAGAAGCTCTCAAAGTGAGGCCAAAATGGAGGGGATATCCCACCCTACCCTGAGAGTCCACCTCTACATCAAGACAAACTCTCCATGCAAAGATAGGGAGCAAATACATCATAGCCGTGTTTTCAGTTTTGGAGTCCCCAAATAAAGTGGCAGCCCTGTCAATGTATTTGCTCCCTATCTTTGCATGGAGAGTTTGTTTTAATGTAGAGGTGGACTCTCAGGGTAGGGTGGGATATCCCCTCCATTTTGGCCTCACTTTGAGAGCTTTTTTTGAGCTAAGGAGATGATTTCAGAGAAAACTAGTGGCACCATCGTGTTTCTTGCGAACTTTTACACAAGAATCAATGGTCAAATCGCAAATCCCTCACACATGCAACATCTCCATTAAGACCTCGGAAATGATTTGATACGTGTAAGGAGCAATTACATTTACCAGGACTCACTTAACCCTTAAATACCCAAGCCAGGTCAAATTGATCCGAGGCTTGGTGAAAATATGTGACCCGTGGGGTGTATGATGTCGGCAAAAACGAGCTTTAGATACAGGTCCTCAAATACATCGTAAAAAGAGAATAATCAGACATGAACTTAATAAAATAGGAAAAAATCTAGAGTCACTACAGCTGGAGATAGGAGAGACGCAATCAGGTCTCGTTTCTTAACTTGTCTACCAAATCTGAGCGACGGCACCTCATCAGCAGCATGATGCAGAGCGTTGCGAGTTCACGCCTCACGCCATCGCGCCTTCAATTTTGCAGATGCAACGACGACATCAATCAAGCACGAATAGTTGTATTTTTACGCCGTCTTACCACAGGTCCTTTCTATTGCTCTTTTTCCGTGTTGTATTGGTTCTGTTTGTCTTTTTATTGTGGTGATGCTTCATGAGCCACGTGAGAAACACAGCAAAATATTTTAGAGACGAGATCGGGCCTTGATTTTGAACTCTTTTCCCGAATCTGAACGATACCTCATTGAAAGCATAGAGCGGAGCATTTCGAGTTCAAGTCTCACGTGTTATCGCGCCTTCAGTTTTGCAGATGCAACATGAACATCCATCAAGCACGAATATTTGAGGAATGTGAAGGTTATGTTTGCTCAGATTATGCTATGATGTGTCCAAATCAATAATCATTTTGAAAAAAAGGGGGGAAAAGTAAAAACATATTTAGGGGTTCGAAAGAGTCGTGAAGGGCATACGTCTAAAAATTAGTATTTTGCCGAGAGTTATTGGATTTTTTGACGAGTATCCCTAGAAATCCCAAGCTGACTATCTCTTCTGGGGGAGTTACACATGGCAGATATGTAGGAGAGGAGTGAGAAAGAGTCGCTTTGCCTTGACTTGGATTTTTGCGTATAAAAAAGTTTTGAGCATTTAAGAGTTCATAGAGGCTTATATGTGACTGGGCAACTGCGGTGTCTATAAACTTACGTTTATAAATATGTAAGAAGTGAAGGTAACAGCTATTATGGCTCCAATATACATGGCCAATATGGACTCGCGTATAAATTCTTTCAAGTCCTCCGCCATTCTAAAAAAGAAAATTCAAAATACTTATTTAAAGAAATAAAAGTGAGCAGATGTTCTACTGGTTTCAATTTTCTGCTAAGAGACATTTTCAGGAATTTTTCGAACTTGAGACTATTTAATTTATCATGATTTCTTTGTTATATTATCTTATTACTTATCAAAATGTGATTTAAAACGTTTACTTTACGGTTCAAGGATTCCTCCTTCTCCTGCTAACTGTACAGCAAAATTCGAAAATCGTGGGTTTTTTATTACCCTAGCCGCCGCTCCTCTTTAAACTTTTAAAAAACTTGGCCCACCTTCAAAAATGTATTTGATGTTGCGAAATTTTTTCACAGCACCATGTCTATCAGCTTTAAAAATTATTTCTCGTAATAATTATATTTTTTTTTTCGTAAGAATAGTTCGTCATTGGACGCATCTCTGTCAAACGGAACTATATGCATCATGACGTGAGCCTCGGTATGCATGTATCCTTATGGGTCTCAGAGCTCATGTCTTAATGCACATAGTTCCGTTTGATAGAAATACGTCCAATTGCTCCTGAGACGTTTCGCTTCTCAATGTTTTTCCATGGGAGGGCTGCTTTCACTATTCCTCAGGTGAGACGCCCTCGTGTGCCTATAGATTTTCCCACACAAGGCGCTCCTCCTCTCCTCTGTGCTCCACCCCTCTTCAAAAAAATTCATAGCTGAGCCCATGTTTTTGAGCTCCGAATATTTCATGTTAAATGCTCGAGCATTAATAGGACGTATTTCTATCAAACGGAACTATGCGCATTAAAGCATGGGTCCTGAGGCCCATAAGAATATATCGACGGTGAAACTACCAAACCACGTATCTCGGTTTGCGACGTCGCAGACTTCCTGTCATACTTTATTTTTTAAATGAAAAGCTACTTATCGTCCAGTCTTGAACATTTCTGTGATTTTTCCTCTTCGTGCGGAGAAAATTCTGTGAAAATTTCAAGGAATGATATTGATTTGGTCTACTTCAAAAAAATAAAATGTGAGCGGAGATTTTTAAACACCGCAAACGAGATACGTGGTTTGGTAGTTTCACCGTCGATATGCATTACAGGGCTCACGTCACAATAGTTCCGTTTGATAGAAATACGCCCAATAGCTGCTGCTGCTCCACATGCAATTCACATAATACAATTTTTTATATGCTAAGTACCTGTACAATGATTGATGTTCACTGATGCTAAGGACAATGCGCGCTACATTCCATTTTCGAATGATTTCGTCTTTGCGGACAACATTTCCTCTCGGCCGCGGATTCAACTCCTGTACGCGAAATCGCTCATAAAATGTACCGTTCAATATAAATGAAGCCTCCAATTTGCAAAATAGGCAAAGGTACATGCTGGATATAATTGCTAACAATATACAGTAGTACCCTATGCAAGCGCACATTATAAAGTAAACATATGCTCGAAGGTACGGAGCTGACTCAAAAGGAAAATAAATTCTTAGTGGAAAAGCAATGTATTTTTGACTTTTGAGGGGGAAAAAATAGTAGACGATGATTGGATACGTCGTGTAGAAGTTGAAGACGCTGAATGAACCAATTACCAAGACCCAGAACATGAATTTCATCATCCTCTCGCACATTTTGATAGTTTTGATTCCGCTTGGATACCGGACTTTTTTCTTGTACTTGAGCCACTGCTCTGCCATTTCGTGACACACGAGCGTTATTCTCTCTTCGCGACGAGTGTAGAAAAATGTGATGATCATGACGGTAATAAAACTGGCGATGTTCCCTATGCGCGAAAAGAAGTCCGTGAGGGAGCTGGTACCCACGATCATTGCCATCAGGAGGAGAGCGGCATTCGTGTGGAAGAAAACACAAACGGCTATACCAATTCTGCGAAGGACAGGTCGTTTCACGTCTCTAAAAACTCCGGTGAGAACTCGGAACTGTCTACATCGTTTGATCAGAAATGTATTCTCAACATCCTTTCTTCTGACAGGGAGGCTCCCTAGCATTGTCTCGTGATTCACCAAGCGGGTAGCTTTCCTCTACCTGGAAAATAGAACCTCTCGATTGTGATACATCTTGTCTTCAAAAAGTGCAAATTGATAGATTCTAATAACTGGAAAAAAAAAATTTAATGATGCGAATTTCCCTCGCATGTTTGAAATTTTAAAAATAGATATCCTCGAAGCTGTACACTGAAAAAGTTTTCTTCGAATCAAGTAGACGTCGTTTCATGAAACACGGCTACAATGAGACGATTTAATTCGTTTAAGAAGGTATCGGATAGAAACAACTTAAAGCGTTACTGGCAGTTGATTCAATCCGGCCTCTTTTAAATCAAGTAAACTGTATCTTCAAAGCCGTGTTTAATTCAACGTCTTCTCAATATTCAAAAGGAGCTTATTTTTAGTGTAATTGAGCTTCCACAATATCTTGTACAGAAAGGAGAAGGGCAATGAAGTATGGTCTTTGGTAATTTTCTTAAAATTCCTATTATCGCATACCTAATGCCATGTCATCATTCCTCAATACTATCGATCAAACGAAAATCAAACTTCTATTTTAGGTATATCTGAAGAGTAGGCTCACTCTTAGTTTCAATTCTATATAAACATTAAAATCGAACAAGTACGACTCTCAGGAGGTCAAAGTTCCTGGAGCGCGTGTGCCACTATAGATAATACTTTTACCTTCACATTCAGGTCTGCAACAAGTGTGATTTTGTGATTTTTGGAGACAGAGACAGCATAACCTATTGAAAGATCAAGTTCTATATGCAATACTGGTACTCACCAGATTGGACTTAAATGTTCCCAGATCCAACAAAACTATATTTTTTACCTGTAGAGCACTTTGAATCGTGGAGATGATGCCTCCTTGCCTGGACTGGAATATAGGGAATATCAGGACGTAGTGACATGTGGGCAACTATGAGGAAATGTTGCCCGTTGACAATGACCTCTAGCCTTGCAAAAAACGCCTTCACCTTGTATTTTCCTTGAGGTTGCATTCATGACAGAACGTCTTCACTTATTTGCAAAATGACGGAGTGTATTTGCACAGAGAGGCGTACTTGTAAAACTTTTTCAATTGGCGAGGTTTCAGTTCTAGATCACGAACTCCACATTCTTTGCGCAAACTGCACTGCAGCCTAGAACTGCATGTATAGTATGATCATGCGACAGCTTACCTTTTCCATAGTCTGAATTTGACGTAATAAGCATAAGAAGCCGAGTTTTTGAATGATGCTTCCTTATCAATGCAGATATAGGTATAGTTCCTTTAAGAGGAAAGGAAGTGATGTTGACAAAGGCCGACATTTCGCAGCAAAAAGGCTACAGACGGCTGTAGAAGGTTGGTGCAAAAATGTGTGCCCATTAGGTGCATACAACTTAATTAACAATTGGAACATTGAGTCAACCAATGATCACTTTATATTGTAGAAAAATTAAAACTGTAAAGCCCCAGCCCCATGGGTGTAACTAGGGGCGTCCCGACAAGAGCTGTTAGTTCCCCTTTGCAAAAGCTAGTGGCCCTCCCTGAAAAGTTACGATCTTAGATAGCCGCTCCATACCAATGGGTCCAACCCATGGGTCCTCGCCCCCAATATATGTTTCTAATTACGCACATGCCCCGCCCCTCATCGAAAGCATTACACGAAGGAGGGGGGGGGGTGTTACGACTGGACGTACGAACCGTGGATTTTGATTATCGTAATGATGAAAACGGTGATGTTATCATGTTCACCGTAATGATACTGTGGGCACAAAAAACTAATATGAGCATGGTTAGTTATATGCTATTAATCTCATCAATATCTTACCAAAATCCACGCTTCTACAACCGCGGAATCCCGCATAACATTACTATCGTGGTAACTTTCGAATATCTATGGCTTTTTTTTCTTCGTGTACGACGACTGTGAAACTTACAGACCACGCATCTCATTTACGGTGCTTAAAAAAATTCTACACTATTTTAATTTTTCAAAGTAGAAAAAATCGGCATGATTCCTTTGAGTTTATTCAAAATTTGCTTCGCACATGCAAGGAAGGAAATCCACGGAAGTTTTTAAGAATACTGTATCTGTGGAGAACTTTAGTTCTGCAAATGAAAAATAAAACATGACATGGAAGTCTGCAACGTCGCAAACCGAGGTACGTGGTTTGGAAGTTTCACTGTTGATAAGTAAGTCGCCGATTCTCTTTCTTTACACCCGGTGCCTACGTCATTCGGTCAAGGTTGGGGATTGCACAGCACTTACAAAATTTATGGGTGTACTCATAATCATAATGGACCACTAGACAAGGTACGAATTTCAGCATTCTGATACATGTTTCTCAACCAAAATTTCACGTAGAACACGATACGCACAACGAAAATTACCAAAATCAACTCCTGAAGATATTTAATGATTCTTGATGCGTGAATTCAAACCACCCGCTCATGAAAACTCAATGCTCTACGTAATTCACATCGCGCGCTAAATGTTCATCATGACAGTCTCTGCGATGTAAAAATCTTCAACTTCAATCTTGACACTTTGGCTCAGCTATAGCAAATTACCAATAGTTTGAACAACACATGGTGGAAAATGAACATTGCTCGATTGAGAAGCTTGCTGAAACCGTTGTAGTGCGCGATTTGACTCACGTAGAGCTTTGAGTTTCTTGTGAGCGGACAGTTCAAATTCCTCGTAATCAGTGCGAAATAAAAACGTTAATATCTTCGTTAGGAGTTGATTTCGGTAATTTTCGTAGTGTGAATCGTGTTCTACGTGAAATTCTGGTTAAGAAATATGTATCAGATTGCTTAAATTCGTACCTTGTCTAGTGGTCCATTCTGAAGATTGCCAGAGGATACTTTTTATCGAAATAATTCATTTTGCGAAATTTTGTACACCAAACATCAATTAAGCTTTCGCGGAAAATTCTTTATGTGCCTCGAGGATGTTATCCCATAGTGATGTTATTTCATTTGGACGTATTTCTGTCAAACGGAACTAAGCGCCACGGGGTTAGGAAGATAGAGGGGGGCTTGGATTGGCGGCGCAACTGGGCGTCGGGCTCATTCCGTCCTATGCTCGCAATGCTTTTCCATGGCGCTTAGTTCCGTTAGACAGAACGCGCTATCCGGCAGTCTAAATTCCTCAAAAGGAACTCAAATTGGCGTTTAGTTCCGTTTGACAGAAATACGTCCATTTATAATACCAGTGGTGAAATACCATTGAGGTTATCGATTTTTAGTCTCTCCGGAACATCTATGGCGACAAGAGACGGCTAGAATTTTTTTCAGAAACTCGAGGTAAAGATACGCATATTTTACTATATCATACTGTAATGTTGAACACTTCATCATTGTATTTAGATTTGGAAAACTTGTTCAAAAGGCTTCCAACTTATTTTAGCCTCTCCTGTTTGGCTTTATAAAAATACTCTTCCCTAAAAACCTTTGTTATGAGATGCAGATATATTCATCACAAATTTTGCTTTCTCATTCAAGAAACTTAAGACTATTGAATGCATGGTTAAGATGAGGATGCATCTGTATAGTCTAGTCGTGCGACCCGCAGGCAGTAAACCCTTTTCTGTCAACAGTCTGAGAGGTTGCTGTCATTTAATGCCCCACTTCAAAATAGACACATTTTTACTGATTAACTGAAACTTTTCTTCCGGATCTCAAAACTCGCTGTCGGATGAGCGGAGCTAGGGCGATCTGCCGCAGCAGGTTCTGGAGGTTGCAAAAATTTCGAAGAGAAGTCTCAGCCTAAAATAAGGCAAAACAATTTTCCAATCGAATAAAATCCGATCGAAGAACCGTTGTTTTTAAAAAGTACACGAAAATAATTTATTTGCTGATTTAACAATTCAATTGCGAAAAAAAAGTGGCTGCAATGTTTCAATGTAGATTTTACAACAACAAAATGCTACTTTAACGGCTTCCGTGATTAAATTAGCTTACAAGAGTGGTTAAAGTAGCATTTTTTGTGTGAAATCTACGTTGAAATATTGCAGTGACTTTTTTAGCAATTGAATTGTTAAATCAGCAATTTAATTTTTTCCGCGACCGGAAATATTCAACATTTCCGGTTGCATCGACTGATTGCCAGGACAACTTTTTGACTGAGCGCAAAACTATACCCTAGTATACTTCACGAAGCGAATGCAGGAGACTTATCATGACGATGAAGTGCGTAATCTGTGAAAAACGAAAAAGCAAGGAAAATACAATTACTTCTGTTTCAAGTGCCGTGCCCTTTAATTTGACCCTTTATGCTCCAATTATACAAAACGGAATCGAGGCACGCTTCTCGCAGATTTTTCCATTCGCAGGGAACATGGTCACTGAAATCAAAGAGACTACATGCTATGTAATTAGATAAATCCACAATATAAAAACCTCCATTCTGAATGGAAGAGAGAGCAAAGAAAGCAATCTCTCCTAATAAAATTAGAGCCCTGTTGAAATCGAGGATGGGAATCTAGATCGGAATAGGATATAGCATCGATCTTATCAAAGTTCTGTATTCTTCCTTTTGTTTATCGAATAGTCAAAATACGGGCAATTAAACGGTCATTTCCTTGGAAAACTAATGTAGCAGACTGCAATTAGCTCGTGCGTTCAACACATCAAGAATACTCCCACCTATGATTATCAACACACTTTCTTTCGAATACAGCACGACCATGATCGATTCATAAAGGAAATGTTGTCTTTTTTTATAACAGATGAAACAATGCAACGTTTACTTTATCAATGCTTTTGGGTTTCCTGATACATTAAAATGTTTCAATATTTTAGTGTAATTCAGAAAAAATATTCCTACTTCTCTCCTGATTTGCCCTGATGTTTCGAACATGTACGGGTTTGAGTTAATTTATACGATTGAATTTATTGATTTTTTTATTCTCTCAATACAAATATTGATTTTATAAAAATCTTAATTCAAATTTATTGTATAGTAAAAATTGTACTTATTGAGATCAACACACTTGTGTATATATTTGGCGAGAAAAGAGTATACCCCGAAGGATCAACAATTCCTTTTGGACGTACGCGTATCACAATCTTTGGTTGAGTCATTGACGCACCTTCGCACTTAAAAAGTAATTTTTTCATTATCACTGGTAAAAATACGTGCTTTTACTTTTTAACCGAGAGGGAATCCTCGCATCTCATGTTTCTGGAAAGCCTCCGGAGAGATTCCACAAGTAGAATCCCTTTCTTTTAAAAGATACCAGAGGTTTGAAATTTTGAGGTCTTAATTTAATCTTAGTGTTCTGGATCTTCTAACAGGAAATCACGCAATAGTTCAACACCTTCTTTAAATAGATGGATTCTTTTCTTCGCACGTGGAATCCATTTCTTCTATAGATCGATGCATTCACGCAGTATTATTAAGATTTTTGGTTTACCGAATAAAGCAGCGTCATAAAAGAATATACGTTCTGGAGGTACTGGAAACAAAAATAAACGAGACATTTTTTAAGAAGAAAAAAAACGATAGTAATTCCTAAGAAAAAAATCAACATTTTATAGGCAGAAGTTTGCGTACACAATCATTTTTCTTTGAACGTTTATGTAAATCCCAAAGCATACAAGTGGAGCATGAGGAGAGTATTTTTGAGAGGAAATAATGTACCTCCCTCAGTGTTCCTTTCAAAATTTGTAATATCAATTAAAATTGATCGAACCTCTTAAACGACGGTATTGTACGTATTAATTAAAGCATGGATTCAATCGTGTTTCGATAGGTGAAATACTCTGAAATAAATCAATATTAAATTTACCGAAACATAATTTTCCAGAGTCAGTTTACGGATTCGCCCCGCTTCAAAAATCACCGGCTTTTGAGATCGCATCAAAATGAACATGAACACCTTCGAATCGACACCGGACCCATTTCTAACAAGTTTCATGTGCTCAGAATAAAGAATGTCTGCAGTTGATTCACACTGTAAGAAACAAAATGGAGAGTCTTATTCACTTTCGATAGTCTCAGGGTCTGATAAATATGACTTTTTTTTTTCTTCTTAAACAATTACATAATATGTTATAACCACAGCACGTCTGTATGTTTGTGTTACACCCCATTGGGGAAACTACCCAGTCCGGAGACTGTGCAACTTTTTTGTAGACAGCGGGCTATTGTTGAAATTGATAGACATAGCTATAGACAAAGAAGACAAAAAGAATATGTAGGAACCTATTGGTGGAAGCGGCCGGTTGCAATGGACAAAGGAGTTATAGATAATGAACTGACTATCGGCAACCCACGAGAGACCCTATAGTCAGACCATCATTTACCCCCTTAGTCTATAAGAACCGCACGCAAATTAACCAAAAAGATCGCTTCATACTAACTAGGTATGTCCTCTTTGTCTAAAGCTTCGTCTATCAATTTCAACAATCAGTCCACAGGTCACCACCGTTACCCAGTCCGGGCGCTGGATAACGATTTTGTCCAAATCGTGAACTGGCCAGCCAGTCCACGGACTGACTCAAAAGTTTGATTTTTTTTTAATATTTTTATTTACTAGGCAATTTTTTGTACATAATAATGTAGCGCTATAACTGGACAACGAAAATAGATGCCTTTAGACCCGTTCTACACTTCAAAAGTTGAATTCGCAAAGCTATTATCGAACCTGAGTAAATTTTTACTAGAAGACATGTAAAAAATTGCACACACAATAAAGAGTAAAGTTCTCTAAAAATTACGCCGACGGGCCGTTAATTTTAAATGCAATCCATGCGCTAATTTGTTTTGGTTTTCATTTTGATAGTTTTAAATCCCGTTAGAAATCTCGAGAAATGTTCGTCAGAAATCGGTCAATGTCCCCCACTCTTCAAAACTGGCAAATTTTGATGATTGATTCGTCTGAAGGACCAGTAGATGAGGTGCAACGAGGTGTACTTAATGACGGAACAGTTTACAGAACGCAGGAAAATTTCCACGATCCCTCGAGGATTGCAGACTCCCGTCGTATGTGCACGGGTCGGATATTGTGTCCACTGCACCGCGGGTGGTGGGTCTGATACGGATAAATTACAACGATAAAGCGCGCACCGGCCAGTGCGCGCAATGCGTGAAGTATTCCTACAGTCGTGTAGGCGCTAATACGCACGTCGGGCCAACTGACCGACTGCACTGCATTTGGCGCGATGCGCGAAGTATTCATGCGGTCTTGCAGGCGCCAATATGCGTCCGACGCCGGGCGCACCGTGTGTGGTGCGATTATTCGAACTCGCGTTAAAATAATCGCGGCATCGAATAATGGGACCTTATAGGCCCATGTTGGGTTTCGACACTTCAAGAGCATTCCAGCGTTGCCTCGTTTTCCCCGATAAAATAATTTTTCCATTCTTCGGTTACATTATTTGGTTAGCGTACGGATTGCAGCAAAGCTTAACTATCGGCTGACTGGCGTACAATCAAGACTTTAGACCGGTTGGACCGTGAGGTGGCTGCCCAATTTACGGACTGGGCAAAAACATCGGTCGGTTCGCGGACTGAGCTCGAGCTTGAGCTGTTGAGCTTATCGAACTCAATTTGTTTGGAATTGTGCATGGAATTTTCAGGCATTTAATCCTTCATTTTTACTGAATTATGTTGCTTTTATTGCTTTTATACTTACAGCCAAAGTAACTCTTGAAGACATGTAGTAAAAAAGGAATATGTGGAGCGAAGGAATGACGATAACTGTTGTCGTCTGGGCATGACGATCGGGCGCCTGAAGCATTCAATCAAGTATTATGTAATAAAGTTAATATATTAGTAACAAATGAGAAAAAAAACCCAAAGAAGTGGCCCGAACTGTATGTAACAAGGTGGATAAATGAGGTGGACCCAGCTCGATTTCTCCACCGTGTTATATATAAGTTATTTTTAGTATTATAGATAAGGATTGTAAGCATTGCATTAAGTATTTTTTTAAAAGCGGAATGCAAACACAGAAGAAAAAATTAGGAAACAATCTAACAAGGTTAGATTGAAGTCGATAGAAAGAAAAGGTGAACCTTTATCTAATTTTGTACATGCCAAAAACACGGAAATAGTGGATTGCTGATTTAACAATTCAATTGTTAAAAAATATGTCCGGCATGTTTCAAACGTACATTTTACAATAGTGAAAAGCTGATTTAACCATAGACTGATTGAACTAGCAATTGTTTTAATGTAAAACCTTTATCGAAACATGTCGCACACTTCTTTCAAAGTACTACAAAATTTTTAAATCAGCAATTTTATTTTTTCCGTGAAATAGATCTCGTAGTTTTTTCAATCAGCGCAATTCGGATACATATTTCTCGGACATCATACGACGAAATTCGAAAAACCGTTCATCACGTTGATGATGAAAGAAAAGAAACCCCCTCTCATTCATAGAATTTCAAAACTCCTGCATTTTATTATACATTTTATCTAAAGAATATTATCTGTACCTTAAATATTTGCCAAGAATTTTCAGGAAATACTCTTGGGATTCTGGGATTCTGGGATTCTGGAATTCTGGGGTTCTGGGATTCATTAATAACAACGCAAGAAAAAGGGGCAACTGGATTCGATTGAGTAAAAATGGTAAACTGGTACATACTTTTACATCTATTTCAGTAATATTGAGGAAAATCAGTCACCGANGGGGGGGGGGGGGGATGCAAAACCAGCGGGTCGATTGTTGAATATATATCGAATGACCTTGATCGATAAAAAGCATTGCCAAGATAGGGATTTATCGATATCGAATGACCTTGATCGATAAACAGCATTGCCAAGATAAGGATTTATCGATATTGAATGACCTTGATCGATAAAAAGCATTGCCAAGATAGGAATTTATCGATCGAGCTGACTCGATAACGATTCAATAATCGACCCGCCTGGTGATATGATTAACATGATTTGCTGCTCTCATGATTTTGTATAATAGAGTATGATTTGTGTATTTTAGTTATCTACACTTGTAAATAGGATGATGGCTTGTAGCGAAACAAATAATTAAAACTGTTTACGCACCAGGACGAATACAAACGAACTGAAAGCGACTGCCACTATAGCTCCAGTGTACATTATCAAAAGCGTTTCTCTTGTTAATGATTTCAAACCATCTGCCACCCTGAAATTTGTTCGAGCATCAGTTTTAAATTGCTCACCATTGATTAGGTATACATCGCTCTGTTCAAATTATATGTAGTTCTTTTGGCCCTTTCTTCATACTGCAGAACAGGATTCACTGTTCATAGATCAGCGAGCGTGGAACTGTTATGAGAAATAGCTTTGCACTATGTCATTGGCCGTAAACGTATAACCGCCATAGGTATCATAAACAAGTAACAAGTATCGCACACACATATCATATTTTACAGCTGCATACTTTTTTTACATCGCATTTTTGTCTTCCTACATATGTGTAATGCTTTTGGTGTCATAAGCGCCTTATTAAAGATGGTTCATGAAACGTCTTTGTTTTAGTGGCAAGTATTGAACTCTTTGGGGGTAGTGAATTTATTTTCACTCACACTTTATGTCCAAAGACCGAGGTATCCATATCAATAAAATGCTTGCGAAAAGATGTTCCTGAATGTAGGTATTAATTCAAGATCAATATCTCAGACCTTTTCGGTCGAGCGAGATTTGAATGAGCTTTTCGGCACAAAAACGACGTCAGAAGTCCCGATTGCTGTTTTTTTCACGCCCTGCATTTTTATTGAGTTATTTTCATTATAAAACTTCAGTGGTTCAATATGTATTTAAAAATGATGTTTGATTAATAGTATGGTTAATTCATAACATTCACAACTTGCGTTTTTATGTATGGAAAGAGAACTTCTCGGATCAATGCATTCCTTTCTCAGTCATGGCCAGGCTGCTTCATGGTCCAAAGTTGCGGTACCAGGGACGTTAGTTTGTCGTCAACCTTCTAATATTCTTCTTGAGAATGAAAGAATGAAAGCTATGCTTCCGTCCTCAGGAAAAACGCCGTTAGTCCAATCAAGACTTTGCATTTTGCTTCCACACATACTGTTCTATTACGAGAAAACCGGATCACTAAGAGACTTCGTTTTGGAAATTCGAATTTTCACTGGCACGTCACAATTATTTTAGAATGAAAAAGGATAAATGGTCGTAAATTTTGCGGTAATGAAACGTTTGTCAAAAAAAAAGCTGAACAAATCTAGAACGGAGCTACGGCGTTTTTGCTGAGGACGGCAGTATGACCATGTTTCATAGGTGAATCCAGACACTTCGAAAGGCAGGGGCGGCAGGGGGTCCGTTGGGCTCCTTTCAGAAAATTTTCGAAATTTTATAGATTCTGCTTAATTGCAGTTAGAGCCAATTTGTTACGAATAAATTACTAAATCTGAGCGTCCTTCCTCCTTCTTTCGTCCGTTCCTTTCTTCCTCCTTGCTACTACTACTTTCTTCCCTTCTCCTTCCCCCTTTTTTCGTGTAAACGGGGGAGGCATATGCGCTCTCCCATCCCCCTGCGATCACGTTTTTACAAAATAATTAAGGTGTGGGTGTCAATTTCGGTATTACCTGTAAAGTTTTTGATGTTCGTTGATGTTCAGAACCAATCTTGCCACATTCCATCGTCGATTGATGTCTTCCAAGTGCTCTGAGTTGACTTTACTTTTACGTTGACCTGCGCGCCTTGGCCTATTGAAATCAAATCGCGCGTAGAATATGCCATTTAGTTTGAAGGCTGCCTCCAACGTGCAGAACATACCCAGGAATATAGTCGAAAAAGTTGACAGGAGAATGCAATAGTACGCAATACAGGCGCACATTATCACGTACACACAGAACCCAGCATTGGTAGAAGACTCGAAAGGAACTGTTACTTTCATCGGGTAACCGATCTGACCTTTTCTTCCATTCAAGAAGTGATATCGAAAAATCGGATAGAGTGCGTAGGAAATGAAACAAAAAAATGAACTAATCGATAGAGAATAGAAAATGAGGTGCATTTTTTTCTCGCAATGGGTCAGAACCTCGATACCTGCAAGGGACCGGACGTTCCTTTGATAATGCATCCACTTCTCGCCCATCTTGTAGCACATGGCTGTGAGCTTCCTCCCTCGCAGAACGTAGAAAAGGCACATGCCTTGAACGGTGAGGAAACAGGCGAAACTACCCAAACGCTGGAAAAAATCATAAAGTGAGTTGGCGCCTACTATCATACCGATTGTGAGAAAAGCTGAGCAAAACTGTAAAAACACGCAAAGGAGAGCACTGGCCCAGCGCATAGTCCGGCTCCTGTCTCGGGAATAGCCCGCCGCTAAGTCATGAAATATCTTGTTTACTCTCACCAAAAATGTATTTTCGACGCCTGCTGCTTTGCGCCCGAGAAATCCTTTTTTCATGCTCATTCTTCGCGAGTGAGGATTTTATCAATAATAACTTAGAATATTTGAACGAGTCAGGAAGCTCCTTTTCAAGTTTTAATTTGTAACATTTCTTTCATCCTTGGGGACCTGCAATAAATCAGAATATGTTTTGCTCTGAGTCAAAGTGTTCGCTAATTACAGATGTTAATAAATATTGTGCCCTCCAATTCCGTTTTCAGCCAAATTTAACCCTTTGAAGGCGGAACCAAGTTTGGCAGAAAAAAATATTCGTGGGCTTGTTAAATGAAAAATAGTCTATACCGTTTTAGGAAATTGTCCGTTAAAATTTTCAGTAATAGGTTCCTGAAAACTTTTGACAAAATGTTTCGATTTTTTTATCAGTATTTCAATTTACATTGATACCATTTAATAAACACGTTATTCATCCACTATACAGAATGTAAAAAATCGGTCAGGAAAAATAATTTTAGTTCGATCATTTTTTAGAGAGGCGGAGATCCAAAAGATGATTGCTTGTAAAAGAGAAAAATGGTACATTTTTCCGTTGATAAGTAATGATAATCGGAAAAACAAGAATTTGAAAGTACTCAAAACACAAAATAAAATCACAACCTACATTAATTATTTCTAATTTTCGGATTTCCATTTCCGGCCGAAAGATCCAACCGATCGATTTTTATTCGATATTATAGTGTTTGGCTCAATCGTTTATTTTGGGTGCTTTAATGTAAATTTTTTCTATTACTCTCGTGCACTTCAAGCAATGAACAAGATACAATCATTTCAATGATCTTATGTCTCAAATTGCACATTCATATCGAACTGGAGGAAAACTCAAGAATGCCGGTCCTATTTTCCCTACCTCACAAACATTCTCTTCTTTTGTTCAAGTCCCTCTCCCTTTCAGGGCTACAGGAAGTTCTTCGGTGCAAGGTTTCACCAGCAGACCATAATTATAACCCTACGCACCATTATACAGCGTGGTGGGATACATTTCGGCAGGAAAAATTCCACGGTCGAGGAAATTTTGGCAAAAAAATGTACGCAGTCTAGGTAATATCAATAATACATGACCGCAGTTTTAGTTTTCTAAACAAAATATCGGTTTGCGAGCAGTAACTAAGACATTTTTGTTAAAATGAAAGCGGATCCAGCGTTTTAGCAAAAATAACGCACTTTTAATAATTTTAATTCGCTGAAGCCACGAATTCGCATCATTCCGTGCATTCGACGAAGCGCCTTCAACATCGTGGAAATACTTCAAACGCTACACCGTCACACACATACATTCCGATGTGCAAATTGCCTATACTATGCCTGCAGTGTACACAGTGTTAGGAGCCGTACTTCCATAGAGCGAATACGATCGAGCACATTCAGCACACCTTTTCCCCTCTTTCAGAAATATAAGTGAATGATGAAAGTGAGAAACAAATAAGTACTGAGATAAAACAAGTAGAGGGCGAAGAATTCATGAATCGTAGGATACCATAAAGGGTTTAAAATAACAAGGTACTTAAGGGGTCGGAAATTAAAACTTTTAAAGTAACACCAGTGTATTGTAAGGTTTTTCAACCAAGTTTAATCTTTGACACTTTATTGCATTTTTGTATTTTGCCTACGGCCAAATAATATACTCTCAACGCTCCTCCTATTAATCCTTTTCTCTCATAACCGAGAACAGGTAGGATGCGCCCTCTGTATTATAGAAGTTTTACAATGAAAAGAATTGTTGGAACCCGGTGATGAGATGGGCCTGTGCACAATAAGACTTTAAGGTCATAAATTCCCAAAAAGTAAAAATCTGTGTTGTTCAACATCTTACCTGTGAAACGACTTTCTTAAGTTAAAAGAAAGAAAACATCGGGAAGCGCCTCGCAATAATCTCTGACACACTACGTCATCGAATATATAAACCAGATACACGCTCATATTCACATTAATTTTGATTTTTGACATGCTGGATAAAATTACCATTTTCGAACGATAAATAGAAAAATTTAGAGGAGATAAGGGGATTAGAAGAAGTTATTGAATAACGAAGACCTTAAAAATTGTTGTAAATACAATTTTTCCCTCCATTTTGTGGCCTCCACAGTCTCTAAATTCGGTCTGTCTCGTAATTTAGTACCTAAATTAATCATAACTCCTGATTTTATCCTGTCATAGGTATAAATATGTCCATAAGTCCTAAGACACGTGTCTATTTTACATCCTAACAAAGGCTGAACCTTGATGGACAACGCGGCCCTCAAACAGACCTTCCTCTTCAATGAGATTGTTTTTTAAAATATGTTTTTTTTTAGAATCCTTCGAGAGAAAGATCCGTTTTTACGCAGGGACATTGCAAAGTATCCACACACGTGGGAACAAAATATGTTGAAGACCTCTCTTTTTAAAAATAAGAAGTTTCATGAACCGAACGAAACCACCGAAATAACTTTACTGCCACAACTTTGGAAATATCTTCTCCTTTCTCCTTTGCAGTCAATGTGTAAATAAGAATTAGAGTGTGGCCTTAACCCGCTAAATTATACTCACCCACATAAAAGTACACGGGGATATTTCCGTCCATGGTGATGAAATACAGTCGTAATAACTAATACCAACTCCTGTCAAATTCACCTTGGGTTGAAGGGTGATGACACAGAGTCAGCCACAAATGAGTGTTTATTCATGTCTGGGGTGCGAAATAAGGATATTTAATTGTAACACATTTAAGGTAGAGGTTGCGTGGGTTAGTTTCACACTTTCGGGAGAGTCACGCAACTATGTGGCCTAGGTATGGGGATAAATTTCTCTTAATTGGCTTTGCCAAAATTGCCATTAATTATACTCCAATCCCATATAATATTTGATTTTTAATATAGCAACCGAAACCTTCAAAAATGTTTTTCTTTGCGCTTCGGCCTTCTTGGTGTCCTCGATTAAGTTGAAAATGCAATTTAACATGTGAAAATATGTCATTATTGCATAGTTTTTACAACAAAATAATGCAGCTTGAAATATGATAATATAATCCAGTCTTTAATATATGCCAAGAAACTACAAAAACTAAACAGATAATTTAACGCATTGGCTCAGTTTTCTTGAAGCATAACATGGAATGTTTTGCTGAAAATATGCGCCATTCAGCTGCAACTTTATATGTAAACATAAAAATCGTAAGTATCTGAACACATATCGCTTACTAAGTCATGTTACGCTACGCTATGTTAAGTTACTTCAATTTCGCCATTCACGGAGGGAGACATCGTCCGATTATTTATGGACCTCAGCAACATTATAACTGAGAATATGTGCTGTAGTATCTGGAAAAAATTGAAAACAAACCATTTAGAGGATCAATACGCGTAACTGCAAAGACGACTTATTTTTAGAATTATTACACGGAACCGCATCTTCACCATTTCCATTCTTAGACCCTCTTCTACAATATCTTCAATGCTTTTATGTACCACTACATTGAGGATATTAGTGCTAGTTTGTGCACAAAGTACACTCGCCAAAAATCCCCCAAAAAAGGGTGAAAATCCCATCGAGAGTCAGTTCTTGTATCTGGCAGGCTTGACGTCATAGCTATCGCATTTTACCATAACTTTTGCGAATCAGAATTTAAAGAATATTTGAGTATTTTTGCTCTAAATTTCAAAGGTACTTCAGCGAGTTTAGGGGGTCTTAACCCTTCCCCACACATGACTGTAATATTTCCCCCAAAATCGTTATTTTCGATTAATTTCTGGAATTTTCTATCTTTGAACCTCCCATGAGACACTTTTGACCTGAGACTCCCCTCCCCATGAAAAATGTCTGACTACGACACTGGAAAGAGAATTTAATACCTCCCTGAGCTGCCCTAGAAATTTTTCTTACAAAACTTGGCAAGGACTCCACTTTTACTCCGAGCCTTTTCATATTCATGAGCGATTTCGACTCTCTAAAATGCAATCTTCTTTTATCCCTCAAATTGAGATAAATTTTATCAAACTTTAGCATTGAAAGTAAATTACCGAGACAAATCTCATGAGTGAGAGATGCCAAATTTTCCCAATTTCGAAGAAAACCGGTCTTTGTAATCTCCTCATGATGAATAAAAATGTCTTTGAATCTATTTTCATCAGCGCAGGCATTCGCATGTGACAAAAGTATAGGCGGTCTGCTGTAAATTGGCCCTGTAATTTGGATATACATTTAGTTATTTAGATGACATGTATTATGTTAAACCATTGAATTTAGTGTTAAGCTAAAAACTAAATTTTCGGCTGAACTGGCATTGACAAAAACCTTCAAACCTTCTGACCTTCAAAATCCGGGCCTTGTTCGGTGCATCCGTTATTATTCTTATTACCGTAGACAATATGTAAAAGTACGATAAATACCACTCATTGGCGGATCCAGCAAATTGGCAACATTGTCTTTTCTCCATTCAAACTTATGGAAATGTATCGGAAATGTATGTATGAAGGGGCCAGATGCTCCAACAAGAATCGATTATTTAGCATAGGTTTAAATGGAGGAAATCCGATGTTGCCAAATCGCTTGATCCGCCTTTGATACTACCAAACTTCTGAAATACCCGAATTCATTTTTGGCAGAAATTTGAAGACAAATGACAAAATCTTTAGCCAGGAAAAGGGTTTTGCACCAGGAGCAGTTACTGCTAGAAAGGAAAAGTTAGTATATTTTTGTTTCTCTTTGTTGTCTGATGGCGCCCGTTTAAAGTTTAATAGCACTAATAAAACCTTCAGACGTTCCTCCTGTACTCACGCTTTTCACATTGCTTTTAGGAAGCTCACGGCGATCCGATAACGTTGGATTGTATAAACCACTCAACCGTCGCAGGCCAAATAAGTTCGGCTTGGATGGTTTTTCTTAAACATGTACACTTATTCACTGTGGTGTTACACTTACGGCGGTTGCTGATATACTCGTAGCCTTGAAGAAGAAAAGAAAGTATATACCAAGAGGTATGAATGCCATCGCTATCTGATAGTAATGATGTGCTGGATCCTGGAAGTATAAAATTCCATCCTTATATGAATTACATTTTGCAATAAGGAGCCACTATTTCTAGCTAATTTTAGGAACAACATATGTGCCAGCATTGGTTTCCATATGCAGATATGCGTTTTTATGGAAGAGCCAGAGAAAATTAATATGGTCTCTCACGATCATGTTAGAGTTTCAAAAAAACGTAATAAACACAATGAATTTTGAACCCGAAAACTGACTCCTCAACAGAATAAATACAATCACTTTGTCTTTGAAAGGTTCGCTAGAATATTTTTGCGCTTTCCACGAACTCAGTGACATGAGAATGTACAAATTTTCGTTTTTGCACAGAGTTGGTACACCTTGTCCTGTTGATTTAATTATATTTCGAGGGAAACAAATGAAAAAACAACAGCAACAACAGCGCGGGCGCAGTCTCGCAGAAACAGCGAATCGAAGACTCATTTTTATATTTATTTTTTTGTCTCCGGTTGATAATGGAATTGTACCTATTTCGAAACGGTCTGGGGGTTTTTTTTTATTTGCACCTCTTTTGCAGCCTTTTCCCAAATTGTGTTTGTTATTCTATCACTGGTTTTGGCTGATTAAGTTGTTTCTTCATTCCTGAAACCGATGAATATTTCCACTTACATTTGCAGTTAAGAACGAAGCGAGTGTGGTTACAGTTATGGTTCCCATGTGCAAAACAAGAAATCGTTCATTCATCACATGTTTCAATTCCATGGCAGCTCTGAAACAAGGATCACATTGATCATCGATCGGGAACATTAGTAGTCCACTGAACAATTATAAATCCAAAGAAATAGAAATGAAACTTTTGCGTCCTCTCTTAATTAAGCGACTTGCTTAGAAAACGCGACAAAATGCAAATTAATGAAAAATAATTTTAAAAAAAAAATAAAAAACATTATAGACGTAAATCGTAGGCAATCACCAATTGCCGGCAATTTGCAAGCCGTTTGCTTGTTTTTCGATAAATCGCAATAGTGCGGATCAGCATAAAGTTTGACGGTGATGAATTTTAAAAGCATGATCGTTTGGAGCGCCTTCATTATGTGTGATACTTTACGCTTTGCGGTGGAGTTAGTTTAGTTGCCTGTCCGATCTAATCCCGATCTTAGATCATGGATTTCACAACCCGCTCTCCTAACTCTTAAGTGTCTCTATTTACTACCACATTTTTACAGAGGAAAAAGCGTTCATTCACATTAAAAGCAAAATAATCCCCACTTCAATGTTGTTTCTTTATTTCTGAAATTTATATTTTTTCTATGTATTCACTAGTGGAAATGATCAATAGTTTTTTTTCTGGAGCATGATAATTAATGCCACACTTGTAATCTCCGATACCTATTCTAAAATGTAAGAAGCAGATCTTACAGCTTGTCATGCACCTTAAAAACATCAAACTGAGGTCAAATTCCCGTTTTTTTGGTCAAAAGGCCAAAATGTTTGCACTTGCCACTTCTTTTTACGGTTGAATGGGCATAACTAAACTCAATTTTCTAAATTTCCTTTTTTGAAAAAGAGGGCTTTAACGACACACTTAATTACACGTATATTATTGGCTAAAGTTGAAATATGCGTCGTATCTTCATCGGAACCCTATTAAAAATTGGCGATAAGAGCTGCGTTTCAAAATACCATAGGAATTCTTATAGCCGGCTAAAGAGGACTACAGAAAATCATATAGCTGGCTGTAGAATGCGGAGAAAATCATACACCCGGGCTATACGAAGCGATAAAAAATTATGCAGCCGGGCTATAGTTCCCATCGCCGGGCTTTGCACTTTATCGCCTGGCTGTTGCTTTTTTGCCATCTATTATAAAAAAGGCTATAAGAAATTGTGTAGAAATTCGTGTGCTTTGGAAATCATTAAGTTTGATACGGAACCACCTTAATATTTACAAAACACACGTTATATTTTTCTTTAATACATATTTTTTTCATCAATTAAAACGAGAATAATCCATACAGGATGTGCAAACATTTCAAAATCATGAGTTGAATAACGCTGACTCCGCCAGATTAAATATTAGAGCCTTACACAAAGCGGAGCGGCGACGCACTGGCGCCTACAAACCTAACAGGGATACTTCACGCATGGCGCAACGCGTGAAGTATCCCTGTTAGGTTTGTAGGCGCCCGCCTGCCGCACCGCAGCGTGCCACGGCGCTTGAAGCAACTATTTCACACCAGAGGTATTCCACAGTATCATACGAAACTGAAGGCGCTCTAATATATTAGGATTGGCAGGCATCCATCAAAAGTACGGGGCTTTCCTCGCAAAATAAATCAAGATACTACGGCCCAAAAAGAGAGCAGTGGTCCAAAAACTCCTTAAGTCCCAGCATCCGTAATTAGTGACATTTAGCATACACTTTATCGCCGGGCTGTGAGTTGCTTAATCGCCATCGGCTATAAAAGGCTATAAGAAATTGTGTAGCGGCTATAGAAGCTATTGGAAATCTTACAGCCGGCTATAGGTCTATGATATTTTGGAACACAGATTCTACTGCTAATTTTTAACAGGGAACGTTTATAAAATCTCGGATTACGGTTTATTTTTTACCAGGAAGCTAACCAATAGATTTTGCTGAAAACTTTTGTAGATATTTTTGATTGAAGGAGAGGAATTCATAGAGAATTTCAAAAATTATTGTGGATTAATTCTCTATTTCAGGAAACGAAGAAATTCATCGAATGTACACTCTTTTCGACTTCAGCCACCGGAAAATACATCCAACCCTCGTCATGGAGGTGGATATTTCGACAGTGAAACTCTGAAACCACGCATCTCAGTTTTCAACTCCCTGTTATGCTTCCTTTTTTAAAACGGAAAACTACTCAATGCCTCGTCCCTTCAAAACTTCCATAATTTTTCCTCTCCGAACGAAGAAAATTCTGTAAAAACTTGAGTAATTTTGTCGCTTTGTTCTCCCAAAGGAAGCATAAAATACAATGGAACCGGAGATTTTAAAACATCGCAAACGAGATACGAGGTTTGGGAGTATCTTCGTCGATTTACATATTCGTGGTATCTCAAACACACACCTGAGCCATTGTTGATGTCGAACGAAGGATCTTTTCAAATCAAGGCCGAGCTGAAAATCGGTCATGGTGACAGTGTATTTATCAGCAGTCTTCCTGTTCGCATAAACCCACCGATTTTCATAGGCTCTGCACATGAAAAGACTGGTCAAGTGAAGTCCCGCATCCAAAGTACAAAGCATGGACAAGTACAGGGCATTGAGGTTGATGATGATGAAGCAAGAGTAGCTCAAACAGGCGACGGCGATGACGTAGATGCAGATCACCGTCGAGTAATCCGTGTGCTCGAGGAACTTGGCCATTTTGAAAGGGAGTCCCATGCGTCTGTTCTTGCTCGTGGAGGTGAAGAAGAGAACGATGGGCGCCGTGGCGTAGCCGATGAAGATGGCAAAGGCCCCGCTATTGAGGAGCGGGACGATGATGCGAATGCTCCAGACGCACTTTTCGACCCGGCTCTGTTCTCTCAGGGTCCGGACGTTTTGTATCGCCTCCAGCCATAGGGATGCCAGCTTGCTCACAATCGCGTTGAAGGCTTCGCCACGCAGAACGAAGAGCAGAGCGTAGACTTCGATGGTGAGGAAGCTCACCAGGTTGATGCTCACGTCGCAAAAATCCGAGATGCTCCGGACCCCGGCCAGAACGATCATCACCATGATGAACCCCGTGCTGATTTTTAGGAGTGTCAACACTGCCCAGTAGCCGAGACGATCCACGACCCCTTGACTCTTGTAGTCCCCGCTTATGAAACGGCAGAAAGCGTTGTAGCGGTAAATGAATGGACGCTTCACGCCCTTTTTTTCGTTCATTGGCCTGAATTTGTCCCACCACGAATGTGGCTTTTGATTATTCCCCAACGGTTAGAATATTATACTGTGGGTCAGTAACGCGCTAGTCACAGAATCTTATTACGATGGAATTAATTTGTCGATCAGCAAAAAGTAATGAAATCTTTTGAAACGCCAAATTTCTACGTCGGATATTTACAGAGATATCGCGCATCTCGAAAAACAAGGCTTCGACGTAATTCGCTACGGGAGTGCATAAAAGCCATAGTTTCTTCCATCTTGGATGCAACAATCAGTGATGGACACTTGTGGTACTGAATGCTCGATGTAAAACATTATGACACCAAGGTTGGAGAGACCATGCGATTGGGATGCTGGCCATTAGGAACCCCAAATCTTAAAATTTACGGACCCCATGACACTCGAAATTCCATGCGGAGGGCCTTTCTAAATCCGCGGTGGATGACGTCAAAAACCCAACTTTTCAAAGGGCGATATCTTCGTGATCATTGAACGTATAGAAACTCGCGATTTGGACAGGTCCTATTATCCTTAGCTAATCTACAAGAATCAAGGATCAAAACACGATTCTGTGTCCAGCGCAACTGACCCAAAAAGGACCTACACATATTGGAAAAGTCCATACTCATGCATGGTTCATTTTCGCTTCACACACTCAAGTGGCTCACTTGATCTCCTCAGCTATTAATGAATTATAGACACGCATAAGTCTGGTCTCGCTGATTTACAGAATTCAGCCGCCAAACGTCGACCCTGTGAAACCAATAAATATCCATATTGAAGACAGAGATAAATAACCTTCCTATGGAACGAAATTTTCAAAAACATTTTTTCTCACGAATGGTGGTAGTTGTAGCTCAACGCTCCCGCGGATATTTTCAGCAAGGAAATTTCGTGCAGGCTTTAAGTTTTTCCTGTTGAATAACCAGAAAAAAATTATACCCGTCAATGCTCTCTTCGTCGTTGAGCAATTCAACATAGAAATCACCATTTCTACTGGTGTCCCCTCAATTCTTACGTTTACTACGGCTTCTATACATTTTTTTAAATGAGAAAATATAAATTCAAATCTGCTTCTGATTTTTCAGTTGATGCACATAAAATTGATGACTATGTGAGCGATACTAGTCCGGAACACTTTTCGACTGACTTACATCAACATTGATTTCCTGTTTCGGAACAAATATGCGCAGCTACGTTGTTGTAGCTGAAAAGGAGGGGTTTTGTAAATACTAGCCCTATTCTTTCCTCAAAAAGTGCATTTAAAGCGGCCCAGGCGTCAACAGTCACACCCCTCAGATCATTACCATAGCCTGAGCAACATGGCTGTAGCTTTCTGGCCTGAAAAACTTATCGCGTGATGAGAAAGAGAAACAATCGACTTCCCCAAATTATAGCCTCCCAAAATCGAAGACGCAATCTGCGAAGCGGTTATCTCTTCCGTCTATTCTGACCCGTTTTCCATCATACGCAGTTACTCATACCTATAATTTCAAACAAGTTTTTTTTTCAAAATGTTAGTGCTAACTACCCCTCTATTTGTACATTTTACAAACAGCGTTAAATTTCTTACGTAAAAAAATCCTGATTTATTTTTCAACGGATGGAAACAGGGCCGGATTCACCCACTTGCCGCCCATGGGCCGCCTGTATTGTGCCGCCCCCTTCTTAGTCGTTTTGAGACATCAATAAAAAACCATCGAGTGAACGTGCCGGAGGGAAAGGGGTGCATAAGACGCATTTACTTGGGTTGGACACATTTTTGGCGTAGGTAAGCCCTATCAACACTACCAGCAAAAGTTCACGGAACTTTGCGCAAAAATTAAGCTCTGTAAACCTATCTCTGTGTGGACAATGCCTTGCATTTATAAGAAATGAACGAAAACATTGTGAAAGAACAAACATTAAATGGGGGTTAATAATTTCAACTTCCGCTTCCGCGCCGCCACGCTGACTGCACTGTGTTTGGCGCAATGCGTGAAGTATTCATGCAGTCTTGTAGGCGCTATGCGATGCGTTTTACGCCGACCGCTGCTAACCGCACACTGTGTTCGACGCAATGCGTGAAGTATTCACGCAGTTTTGTAGGCGCTACTAGGTATGTGTTACATGCCGACTGCCGCGCCGAGGGCTTCTTTTTACCTCAAGTCCTCGTCATCATTGCTCTCTGCGCCGCGCTGTCTCTTGTATCACCGAAAGACGACAAAATAGAAATTACTACACTCTCAGGAAATAAAGGATTTTGTTGCCTTATCTCGTTCGTAGTTTTTTTGGCGCGACAAATATCCTCGAATTCGACTATAAATATCAAAATTTTAGGTACTCGTTTGTTTTTTTTTATTTTATGTATGTATACCTAAGCTGCTTTTACGGCACGCTATGGCGCTCTGCGACGTCTACCCGGCACAGGAATCTGTCATGGTAGAGATCCTCCGGAAGCTGGCATCTCTCAATCTCTTCACGGATGCCCTCTGCCGGAATGGCTGATACCAGGTTGCCGAAGAAGGTGTTGGAGTGTGGGTCCCCCCAGGTAGGCGACGGAGAGGGCACCCAGGCAAACGATGGGTAGAGGGCATCCGCGTCTTTTTATTTTACTTTTAGAATACGATAACTAAGATTTCATTGTTTGTTTGCGTTTGATGGGCATACTGACGAGGAGTCTATTTCAGAGGTTTTAAAAAATTTCGTAAACTTTTGCATCTCGAGAAGGAAGCCTTTGAGCTGCCTGTGAGGTCACCGGTCACCCTCATAACACCCTCGTCTTTTTTAATCAATTGTAACCGGACCCGAATCAAACGTCAGCAAAATCTGTACAATTTCACCATAATGGGAGTATCCTATCCTACAACTAAAAATGCACAGTGAAATTTCATGGAATCAAATTTAATTTTTATGAAAGGTGAAATTTCATGTTCCATAAAATTCCAACGATTTTTCAGGGGACCTCTACCCACTCGGCTTTGTCTCTTATTTTTTAACCTTCCACTTCAAAATACCACTTACGGTAGCTAGACCCTTGACCCAATTTTTTTCACCCGATACCTAGTTTAGTCGACTAATTTAATCCAAGTCAAACTTTGGCTGTGTTGCTCATGTAACCCTTTAAGCACTGCTATAGATAAGACAAAAGGAACCGACACAACATTGAAATATAGTGAGAGAAAGGACTCGCTTTGATGACGGCGCAAAGATACAACGATTCATGCTTGATGGGTGTCCGTGTCGTATCTACAAAATTGGAGGGGTGCTGGCGCGATGCGTAAGCTCGCAATGCTCCGCTCTATGTCGTCGATGAGATATCACTCGATTCGGGAGAGAATGTAAAAAACAAGGCCCAATTACATCTCTCCTGTCTTTGGCTGCTTTGCTAACGTAGCCCTTGAAGCACCACTGCAAATAAGACAGACGTAATCGACACAACATGAGATCAGGGCAAGGGAAAGGTCGCGCGTTGATGACGGCGCAGGGATACAACTATTCGTACTTTATGGATGTCCGTGTTGCATCTGCAAAATTGAAGGCGCTGTGGAACGAGGCGTCAGCTCGCGATGCTCCGCTCTATGTTGCCAATGAATTGTCGCTCTGATTCGGGAGAAAAATTGTAAAAACTAGGCCTAAAAACGTCTCTCCTATCTTCGGTTGTGTTGTCATTTGATTTTGTATTTTGTTCAATTTGATGTCTTATTCTTTTTTTAAGATGTATTTGTGTACCTACATCTCAGTTCAGATGCACCTCTGTACCAGCCCCATAGGACCCGCGGAGAAGGTACGTGTTTTCAGCGATCCTTGGGTGACCCGCCTCGGACACCTAAGGGGTACTTTCCATCATTTGGCAAAATCTCAGCATCTATACCATTGCTTATAACCGGACTGAGTAAACTATTGGCTCATTGAGCATTGCACACACAAAAACAATTGGACTAACTTTATAAATAGACAGTGCAGAATTTGGATCAAACAAAACTGGGTAAAATGTCTGGCCACCTCACCTACAGCTCTGTATTTTATTTGTGTTTAATTTCTTGTTTTTTCTGAGGAGGGTTGAATCTCCTCTTCATAAATCTGTGTACCGCCAAGATAAAAGATTTCAACATAAATCATTGTAGGAACAAAAGAGCTTCAAAAATAAGGTATTTAAGTATTTTGGTGAGCTGCCCAGCTGCAGCAATTGGTGCTAAAGTGACATAAATTACTGACTGGTGAGATTGATTTTTAAAAGTTTTGGAGGAAACATCGGTTCATGTTACCTATATTATGATATATAATATACAAACTACTTTTTTTTTCTATGAATGGGCTGTACAAAATTTACAAGAAAAAAATTCTCAGGATTGATGCTTGAACAGTGTTTTCACTCGTATGAGCAACTTCTACTTTTTAAAGGAGGGCAAGGGGGGGCTCTAGGAATTATATTTTCTTTCGGTCCGCTCTAAGGATTCCTCTGGACTGAAAAAAATCCTATTCAATAATATGTAGAACAAATGAAAACTGACAACAATTGTGGAGAAAGGCTTCATGATGTATTTATATCTCTGCACTTGTTTGGGTAGAGAAAAATACCTCTTACTTAGGCAAGCACAAAACAAAGGGAATCGAAACACAGTGTTTCAATTCTTTAAAATGAAAAATATTGATTACAGAACCTGAGTTACTACTCAGGTTGTTTAATAAAACATGTTCATTATAACATGGTTTACTAAGAAATCCCTAGTAGGTGTCATTTTTATGAAAACTAAGACTCGATTTCTTGGTGAACAATATCCAGCAAAATCCTCCTAAGGAGACAGTTTGCACAGACAGGAATTTGAACATTAATTGGGATACTAAGCTCTTGCTTGACATGACTCAAAAGTAACTATTTATTTCTACAACCTTTTCTTTGAATCATGAGTATATAACATAAAAAATGCTGCAGGTACTTTTTCAACTTAGTTTTAATGATGGAATAAAAATATTTACATTATCAACACAAATATACAAAAATAGATCTGAGTTTTAGGAGTTAAAAAGTAAATTGAGGTTCTGAGTTACAGGAATAATGGCCGTAAATTTGAAACAGACATTAACCAAGTCTAGGTATGATGATGCCTAAGTCAGCAGGAAGCGATCAACGGAATGATGGAAACTGAAGACTTTTGGAAATGGCAGAAAAGATTTCCTGCTCAAGTGGCTAATAAACAGCAATAAGTAATACCACGTTTTTTGTACTATCACATAAAGTTAATTGACTGAAGGTAACAAATTTTGTATTTTCTTCAGGGTCTAATGTGAGCCAGGTGCAAAATGTGGAAACAATCGCTGGAAAATCAGGGAGCAGTTGAAAGAAGCAAGCTTTGAATTGAGCTTTAAACAAGGGGAGAGAAAGTGGATGCTCCTCTATTCCAGCATTTGCAATTGATGTTGGGTCATCACAGCTACATCCAACATCACTTCTGGATTTAATAACTCAACGACCTAAAATGATAGAAAAAGAACAATTAGTTACTCAAACAAATGAAAGCGAAAATGATAATCGTACATACAACTACAAAATATTAAGAGGCTGCACTCACCTTGGAATGCCCGACAGAATTGATGAGAATATGTATAATGAAAGAAAAAATGAAACCATGAGTACAAGAAAGTCAACAACCTGCATTATATTAGCCGTCCTGCTTAGGCAGAATCATCTCACACAATGTATACATATATACCTACCTACACTTAAATAATTCTATGATGTGGGCTAGATTTTTAGTAAGATACACTTTTCACTCAGTTAAAAGTTACGTATTCGTAATTATTTCAGGAATACTAAAAAGGTAATTTAAATTATTCAAATAATAAAAATAATATTATTACTTACAGAATATTTTTTTGACTGATCATATGCATACTGAATACTTGTATCAAACAATAAAATTTTACTAGCTGCCAAAGCATTGATACTATTGCGCAACCTCACCATAACTTCTCGTACTGACTTTGGCACTGCCTGCAAAAGAGGACAAACCAAAATGAACTGAACACCAGGGATAGAAATTGAAATTTTACGAAAACAAAAGGATACGTGAGGAGTAGAGAGGGCTTGAAAATAAATTCATAAGGGACAAAAATTTTAGAGGTAAATACACAGGATATTTGCCGAGATAATCCTCCTTCATGGATGAACAAGGCATTTGATGATCATCTCAATTGGCATCAATCCTACATTCCATGTTTTTCAACTATGATCAAAAGTAAAAAATTAACGCCATTCATAAGTAGTTCAAATCTTAACCCTTTCCACTCAAATTTTTTTTAAAGGTCACCCGCCCCCAACTGATTTAATTTGGCCGAAATTAAAGGTTTTTGGCAAAAAGGTTAGAAAACAATCGATGGCTCCCTGGTAACACCTAGCGGTGAAATTTTAAACTGGAGTGGCTCAAGTAGTTCCGTGTAGTGTCACCAGAGAGCGCAGCACAGGTTTTCATGGCCATTATTTACATTGTTTCCGAGCGTTGAGGGAGACAGAAATTTAGTCGAGCACAGCTCGACACCTGAGCGGAACCCCTGAATAAATTTTGTCGAGTCTTGCTTGACACCTGAGTGGAAAGGGTTAAAAAAAAAATTAAAATTATTGTAGTCATACTTAATATGAATATTTGACAATTTTGGATGCCAAGCAACATAAGTCTCAGCTTGGTATTCTTATAAACTCCTTCCTTCCCTTAGTTTTCTACTTCAATGAAATTTCTCATTTCCCATAAAATTTTGTGTTGATGTCATTCACGAATTATTGGCTGAAAAAATTATTATTCAAGGCTTCATTAGCAGCAATTTTTAGAAATATTAAATGGCAGTGAATGATGAAATCAGGCAACTAATCGACAACTGCACTAAGCGCTTTTTCTCCGCGATGACATCTTGCCTATTACGCTCCTTTTTTTCTTATACTTTAAATTGATAGCAGAACAGAAAAAAAAAAACATTTTTAGCATCTTCATTTCCAGCAGAACTTACATCTTCTAAATTGATTGTGAATCCACCATGTTCTTCTTCTGCATTGATGACAGGAGATATCCAAATAAAACCATTGTTTCCAAGAATAATACTAGCACCGCAGGGTAAATTATGAAAATGTGTCTTTTGTCTCTTAATGAGACTTGGGAAAACTTTAATGAGCATACCTTGGCCTAACTGAAAAAACACAAGCAGAGAAATAAGTTAAAATTCGCAAAAAATTGAGTTGAAAGTAAGCCTCTTTCATCATGCAGTAGAAATATTTGATGGATGTATCTTATGAAACTTTGACCTTGTAGCACTACTAAAAACAACACATTTATTTGTATTAATACACAGAGCTTCATACTGGGGCAAATATTCAGCACCTAAAAAACCATGCAATCAATAATTTCTTGGTGCTTTATTTTCACATGGTAATCATATACATTCCAGGTCAGATCATAGACAAAAACAAGCTCCAAGTAATTAAAACCAGAACATTCTTAAGTTGAGGCTATATGTGTTTTTGCCGACCACATTTATGTTCACGGATTGTACGAAAATTGAAAAGACATTTGCAGCTTCAGTATAGATTACCCTCACAGATGACAGTTTTCTTCTTAAAATTTCTCTCTGCAAAAAATGAACTTTAGAAGTTACAAGATTTTCTGCCACCAAGCCTAGGTACCTACACTTTTTAATCATAATGCTTCAGGTGATCAAGAATTCCAAAAACTGGACCTTGTACCTAAACATTTGGGTCTAGAACACTTGACCACTAGTCACAGCAATGGAGGGAGATGCTACCAGATCCAGAGGTATGAAATTCTGTTAAGTCACCATTATATTAAGATGATTCGTCAAGCTCCAGTGACATAGTCGAACTGGCATGCGATATTTTACATCGATTAGGTCAAAAATCTCAGCAGATTTTGAATGTTTAACAAAAAACAGAATAATGGCCCCTGCACACAAATCTAAACCCAAAAATCGGCTAAATTCAGAGAAATGAAAGCCGAATAGAAAGCAGAAAAAAAACCTTGCATACAATACAGCTATTGATAGCTGTATCAAATACAAGGTTTTCTTCCTAATACTTTTCTGCCTTCATTTTTCTGAATTTAGCCGATTTTTGGGTTTAGAATGATTCTTTAGGCTGACTCATACGCAGGGGTTATCGTTCTTGGTTTTACTAAAAATTTAAAATCTACCGAGATTTTTGACCTAATTGATGCAATATATTGCATGTCAGTTCGACCACGACACTTGAGCTTGACAAATCACCTTAAGTCGGGTTTTTTGACAAAAAAAAATTTAAAGAAAATAAATTTGGAGTATACCTTGCCATACTTGATATTTTTCAAACTTCTAGTATGTAAAGACAGAGATCCATCAGAGTTTATATTTTGGACTTCAGCACTTATAAGGTCACCTTCCGTCAGATATTTCCGCATCATTTGTTCATCCTCCACTGATCTTCGTCTCTAGAAAATAAAAAGAAGTCAATTGTTAAAATTATGAAAACATTTTTTAATAAAAATTTAACTGTGGGTACTAGGCAGGTTCCTTTTTTTCTAGTCGATTTGTAGGTATTTTGGCAACTAATGCGGTGGAATAAAATAAAATTCTATCTTTACCAATACAGTACATACATACATTCTGATTCTTTCATACAATTGTCAGGATAAAGATACAATTAAATTTTGATGCTATTTTGTCTCTGATCAAGTATGAAATCATCAAATTTAATGTGGTAAAACTCCAAATTTTTATGCATTTGAAAAAGCTCCATAAGGTAACTTTTCGTGTAATTTGAAGGTCATTTTTCCACTTTCATGACACATTTACCGACTGACAAAAATAAAGGTTTAATTTTTCAATGGCCCCTCTCTTTCTAAGTCTGAGTCAGAAAACATTAAAATTCCATGTTATCGAAGGTAGAACTGGGGAAGGTAGAACCATATTAGAACTGGGGGAGGTAGAACCATATTAGAACTGGGGAAAGAAAAGATTGGACAAAAGTCTTTACAACCTGAATGCAGATGGTGCCATTTTCTGATGTGAGTGACCTCAGTTTTTCTAAGAAACAGTAAGATTATGAGATAAAACAGTTCATACCAATTCTCCTCCTGGCAAGTTGACAGAATACAAGAACAAAGTTGCATCTAGCCGTGCATTGGTATCCACTTTCCAACGCTTCTGTTGAACTTCTGTGATGCGACCAACAACAACATCACCAATTTCTCCATTGTACCGAGATTTTAGCGGTTTAATTACAACTAGTTTATTGACTCGGTCAACAATACCTGCTACAGAGGCTTTGATAGAGTCATCCTCTCCATAAGTTCCATGACCTCTGTAAGTGAAAGTAAAACGAAAATTGACATAATTTGACCCATAAAATTAAGTACCTGGATTGCGCAACAAAAGAAAAGGGCCAGCATGCTTCTGAGAAATTAATGATGATGTTAGAATGATTTATGTCCTGCAAGAGTGATACAAGAGCTGATAAGCTGTGATTTCTCACTGCTTCAAATAATATTCCAAGCAAAGAATGGCTTGGAACTAAGCAGAAGATTTACGGCGTGTTTACTACAACCTTAAACACTGTAAGAAACTTCCATTGAAGATGTGTCCATGATGAGCAATAGTCATTACTAAAATCATCTGTTTAATTACCCTCTACCAAACTATTCTGAACCTTTCAAAGTTATTTTGAGCAATCTGTGAAAAATGCATACTACATCTGCAGAGGTGCTGAACTGATCTGGTGAACACTGAGCCACCATAGGAGACATCGTGTGAGTCGGCGATCATATAACTCAGTTTGCAACGTTGCAGACTACTTGTAATACTTTATTTTTTAAACAGAAAACTACTCAACGGCAATTCTTTAAAACTGCCGTGATTCTTCTTCTCTGTGCAAAGAAAATTCTGCATAAACTTCAGGGAATGATGTCAATTTGTTCTCCTTACAAATAAAATAGAGGCGGAGATTTTCAGACACCGCAAACGAAATATGTGATTGTGGATTTACACCGTCAACATGTAATAAATATGTTCTCTCAACGGGTTTACGAATGATCGTCCAACTCTCTACATTGCCGACAGGTAATAAGCAATGAGAATAGAGAGATATAAAAGGTCTTGATTAAATATAAGTAATTACCTCATAAAGCCACTTTCTTGAGAAATAACCATGCCAGGCGTAAACAACTGGGGCGGTGCTTTGTCGCTTGGCACGCTGAAGTCTACTCTCTCTGAAGCCAAACGAATAGAGTGGGCCATTCTGAACACGCATTTAAAAATACGAAAGTACAGAGACAAAAAAATTATTTAAGCTAGATGTTCATATAGTACTTGCTTAGTATTACGTATGCATCTGACTAAAAATCGAACCGAACCAATCTAATCAATGAACTAACTATATCGACACGGCGCCTCACCGCTTCACACGCTGCTCTTCATAACATAACCTATAAGAATAAGAAAAAATTGCTTTTGTTGTGTTGTGGTCAAAAGTTGTCATCGTTGTTGTTAGAGAGCGCGAAGATCACATAAAGCCCGCGAAGAGTCTGAGGTTTGAAATTGAAATACTATGAGGAAAGTTCGATCAACTTTTTAATAGGAAAGCAATTATTGTCAGAGCTCCATTCCACTTAAAATTCGTTTTCAGTCAGAGACTTCATATAAATCTCTCACTTGAAAAACCCATGCGCAGTGTCAGATGACATCCATCTGAGGTTTTATTTTTCGACGGTGAAACACATGAAGGCTATTTCCATTTAAATCGTCCGTCACATTCATACGGCGCAATGATACAACTATTTGAACTCTCCGGAATGTGTGAGGTATCACGCCGCATTTGAAGGCGTTTTCAAATCAGCCAAGTTCCGATACCCGGATTATCGTTTTGCATAGTTCATATTCTTTTGTTATATTTTGTACCTATCGTTAATTTTAATCCTTGTAGAAAAACTACCCATTTGTAAATACAATTCCAGCTGTAGCTCACTTCAGCTATGCATTCACCACTGCAAAAATTTCAGAGGAAATCGACAAGCCCAGCGTGCATGGAGGCTATCTCCATTTAAATCTTCTGTCACATTCTTACGGCGCAATGATACAACTATTTGAACTCTCCGGAATGCGTGAGGTATCACGCCGCATTTGAAGGCGTTTTCAAAACAGCCAAGTTCCGTTATCGGAATAATCGTTTTGTATAGTTCATAGTCTTTTGTTATATTCCGTACCACTCGTTTATTTTTAATCCTTGTAGAAAAACCACCCATTCGCTAAATACAATTCTAGCTGGAGCGCACTTCAGCTAGGTACTCACCACTGCAAAAATGTCAAAGGAAATCTCCACTCCTATCTTATTTTCTTATATGAGAGTAAATCAACATCGTTCCTTGAAACTTTCACAGAAGTTTTTCCGCACAGCGAAGAAATATTACGGAAGCTTTGAAGAGTTCGCATGGAGTAGTTTTCTCCTTAAAAAAATAAAGTATGACAATGAAGTTTTTTCTTTTCGAAATGATTATTGATTAGGACATACCATACCTAACATATTTAACATATCATAAAAATCAGAGACATCTGAACGCTCAATACAATTATTTGTGCTGCGTGAGATGGGCAAACTCACAATGATTTGCTCTACACTGCTATAGTAGGATTCGGGAGAAAAGTTCAAAAACGAGGCCGGATAATGTCTTTCCTATCTTTGGCTTTGTTGCTCACGTAGCCTTTAAAGCACCACTAAATATGCGACGAACAGAAACAGTCCCAATATGGAAAGCGAGCAAGGGAAAGGACGCGCGTTGACGACGGCGCAGAGATACAATTATTCGTGCTTGATGGATGTCCGTGTTGCGTCAGCAAAATTGAAGGCGCAATGGCGCGAGGCGTGAACTCGCAATGCTTTGCTATATTGCGCCTTTTTAGGAAAATATCTCATTACACCTCCTTGACCAGCCAAGGGTCAACGCCTTCAGTTGTGAGCCAGTCCGGCCCTGCGCTCTTTCGTCAGAAAGGTGACACAATATACTGCAGACAGCTTGAAGCTCGTACATTTGCATCATTTCACGTAAAGAAAATAAAATAAAAATATATATTTATTTAAAATTGACCCTTTTTAAAGTATTTCAAAGTGATACGACAAAAAATCGTGAATTAGAGTACAGTACAGATGAAGCACGCTATATGATGAAGCCAGCTACACTGAAAAAATAAGATTGCTTGAATTTTCCATTCCTTCACGCTGCATTGCCCACAGCGTGAATTCAAAGTCGATTCTGCCAGAGGAATGGTTGCCTGTACCAATAATAGTAATGTTTACCTTTCCTCTGGCAGAATTGACTCTGAATTGACGCTTTGTGAAATACAGCGTGAGGGAATGGTAAATTCTAGCAATCTTTTTTTTCAGTGTATGGAAACGATTCATTCCAAACGCTTTTGACATAATCGATAGTGCGAATTATTGTTAAATCTTTTATTGTTCTTGAGAGTATTAGAAAGTGTTTATAGCGTCGATAACTGAAAAGCGGTATTTTTATTCAAACTAGTTCTTTTGCTGGACTGAAAAATTTAATTTTCACTATATGAGGCACATTCTCCCTGACGCCATCAAACATAAGACCATTCATCGGAACTAAAATAATGCCATTAAAATATAATCAAAGTCGTCTAAGGCAAAATTATTCCTCTCGGTGATAAAAAATTGAGGTTTGAAATAGCGATTTAGACTGGAGATTAGTAGATGGACCTGTTTTGTGGGACATTTTAATACCACTATATGTTAAATTTTAATTTTCATAGACATACTCTGCTTTCGTTAACCTAGTTTTTCTTTTTTTTTGGATTTTTTCGAAAACACAAAAATCCTAAAATGTTCTCCTCCTTCGTGATAAAGTGAAGTAGAAGTTCTTGATTTTATTGTATTCCGCGCCTATCTTCATAGACTGCCCCTCAAAAATGATTATTCTGCGAGTCTTGAGCCTTTTCAGAGGCATCTTGGCCTTGGCGCAGTGGGCTCAAAAAATATGCGTCTTCCCGCCACAATTTTGTAATAACTCTGCCAGGAGCTGGCAACAAAGCATTTTTAAATCAGCACATCATCCTAAAGAGTGGGCATCTTGTAGGTGTGTGATTTCCAAAATATCTTGGGTTAAATTGCGAGCGTGCTTCAAAGCTCAATTTTTTGGCTGCCTATGAATTTTCTGATTTTGTGGCTTAGCAACTCTACTGCACAGGGAGAAAAATATCCTTGGGCCTTTGATTTTCAGAAAAAGACAGGTTTTTTAAGGTGAAAAACAGCTTTTTTAATTTAATCAAGTTACACGGACACGTAGGCATAGGCGTTTTGAAATAACCCTTCTTGTCAGTATTCGATAAAAATCAGTGGTATAAACCAAGCAGGGATTCATATTCATTCATTATACTCATCTCAATTAACGTTAAGTATTATATGCGATTTGACACCAACGCATGGTCTAAAATAAAAATTTCGAATCTCCGTTACTTGTGGCTGATTCTGATTCGAGTTCATTTATATAAGATTGATAAGGCAGTATATATGATAATACCTCGAAGTCACTTTTCTGGAAGCAGAGTAAGTATTGAGTGATACGTACGTACCTATCTTGGCTGGGATCCTAATACATGAGGTCGCTAGCGTAGCGCCGCACGGAGGGCCAGCAGCCAAGTTTAGCCGGACAAAAGTCCTCAGAGGCGCCTGAACTTACTAATAGGAGAGAATATGTGTTTTTAGGGGTAATTTAGGTCGCTGAATCCATATTTTGGGTTTCTTTTAAGAAATTTTGAAGTTTTTGATGAGAATTATTAAAAAAAATTGCTTTATCAACGGGTAATTAATGCAATTTTTCACTCAAATCTTCAGAGGTACCTGAGTTTGTTTTGTGTGAAGAAATTGGTTTCTGAGGGTTATTTTGGTGAGTAAATTACAGTTTTGCTTTCTTTGTTCAACATTTTTCAGTTTAAAATTCAAAAAATTTGAAAAATGATGATTTATCTCTGGGTAATATATCGACGGTGAAACTACCAAACCACGTATCTCGTTTGCGGTGTTTAAAAATCTACGCTCACATTTTATTTTTTCGAAGTAGACCAAATCAATATCATTCCTTGAAATTTTCACGGAATTTTCTCCGCACAAAGAGGAAAAATCACAGAAATTTTCAAGACTGGATGTTAAGTAGTTTTTCATTTAAAAAATAAAGTATGACAGGAAGTCTGCGACGTCGCAAACCGAGATACGTGGTTTGGTAGTTTCACCGTCGATATGGGAAATATATGTCGCGTATTTTTCAGCAGAATTAGCGTTGCATCTCATCTCGCCCAACGAAAATATTCATAGCCCAGAAAACTGCCGAAAACTGCTAGTGAACCAAAGAAATTCCCAAATTTCAAAGTGTGCTTTTACTTAAAATTGACAATTTGAACCCTTCAGACATGTCCAGAAAATTCAGGAGTCGTTTGCATGTCGCGTATTTTTCAGCGTAATTATAGTATTGAATCTTATCTCGCCCAACGAAAATACTCATTGCTCAGAAAATTGCAAAAAATTGCGAGTAAACCAAAGAATGTCCAAAATTTCAGAGTGTGTTCTTACACAAAATTGACCATTTGAACCCTCCAGACATGTCCAGAAAATTCAGGAGTCTTCTGCTTGTCGCGTATTTTTTGGCGGAACCAATGAAAATATTGTTTTGAAGAATGCACTTCTTTTGCCAGAAATTAGAAGATATAAAGGCAAAGCCGGAATAAAACCTTGAATTAGAAAATTTTATTCAGAATCAGGCATAATTTAACCCCAGAAGTCGGGCCGCAGTTGTATGGACATCTATAATAACAATATAAGAAGATTAGCGTAGGATAGCGCCATTATACGGCATGCTTGCAATTTGGCAACACTGCCTTTCATCCATATGAACACATCTACGATAGAATCGATATATATCGAAAATCCTAACCTAAAATCGATTTTCGTTAGTGTATTTACAATGAGAAAGAGCATTGATGCTAACATGCAAGAATCGCCAATACCTGGCACGTGAGTAATCCAATATAAGAAATTAGCATAAAATCCTCGATCTTGCGTCACAAAAAAATGCATAACTCACGGTAAGGCAAGAAAAGGCAAATGAACCAATGAAAATTTAGATGTTTAGGATGTATTGAACCACATGGTAGCGGTCCGTAACCTTACAGATCTTTACAGAAAATTGCAGACCTCTTTAAACCTAAAAATTAGGACATTTTCGTGCCCAGTTTTTAATTGTGTGTACCAGACTATACAATGCACAAAATTGATAAAAATACCTTAAAGTAAAATGAAAACATGTTAATCTAACTTGGTAAAACACTCGTTATGTTGGGAAACACTCGAAGGTTTGTGGAACATGACCTTTTGGATGAGCGTTGAACCAAGCCAGCATACAGGATAAATAAACACACCGCACGCGCTCGGGAAAATCTTGGCATCGCAGTCTTATTAGTGATAAGACCCCCAAACCCAGTGATGTACAGATACTCCATGATATACCTTATCGCTCAGTGGTGTCTATTTTCGAATTTTCCGGACAAGCCAAAATGGACTTTTGTCCAGCTAAATTCGATTCCTGGCCCTCTGTGCGCCGCGCTGAGGCATTTTATTTGCAGGTCAGAAGGTGACTCTGTTTCAGAGAAATATCTCGTATTATGATAAGGCGCAGCATGCGTCGAGAGAATGAATAAGAGAGCCCAGAACGATTATCAAAAATCAACAATTTATTGAGTATAAAAACATGTCAAGGAAAAATTCACAAAATTAGTCATTATCCCTAGAGAGATGAAGGCAAGGAGGCGTAATAGTCTCAAAATAATGAATAGATTCAAAATTACAAAGTCAAATAAGAAATAAAATCTTCTTCTCCTTCATTTTATGGCCCAATTTGTCTAACCTTAAAATAGTACCTGTGGGTAGAATGAGTGACAGTAAATCAATGATATATATAACATTGTTTGATTGCTACAACTTACCGACATTATACGCACATGGTGTGACCCATCTTTTCCTGTAAGAGACTAAAATAATTGCAACAACACATTTAAATAAAGGCGCACATGTCAGAGACAGACACTGAAGCATTCTCTCGTATTGCTCATTGCGTATCTTCGTATTTCAAAAGGCTGTGCCAGCTCTCGTGATAAAATTCTCTTAAAATCTAAATAAATTTGTTAAGATACACTCGCCGTGAGTTGAACATACTGCGGCTTGATTGAAATGTGTTTCAAATTTTTCTCTAAAAAATGCCTCCTAGGTAGACAGTTAATACTTGAAAAATCATGCAAGTTAGGAAGAGATGTTTTCAAATAATTTTCAAAAATCTCCAATAATGTGCCTTTATTATTCAGTTTTGAAACACTGCAAAATTTTGTCGTTAACAGACACATGAAATATAAATGGCAAACAGGACGCCAACACTTTTGAAAAAAAAAATCAGGGACATTAATTCTCAATGAATGAGTAAATGTTTTACAATCTCTTTTTGCAGCGATTTGCATTGATTATTTTTTTATTAGAGATGTCTTTGTGATTATATGAGACGCTTGCTTTTTGGTACATCGAGCGATATAAGTCTCATATCGCTGTTGCACAACTGACAATGAAACGATCGAGATAGGTATATAGTTCAGAGCAATTTCTAACTGGCGCAGTGGATAAGTTGAATACTACCCCAATAACACATTATAATTTATGATTAATATAGGTATAAATAGAAATTAATTTACAAAATATATATTTAAAAAAAAGTAAAATCAAAAATACTCTATTGTCTATTCAAGGTACAGACTCCAACTCCATAATATACATTCATTATTTCACCGGGTGATTCCCCAAACTCTACGGAGTATCATATTTTTTATCAGTCATCGACTAAATAGCTCTCAGACGAGATTGCAAGTCAGCATTTTTAGACGATAACCATGTTCAAACTTCATCTCTAATGGTTTAAAGCATATATTTTACGTTACATTCATCTTCTAATTTATTATTTTACTTTGAAGTCACAGGAAGCGTAGAATGAGCTTAAAATTCTCAATATTTGAATGTTCATTTACTACACCCATTTCAAGCAATACCTAGGTATCTGTTGTTCAATCTAACTTTGGAACACAATAGAGCAACGCGAAAATTTTGCAAGTTGCTCCAGTTTGTCTTAATTTGCGTTTGAAAAGTCAGACACGAAAGATCACAGAAATTTTATAAACTTTACCCATAGTCGCAGTTTTTATCTTCATTGGCGAGTGAGAATATATGACCCGCAGTAGGATGACAGGAATATTTAAAATCGAAAATACAAAATCCTAAAAAGAGTATCAAGTTCAAACTTCTCGGTTAAGACCCTACAGGACAATATTTGGTTCATTATCCCAATCTTATGATCTAAGAGGAAATTTTTAATGGACATAAATTCTGCCACCAGCTCAAGCTTGAACGTTTTCAATAGTCTGGTATTCTGAATCTCTCGTTCAATTAAGGGTACTCCTTACAGTAATTAGTAAAATATACTCTATTTAAGAAGTTGTTTACACGGATATTAAATACGTATCTAGTACTTAAACTTAATAGGAACATAACCAGGTTAAAAAGTTACCTGTTTTCTAAATATAAATTTAATTATTAAGCACGAATCTTCAACCTAGGGCACTCACAAAATTTACGTACCTATTTTTAAGGAATGGTGGAGTCATCAATATTTGACACTTCTGCTGCAAGTTAGACTCGAAACTCAACTCCTTCCTCATTTTTTTCCTTTCCAGTAGATTCAGTCCAGCTCAGCTGCATATTTTTTTTAAGAAAATGTAGACAATTCATCGGAAACGACCACCATTAAAAAAAAGTCCCGTAACTTGGGGTTGCTGCCTTTTGAACCATATCAGTCCGACCAGCGAGCAAAGGGCTGATATGGTGCGATCATTCGATGGATATAGTTCTTTTGAGTTATTATACGTCAACAAGAGCCAAATCGTCGCCAACAGATTTTGCGTCTACCAGCACGATGCTGACTCGATGCCTGGAACATTCATTACACTCAAAGTCAGTTCTATCGACTTACCGGAGGAAAGAATTCGAAATAATAAAACCGTTCGCGAGACTTCATCTGCAACTCTTATGGGTATGTTTTGGAACGATTACAAATTTTTGCCACCAACTTCTGAAAATAAATGATACTACTTTTTTACTGGTACCGGGAATTTGCCTCAATCTGAAATCTCGAGGAGAGAAAATTGCATACCCGAGGGTACTTTGAGAGAATCCGAGAATTTTACTCAAGAGCGGTTTTGGGTCGTGCGTTTTGACCTCGGGGAAATATTTGAACACTCAGAGATCAAATTGCATACATGACAAAATGAAGGCGCTCGCAGTGACTACGTGTTTGTAACCCAGCATTTTATTGAAGTCGCCGCGAAGCGATGATTTGGCCACTGAAATATTAAGTTGTAACACCTTCATACCTAGAAAGAGAAGGGTCTTGAGGTCAACTTGCTGGTTGCTGTTCATATAGTGTTCATCAGTGTCATTGAGCAGGCAGTGAATTGAGAAGCGCAGACAAGGAAAAACGTCCGAGATAAATTATTTCTCGCGCATTTTTTCTAACTCAGAGAAGTGAAAAGTACTCATCTAAAAAACTCGTAAATGAAACATTGTGTCGCGGGAGAAATGAGGATTTCCAAGATTCTCCTCGGCACTTTCCCACAAGGCTTTACAATCGTCTTGAAAGGGGAGGACGTGCCTGTAGTTGAATAGCTTTCTTATATTTTCTCTTGATGACCCTGCCGGGTAATTCATGAACGCATACTCACATCAGTCTACATCGCAAAAGCTCAGCTCACTTTAACTTCTGGCTCCGGTGAAAATACGCAAGAGTTGAGATTTGTTGAACGCCCGGACACTAAAACACTGCTACCTTCTGGACACAGCTCAAGCCTGAAATTAAAATCCCAACATAATAATAGAGTGTAGAGTTGATTCTTCGCTCATTTGGCTCTGATTTATGAATTTGATGCCCAGATCCAGAAAAAAAACACTGAGCGAACACAGATGTCCCCTGATTTGTATTTTTCTGAGGGAACATATTATGAGGCGGCTGAACATGCGCGAATTAAGGTAAATGTAGGTCCAAGCACAAAATTATTTTGACAACAGTAATGCTATAAGGTTTTTCACGGAGGAGACGAGACATTAAAACGAAACATATTTCGCTGTAGAGAAACATCACTCTCGGTTCGTTTGAGGATCGAACACATGTGTCATTAGTTTCCTGAGGGAGGTGCTTCAATGGATGTGCGGCCAGGAATGGTAGTTCCTTATTGCAAAATATAGTCCAATTGTTATGCAAGATTGAGGCAGTAAGGCTCAATGTGATGGTGGATCTGGCCTATCGGAATGGCCTGCACCGAAAAAAAAAGAGAAGTTGATGTAACATTCTGGATGTAAAAAAAGTGTGCGAGAACTTACCAAATGCTGAATTAACCGCGCTACAGCAGTTACTTCAGCAATGTCAGGATGTAAAACTAACTGCTGTATTGGGTAATTCAGCATTTTGTGAGTTCTCGCACGCTTTTTTTTACATCCAGAATGTTAAATCAATTTCACTTTTTTTTCGGTGTGCCAGATTTTTGGTCAAAAAAATGGTGTATCCTCTTATAACTTTAGCTTAACTTAGAATAGAAGGGGGCATATGCACGATCCAAAACGGACTAGCTCGTCCTGATCGTTGAAAATCACGTGTATTAGAACGGGCGCAAGCTAGGTCTACTTGAATTTCGGTCAGTTTTTTTTTCAGATTCTATGATTTGCAAAATTCTGACTTCCAATTTATTAAGTTCTTATTTCATAATCTGGAGAGAATTCACAGACCGTTTCACGGCGGAACGATGTTCAGTTTTCTGGTTAAATTCGTCCGTTTAAGTCTGAAATATCTGCTGAATGGAGATAAGGCCGTACCTTTCACTGGGATGTAAACTTTCAACGATGACTCGGTTAACATAAATGACAACATTGTCGAATCGCCAGGTTAGTATATTGAACGTGGTGCGATGCTGCCAATGAAGAATTGCCCCCTGTAGGTGTCCCACGTTCACATCTGCCACCACCCCGGTATAAGTACCTCCAGGTTTATAATACTGCTCCCTGAAATGAAAAAATTCAATCAATCGTAAAATGTTGTATTTTTGGTCTCCTAGGCGAAATCATGTTACATACTGAAAAAGTTTCTCCGAGTTGTTTTTTTTAGTGCTGGCTTTAACTGTGCAATGCTGCTGTGCTGTCGTGGTTAAATGAATCTTCGGGCTGCTTGTCTAAATTGATAGACGAAGCGACAGACAAAGAAGACAACTAAGGGGTTGAAGCGGATGATTATTAAGGAATACGGGGGAGAATTATGGGCTAATTACTGGGTCTATGGTGGTTACCGTTAATAAGCCTATTACTTGCTTTGCCCATCGCAACCATCCACTTTCACCGAGAGGATAGCTTAATTTACCAGTGTTTAAGCAAATTCAGTTTTTAGGAGAAATTTGGCAACTGTCAAAGGTGTATACAGGGTTTCTTCTCAGCACTGCACCACGGAATTGTTTTAACCTACCACTGCCACACTCCATAGCATATACGCAACGGTCTTCTGGTACGAAAAGGGGTAATGAGTGCAACTAAGGCCATATTTTCCTCCCGGTAAATAGAAAAAAAGGAGGAAAAACTACTTATTATTCTACTTTTTGTTACCAAAAATTGCAAACGCACATATTATCGGTCTGATTAAGTAACTTATCCGAAGCCTTGACCCTTGAAGTCCTTTAAAAAAAAAAAAAAAAAAAAAATTTAACTTTGATTAATTTCAAATCATTGTGAGAAAGTACCTGAAGAGTGGGATTGATTTGGTTTTACCAAGAGCTCCCATTATTTCAATTTCGAAGAGCCCTATCTCGCCTCCATGTTCCACACTTTGGGTTGAGTTCGATATCATGACTGTGACCTTATATTGAGCCTCTGAAACACAAAATCAACAAAATAATGATTAAGATGAAATCAATTTTGGTTTAGATGCAATTTATCATGTTTTATCAACTCCAACAGTTAGTCTTATTTTTCGACGGAATCGGGTGGAAAACAACTCAAGTAACTACCTATATGATGCTTACACTTTTTAAGTTTCCATGAATGAATATTCAAAAAACTGAAAATTCTGCACGGTAATTTATGATGCAAATATTTTAACTCTAGTGTAAGTCGTGAAGTATCGAGCGAAACTGTAGGCGTTTTTGACTGGTGAGGACAGTTCGCAATCTATATGGAGCCTAGACCAGGAGGAGAACCATTTTAGTCAACTTTCAAGTATGGTACTGCGCGTCAATTTCGTGCTCAAAAGTTCTGCATAATTACCAGAGTTTGAATATTACAGTCCTTTTAATTTGACCGCATTTAGCAAAAAGACACCAGCGCAATTACAGTGTTACTGAAATGTTGCCGCTTCATAGTTATCTGAAAACTCTCCCAGCAAAGCAAATTGTTTTTGCATCTCACCAAAAAATTGTTGATTTTGAAGGGAAATAACTGTGTAAATTCTGATACTGTGCATTTATTTAGTATTTTTAAAAGAAAAAAATAAGTCGCACGATTTTGGAAACTTTGTAATTAAGCTGGTTCCTTTTTGCTAGATGCAATCCAATTATTCTTAAAACTATAGATGGTGCGCCCCTTGACCGTTTCGCAGCTCAGCCCCCCCCCCCACCCAAGCACTTTGCACCTCAGGCGTTACGTGTCACGCCGTATTCTAATGATTCTATATTGTACAGTATGATTTGTAATGCTATTCTACATGAAACCCTCCAGACTGATTATGTAGGATTCATTAGTACAATGCAAAATCTCAATGGAAATAGTAGAAACTTACGGCAGAATGGTTCTTTGCTATTTGTGATTAAAAACAGCTTGACCTCCTTCCTTGTCGGACTTGGTACAATCGAGTGCCTTGTGGCAGCAATTTTTTGTATCGAGTGAACTGAATTAAAACCAAAGGTTGCACACATGCGATCTTTCTGTAATCATAAAGTTTACTTTTTAGGTGAAAAAACTGCAGAAGAAAAAGATAGATGAAGGTATAGAGAAGTTCCTAGGTGAAATAGAATATTCAGCGTGTCACTGAAAACTATCCACCACTTTCAGTAGAGAAAAAAACGCTACCTCCCTCTTTACGAAATGATTGAGGAGAGGAGTCGAGAGGGGTAAAAATAGAATGGAAAATGCTATGCTTAGGGTTGATGACCTGGTTTTTTCCTGTCAGTTTCATTGTAGCGGCTCCAATTATCATGAGGTCCGATAATATTGTAAGTTAATTAAAAAACGAGCTTCTTTTGTTCTCATTAAATGTTGAGCTTTATGTTAGCTCCATGCGAATCTCATTTTGAGGGTAAAAGTCCCAAAAAACGTATGTCGGTCTGCGACGTTGCAGACTTCCTGTTATACTTTATCGGAAAACTACTTGACAGCGGCTCTTGAAAACCACCGTGATTCTTCTGCCGGGAACATTCGGCGAAAATTTCAAGAGATGATGGCTATATTTTCTCTTTTAAAGAAATAAAATAGAAACGAAGATTTTGAAACACCGCAAACGAGTTACGTGCACGGAAAAAAGTTAAATTGCTGATTTAACAATTCAATTCCTAAAACAAAAAAAAACTGCAATGTTTCAATGTAGATTTTACAACACAAAAATGCTATTTTAGCCACCCCCGTGGTTAAATTAGCTTACAATAGCGGTTAAAGTAGCATTTTTTTGTTGTAATATCTACGTTGAAAAGTTGCAGTCACCTTTTTTAGCAATTGAATTTTTAAATTAGCATTTTAATTTTTTCCGGATGTGGTTGCGATTTCCGTCGTGGATTTATAATGAATTCAAACCTTAATCGTAGCGTATCTCTCTTATAAAAAATGCATTGACCGTCACAGAATTCGGCGCTTCTGCTTAGTTTATTATACAGCGAATGAAGTTAAGTCAATGATAAGATATCATTTAATAGGTACCTGATCACATCCGAAGCAGTTGCCCGCAAGATAATTTTCCCATGACTCGCACTCAACGGCAAGAAATGAGCACTGCGGGTCCGTATTGACGGTCTCAATAAAATATTCGTAGCTTCTCACGTGGTCGCAGTTTAGGAAGCGGCGCAAACCTGGTCGCAAAGCATTGAATTAGTTCAAAATTAGTTAGCGTAAGAGTGTGAATGAAGATCAAAGTAAATTGCCTTATAAAGAAATTTTAGAATACAAGATCAAAATGTACAAACTAACTAGTAATAATATAAACAACTCTGCCCCTAAATCAACTCATACCCCGACGTATTATACCAACAGGTGGTACCGGGGCTTTGTTAAGATAGTCAATAAGATAGACTTTAAGACTCATATAATATTGTTAAAATATAAATTATGTATCCATATCATCACTTAATAAAGAAATAAAAAAAAATAAAAAAAAAGTAAATTGCCTCTGGTGGAAGAGACCCGTTTCTGAAGGTGATAAGCTACGCCAAAAGCAGTTGGCGGGGTTTCAATTCGATGATTTTAAGAAAATCATCGTGATTCTTCATTATTATTATTTTGGAAAAGCATTTTGGCTTCAAACGACAAACAAGAAGGATTAATTTAGCGGGAAAATCATTAATTACTTAAGTTTTTTCATGACAAGGGGATTTCTCTGCGTATTTAATTAGGAGTCAAAAACTTAAAACATATAATATCTAAATTAGTGGTTGGTTAGATAACTTCGGATTGAAACCGAATTGAAATTTATTGAGAAAATAGAACCAGAATTTTTCGGCATAGTTATTAAAAAAAATAATTGGTGCGTGTTTACCGTCCAGGATAAATGTTAAAACGGAATATAAACCACGAGTTTCAGCTTTTTTAGCAGTCCAACATTTAGGTATCACTCAATTGTTTGCATTCAAGAAACCCAGCCGTTTCCGATTTTAAGAGATTTCGCTTGATTTTTATCCTCTCAGTATCTATAATTTCTCTAAAAATTTCATTTATACATTTCGATAAGTTTCTCTCGAAGAAATGAAGAGAGAGCACACATATTGAGACGTCATGCCGTTAAAGACACGCATACCCACGCTTTCTCGTATGTAATTAATCACAACAGATATATACCACAGAAACTCTCTGGTCGACATTATTTCACAGATAAAAGTGCATTTACATGTGCATACCTTTGAAAAAACTGCCCTTCTCATCATTTATCAATTTTGACATGCTCTGATCACAACCAGGTTGGCTTTCACCTCCGTTTGGATAAAAGTCCAAATGTCCGATGGGCTCATCCATTCCGAGACCTATAAAATTGCAAGAATTAGACATTTATACAGTGAAAATCGAATACTACGACCTCGTTTATAAGGATACATCGGTTTTAACGACCTGCGATCTGGTCAGCACCGTGGTTGAAGTCCCATTTGTTCAATGTTCTTAAGCATCGAATCGGATAAAACGACAAAATTTGGCCGGTCCCTAGGGGGTCGTTGCATCCGATTTCCATTGTATACTGAAGTAAATGCTTATTAATAGGAGAGAAGATTGAGGTCAAAGCTCGAAATTGGGGCTCTCAAAGAACGCGCGATCATGAAGAATTCTCTTTTTTATCATAGATACTTTTCCCCCCACTTTTTAACACATTTAGTCTATTTTAATTTTTCATATACTTTTGTCATTTCCGGCTGATGGGCGTTTTCTATTTGATGGGAAACCTTTAAAATTCCGGGAGCACGGGAGCACACTTCCGATTCGGTCGACGGGGCAACCTAACCCTGCTAATCTTAGAGATAGGGAGAGCATAATGAAGTAATCTCATGTTTGTAAATGATCTCCCAACCTAACCCCCTTTGTTAAATCCTCCCCAGGATAAAAAATAAAGTATTCTATCTATCTATCTATCTATCTATCTATCTCTATTTGATGGGAAACAATGATAAAACAGCAATATGTCTATTGTATATCTTCGATCCATAAGTGACGCAGATCATTGTAATGCATAATGCAATGAGATAACATGAAACGATCGTAGCCGCATGTAGAAAGTTACTGATTCAGGTCAAACGGTGGGTATACAGGCTTTATCGCAATGAAAGAAGTTGCCGCTGCCGGCCCCCTGGTAAAAATTGGCGATAGGAGCTGCGTTTCAAAATACCATAGGAGTTCTTATAGCCGACTGGAGAGGGCGATAGAAAATCATATAGTTGGCTGTAGAAAGTGGAAAAAATCATACGGCCGGGCTACACGAAGCGATAAAAAAGTATACAGTCGGGCTATAGTTCCTATCGCCGGGCTTTACACCTCATCGCCTGGCTGTTGCTTTTTCGCCATCGGCTATAAAAGGCTATAAGGAATTGTGTAGAAATTCTTATGCTTTGTAAATCCTTAAGTTTGTACGGAATCGCCTGAATATTTACAAAACGCACATTATATTTTCCTGTACTACATATTTTTTTTCATCAATTAAAATGAGAATAATCCATACACAGTGTGCAAACATTCAAAGTCATGAGTTGAAAAACGCTGACTCCGCGAGATTAAATATTAGAGCCTAACAAAAAGCGGAGCGGCGGCGCACCGACGCCTACAAACCTAACAGGGATACTTCACGCATTGCGCAATGCGTGAAGTATCCCTGTTAGGTTTGAAGGCGCTAATGCGCGTTCAGCGCTGGCTGCCCGCCTGCCGCACCGCAGCGTACCACGGCGCTTGAAGCAACTTTTTCACACCAAAGGTATTGCACATCATACGAAATTGAAGGCGCTCCAACATATTGGGAATGGCAGGCATCCTTCAAAAGTACGGAGCTTTCCTCGCAAATTTAATCAAGATAGGTACTACGGCCCAAAAGGAGAGCGGTAGTCCAAAAACTCACTAAGTCCTAGCATCCGTAATGGTTTAGCATACACTTTATCGCCAGGCTGTTGAATAATCGCCATCGGCTATAAAAGGCTATAAGAAATTGTGTTGCCGGGTATAGAAGCTATTGGAAATCTTACAGCCGGCTGTAGGTCTATGGTATTTTGGAACACAAATTCTACTGCCAATTTTTACCAAGGTCGCGCCCCTGCTGTTGCTCTGCACGAGGATAAATGGATAGTGTTAGGCAAACCAACGAGTCATAGTCATAGCTGATACCTGCACTGAATTTTTTTAAAACGTCCTAAGTGCGATTGGGATACGCACAAAATTTAAGAGCACAATCTGAGCGACACAGACTGTGCCGTCAACGAGGAATGGTACTCGCGCAAACCACAAAGCTCTGTAAGACCCCTTTTCAAATGGGTCATTCTTCGTTAATTTTGGTATCGACCGTGGATCGTAAAACTTTGTTCGTTGCCATAGAAACAACGTCATTGGGCAAAGTTCCGTAGTATCATAGCGTATATTATTTTCGCAGATAGTCTTTAAAAAACACTTTGCAATCCATATCAATGAAGGATAATTAAAAGGAACTGCATCAAGGGTTTCCTCAAGCATGAAGTTAATAAAAAAAGTCACGAGAGAAAAATGTAAAATGTATAATGATGTTTGATCTTCTGAATGATAAATTGTCTTATAAAGTGTTTTCAGTGTTTAAAAATTGAGCCTGTGAGAAAAAAGCACCCCGATTACTGTTTCGCACGAAAATGACATACGTAAGACGATTTATTCAGCAAATTGTTTTTCAGAAGTGTGGTCCGGGTTTAAGAGGTGAGGTGAACAAGTGAGGTATCCAAAAGGTACCAACTGTATCCTTCGATTCGATCTATTTTTTCTGGCGGTGACTCACTGAGTTACGTATCACGTGGGACCTACGCTTTCATGGTTCGCGGAAAAAGTATGAGAAAGAAACTTGCGCTTTGCGTCAGATACACCTTTGAAGAGTGCCTATTTGTCTGCATCGCAATAAAAACAGCATGGCTCGCATCATATTTGTACGTCAATAGCACTAAAAAATAAGTTAAAAAACACACACCTACACATGCTTGCATCCGACCAAAAATGTTTTTTTAGATTTTAAAGAATTCTAGGCGGTCAACAAATAATATTTTATTTTTGAGATTTCAGCTTCGAGGAGGATAAAATGAGAGAATTTCTATTTTTTGTTACCTTATACTTTTAATTAAAAATCTTGAAAATGTTCCGATATTATGGTTTTAAGACTCGGCAGAATTTGTCCGCATATTTACAATCTTGTAGTGATGCTTTTCCCAGGTTTTTGAAAATCCCTCCAAAAACGCACGGGCAGGGAGTACCAGAATTTTTACTAGGTTCAGACATTGCAGGCCGCAACAACTGCAGAGCAAGATCACGGTGTTTTTTTTTGTTTTGTTTTTTTTTTTTTTTTTTTTTTTTTTTTTTTTTTTGTGTAACGACGGTGAAACTCTCAAGCCAGGTATCTCGTTTAAGGTGTTTAAGAATATCCGCTCCCATTTTATTTCTTTACAGATGAACGAATCAACAACATTCCTTAAAGTTTCCACAGAATTTCCTTCGCACGGAGAAGAAAACTCATGCGGCAGTTTTGAAAAATAGCCGTTGAGTAGTCTTCCATTTGAAAAATAAAATACGACAGGAAGTCTGCAAACTTCGCAAACCGAGATACCTATGTAGTTTGGGTGTTTCACCGTCGATATATGATAGCTTACTTATGTTAGCGACACTTTTCAATGAAGGACGTAGCTGTAGGGAAGCGAGCTAGGCTGATTGTTGAAATTGATAGACAAAGCTATAGACAAAGAAGACAAAGGGAAAATAGAGCGATCTTGCTGGTAGAAACCGTAGAGTACTTAGAGTCGTAATGTAAGCTGGCGTCACTTGTAAGCATTTTCCAGGTCCCGAATTTCGAGACTCCTGTGTCACGCCGGGTCACTTCTTCGATACACAATCGATTGCTTTCGATACACGGGGGCTCGGCCATCTAATGTAAACAAGGAAGATAGGAATTACTGGAATTACTACGTATTCCACACCGCCATTTTGGATCGAACATGGGCCGAAAAAGTGACCAAAACTTGGCGCACACTGGGCCCGGAACTCCTCGACCAGAACATGGCGCCAGCTCTCCCATTTATATTACGACTCCATGTGCTCTATGTTTCAAACAGGCGATCATCAAGAACTAAGGGACTAACTAATGGACTAACTGTAGGGGTTATGGTGGATTGCCGTTCGTAAGTATTGCCTACACGCTTCCACCAATAGGATCGCTTCATTTATTCTCTGTCTTCTTTGTTTATCGCTTTGTCTACAGCTTTGTCTATCGCTTTGTCTATCACTTTGTCTATCGCTTTGTCTATCGATTTCAATAATCAGCTCGCTGGCTGATTGCATAGTATTCTGTCTTCTTTGTTTATCGCTTTGTCTACAGCTTTGTCTATCGCTTTGTGTATCACTTTTTCTATCACTTTGTCTATCGCTCTGTCCATCGATTTCAATAATCAGCTCGCTGGCTGATTGCATAGTATTCTGTCTTCTTTGTTTATCGCTTTGTCTACAGCTTTGTCTATCGCTTTGTGTATCACTTTGTCTATCGCTTTGTCTATCGCTTTGTCTATCGATTTCAATAATCAGCTCGCTGGCTGATTGCATAGTATGATTATCTAACTAACCTCCTTTGATGAAAGGCGTGGCATCAGTATGGATTATATCGACAAATGAGGCGTCCGTAGAGTCGAGTCTGACTTCAGGGGCTGTTTGACTGAAATGCGGCTCAGCTGGATCCAGACCGGTGATTCTTCCCAACTTCACACCAAACTGCTCTTGCAAAGCATGACCCACATAACCGGCTAAATGACCGCCCAAACTGTGTCCGATTATGTGACAATATTCCACGCGAACTCCCAACTCTTTCTGCGGATAGTGAAAAAGATAAGGCGCGAAAATAAGTAAAGCACCTAAAGTGTTCTAGAGTACCTATATTAAGAGAGTATGGCCACTGGGTCCAATGGAGAGGCTTAGGACCCAAAAATGGCGGTGCTTTGTTTTGGTTTTTGAGGATGGGAGGGGGGGGGTCATTGCCAACTTTTGACGGTTATCACCAACCGCACTTGCTGCCAACCTTACTACATCTTAGATCATTTTTCTCAAAAATTGCACACGATTAGCCTTAAAAATATGTAAAAAAGTCGCAATAGTGCATTTGGGTAAAGTTCTCGTTACGATAAGCAAAGACAACTACATTTTGAATCATTTTGCATTACATTAACTTTATGGCGTCCGCCATTTTTGGGTCCTAAGGGCTCCATTCAGCCTAAGATGGCTGAGCCAATCAGAGGTGGTAACTCCAGTGGCCATACTCTCTCAATATAGGTACTCTAAAGTGTTCATTAGAGACGTATCATCAAAGCATGATTTTAAAATTGGACCGCGTTTAGCAGGAAGGAACCAAGCCGCGTCAGCTATTGCCAAATTTAGCTGGGCAATTAACTTTTTACGAGAGGACGTTTGCGTGGATTTCTTTGAAAGTTTTAAAGAATTTGCTTCGCACTACGTAGAAAATTCACTGTTTGCACACAAATCTGCACAAACGTTTTCACGTAAAAACTTAAATTGCCCGATGGCTGGTGCGGCTTCGTTCCTTTCTACTTAACGCGGTCCAATTGTTAATGTTACGTCTTTTTTTAGTCGACTTCTGACGAATTTCAAAAGAAAATTCAATGGCCTTGCGCTGATAATCAATTGACCACTAGATAAGGTGCGGCTTAATTTTTTTTTTTTTTTCGTAAACAATTTTCTTTTCTTTCCTCCATTTTCTACCCGCAACTGAGTTCAGTGTATCCAAAGCATTTGCGAGTGGGATTATACGAGTACCTAACACAATCTACCACGACTTGATCCTATGCATGCAAGTCAGAGCAAGAGAAAATTTTATGAAAGAATTAAAATTGGTAAAGTCAAAATACCCGTTACTTACAGCCTAGAAACTCTTGAATTTTTTGGGGTGTAGCTTAAGGTGATTCGACGGTTGCCACTTTTAGTGGCAAAGCGACGTGCGATATATCGCATCAATTTATTCCATAAGTTTAGCTACTTGTCATTTTTTTCGAATTTTGAGATCGCACTTCTGTTGTCATGAGACTAAAGAATTCATGTGCCAAATTTGACAAAGAAATGCAATCTATTGGAGGCAGGGTTATTTTTAGAGGAAAAATATTGCATTCGATACTGACATCGAAACTGCACTCGAAAGCGATATTTTTCCTCTGAAAAAAAAAAACCATGCATCCAATACATTGAATTTCTTTGTCAAATTTGGCACATGAATTCTTTAGTCTCGGGACAACAGAAGTGCGATCTAAAAATTCGGAAAAAATGACAAGTAGCTGAAATTATGGAACGAATTGATGCGATATATCGCATGTCGCTCTGACGATAAAAATGGCAACCGTCGAATCACCTTAAGCCGTCGGTTTTCAAAATAATAATCTTCAAAGTATTTTTGGATAAGTCTAAGGCTAGTTTGTTTTAGCTTATAACTTTGAATATTTCATGGGGTCAATACAAAAGAAATGCCGCCCCTGTTAAAGATGGTGAGTAGGCTAACTCGTCGGCGATACTCAGAACTACTTGTGTCTTGCTCTTCAGCCGAGTTAAGCGACAAAGCGGACTAATTACTTCCAATTAGAGTTGCGAAAATAAAATGATCTTACTCTCATTGTCTGGATGAGATGAGCAGTGATCCTTCCAACCAGTCTGATGTTAGCCACCGCTTGCGCATACGGGGGCATCGACCCTGATCCCCAATCCACCGTAATTACATTCACATCTCCTTTGTGTAACAGCGCTTTTGTCAGTTTCTGAAATTTATAAAATTTTGTTATCATCACTTTGTGTGGTGGTACATGTAATTTAAGTATTTAAAATCAAGCTCACCCACGGAAGGCCTTGAACATCGATGTAAATTCGTGTAGCTCAAAATCTCTCGATACAGTCGTGAGGTTATCTAAGCTTTCATATCCCAGCAATGGTGTGCCCATTCGAGGCATTTCCAGCGTCCTTTCCACTGGGTACTAACTCAGTAAAGCTAATTTATGTTTTCATTCGTTCATTTCCAAGTCCTGTTTTTGCATACAATTCAATTTCTGCGTCTTATTTTTTTTCAAATCCAATGCAAATGTAATTTCATTTCTGTCAATTTCTGTGAATAGTTGTTGATAATAAAGGACCAAAAAAAAGTTTTCATATACCAAATCATGAGTGATATTAATTTACAGCCGAATTGTTATTATTTACGTTTTGCTTATGCAGTACCGACGCTCTATTAAAATCAGCCTTTGAACACACAAATTGTTTATTTGGACATTTAGTCAACAAATTTAAATGGTCGTCGCCAAAAACACACCCGTGTGTTTAGTCTCGACCCCGCCTTGATCCGTTCCATTTGGCCTCTTTAATAACGATTTGCGGATTCCGGTAACGTGCGTGAGGAGGTAACGAAGTGTACTGTTATCGCACAAAATGTCAACATGAATACCCTGCTGTTGCATTTGGTTTTTTAGTATATGTTTACAGGGCCGGATGTAGGGGGTGGCCACATGGGCCGCGGCCCATGGCGGCAAATTTAGGAGGCGGTAAATTTTGCATTTCTTCTAAATGCAGGTAAAAAAAATCAGATTCAGAAAAAAAATTACAAACGAGAAATGACGACAAAATCTCTCAACTCCTGAGTGTAAAGTAATTTCTAACGCAATTCGGCCTGGAGCGGCGCGGCGCAGAGAGCAATGATGACGAGGACTTGAAATGAAAAGGAGAAGCCCTCGACGCGGCGGTCGGCTCGTAACACATATTAGCGCCTACAAGACTGCATGAATACTTCACGCATTGCGTCAAACACAGTGCGGTCAGCAGCGGTCGACGTGAAACGCTTAGCGCCTACAAGACTGCATGAATGCTTCACGCATTGCATCAAACGCGGTGCAGTCAGCGTGAAACGCATGGCGCCCACAAGACTGGATGAATACTCCACGCATTGCGCCAAACACAGTGTGGTCAGCGCGGCGCGGCGGCGGAAGTTCAAATGAATAAACCACATTTATGTTTGTTCTTACATAATTTTTGTTTGTTAATTTCTTATAAATGGAAGGCTTTGTCCGCACAGAGATAGGTTTACGGAACTTAACTCTCGCGCAAAGTTCCGGGAACTTTTGCCGGTAATGTTGACAGGGCTTCCGCAAAAAATGTGTCCAACATGAGTAGATGCGTCTTATGCGCCCCTCACCTTCCGGCACGTTCACTTGATGGTTTTTATTGATGTTTCAGAACGAATAAGAAGGGGGCGGCAAAATACAGGCGGCCCCCGAGCGACAAGTAGGTAAATCCGGCCCTGTATGTTTATTATTTCATTATTTTTATTTGTTTACTTTTCTAAGCGTGAGGAGGCTCACTCTTGGTTTGAGCTGAAAATATTGAAAACTACCCACCTTTATCCAAGGCCTGTCCCCACTCTCCAAGAATCCATGAGCTATGAAGTAAATGCGATGTGTAGGGACGAGATAAGACTTGTACATCGTAAGTGGATCCTTGTGGTCTAAGAGCTCGCACGAGTCGGCGTTGCGTCGAGTGTATAGGCAGTACTTGGGGTTTACTTTTTCCGGCGATTCAGGAAACTGCGCCACTGGTCTCAGAATATCACTCCAAGGGTAGTTTATCGAGTAACACCCGTACTCGCCGTAGCATTTTGCCGTTACGTCTAGAAATAGGTATGACAAATGATGAGCTAAGTTGCGCCGATCCCTCGACTGGACAACGTTAAGCAGAAAGGAACCACCCACATCAGCTATTGCCAAATTTTTAATCGGGCAATGGAGAGTTTGCGCGCAAATGTTTTGTTGCTTCATCTAAAAGTGCTTAAAGAGCTGATTTCACAGTATTTTTTACAATTTTTTTCTGATATGGAAATCGAATAAAAATAGATTTAAAAGTGAAAAAATGTTCCACCTAGTGACGTCATCTGGCGGCATTTCCCATTTAAATACACGTATTTTAGCAGATTAGATAATTGTGTCATATCTTCTCCAATAATTGTTTAATTCATGGACTAAGGGTATCTTCGTATTTATTTCACTCAGTGGTTTCCACTTAAACACGAAGTTCATTCAAATTTCAGACACCTGCAAATTCTCTATTTAATGTTTCACATAAAAACAGTTGTGCGGATTTTTGTGCAAATGTCAGTAAATTTCCTGCATAATACTGCGCAAATTCCTCAAAATGTTTGAAGGAATCTGCACAAATGTTCTTTTGTAAAAAAAAAAAATTAAAGTGCCCGGCTTAAGGCAGTAGCTGATGTGGCTTGGTTCCTTTCTGCTAAGCGCGGTTTAACTTATTGTTAGCCTGTATCCTGAGTGGAGCCGTTTTTCGGAATAAGCTAAGCAAAAATTGGTTTGCGGTAAGAAAATCTTTGATTTTGACTAATCAATGTGTCTTCATGCATGGACTGAACAGCGCAAAACTGACTAAATTATTGCGCGCAACTGGTCATGTTCCTTAAGTCAATCATATTGCCATCACGGGTTTTGAAGGCGAACTTAATAGAATAAGAGACGGACGCAATTACAATAATCAACGTGTGCTCCTGGGGTTTCGTGCGGTTGTTGTACGTTTTTTCATTTACTCATCTTTACTATTTAGTTGTATTTAAAAAATTAACTACATATAATATTCCCTACTTAGCGCTCCGTGCAAAGCACCGGTAAACCATCAGTGCATGATTAAACTGTAACACATTATAGGTACATGTGTGTATGTATATAGGTACATGCATGATATTTAATACTTATAATTCAAATGGAAATTTCGTCCAAATTACGGTAAAATTATTACATAATTCCAATAAATCTAACTCATTAATGAGATACCAGCATTTTCCACACTATCGGTTCGTAAATAATAAAATACGCTTCCTCTTAAGCTAATTTATTTAGAGGCCCCTTAAGTTTTACTGAAGGATATTTTCAATGAATAATCACCAGTTTGTGGTTGTAAAACTGTTCCGTTGTCCAATTCCAGAGATGAGAATTCCGAGTTTGCCAAATACAGCATTGTTTGCAATAACAAACTTCCTGTGTGATTGAGCATCTTGGTTTTGAGACCACGTGCAGCCTGTAAATAAAGTAGCAATCAGTTTTTTTGTTGAATCTTTTTAATACTGAAAATACCTTCGCAAACCCATAAAAATTTTCTACAAAAATATCTACTCAAAATGCTTGTTTTTAGAAACGCTGTCTTAAAATATTGAAAAGCTTATTTGATATTACTCGAGAGAATAGGTATACTTCACGTAAGTACTTTGACCTGTCACGTTCAGTTACCGCCAATTTTGGTTGCTGACAACGGTCTTATTTTATCTGACAAAAGTCTCAATATCTACCGCACGTGCAAAGGTCTGAGATTGAATAATTCAAAATGAACGATATTGCTGTGAGATAACGCTTTCTACTTGACTGAAATTGCTCCTTTTCATTGCACATGTACACTGACCAACAAAAAGAAACTGATCAAAATACCCTGTAGTGCTGATGGTCAAACTAAACTAATTTCAGATCACTGAATGTGAAAAAAATCTCAGTTTTTTGTTTTTTTTTGTTTTTTTCTTCTTTTTTTAACATGATATTTCTCCCTAGGGCCATCAATGAATGACATTACGTAGATGCCTAATGAGAGCAGGAGGAGGGGTCTAGGATTGCTTTTTAAATCCCTTTAAAGAAGGGTGAGAATGGAAGGAGGAATTAGGATTGGAGTGAACGAGGGATTAAAAAATGAGTTAATAAACCAAAATATCATTTACATAGGCAACCTCGTATGTTTACCTACAGCCACTAAAGATTTCCACGATTGCATAGCTAGCTCAATTAAACAATCTGCGATTAAGTTACTGAAGATTTTGGCGAATTTTCTTTACCATTAGGAAGACCATTATTTTGTACCTCGAAAAATATTATTGAGAAAAGACAAGAGCATACATTTTTCTTTGTTTGAATGACGTTGAATTTTTGAGTAAAAGGTCTAGGAGTTGCATACTAATTCCAAATATAACACCCGCTGAAAGCATTTTCCCCCAAATATAAAGGAAACCTTTCAGAAAACTCAAAATTGCAAATTATAGATAAAATTTTAAAGAATTATCATAATTTTAAAATTATTTAGCTGATACTTATACGTTTTTCCGTCCCAGCGTGACTTGTTTCTTTAGAAGTATCATAAAAACGTTGATACAAAATGAGCTGATAATTGGAGGGCAAAGACTATTTTTTCTCAGTTAATAAAATGATCGTATGTAGGTAATGCTACACGAGAGCAAGTTAATTTGTGAGGTACATATTAGATAGTTTATATAATCCTTTTTATCACTACAATATTGCCCTCAGACCTTTTGCAAATGAGAACATACTTTCCGCTTTTTTATTACAGTCTACATGAATATACTAAGGAAGACATTGCTATAATTTCTACAATTACTTTCGTTTCTTTCCAAACTCATCTCTCAATAATTCCTCTTGTTTCAATTACGAGGTCATGATATGCGGTCGTGAGGTCTGAATTTTTTTCAATTAATACTTTTTTTTTATTTTTTTTTTAGTTTTTTTTATTTTTTTTATTTTTTTTTTTTAGTTTTCCATCATCAATAACCTATAAGCCGCTTTCAGAGCATCGAACAAAAATCGCATGAGGAAAAATTTGTCCTCAACATTTTATGAACTTTGTATATCACTAATAAATTTAAGGCATTTTAAAGAAATTTTTGCACTTGGGCCATTGCGTAGGTTTAAAGTGTTGATTTCTACAGCTGCATCTCGGAGGAGGAAAAATTTCTCCTTAAAAAATCATATTGGTGAGCAAATAATAAATTTCGGTGAGCAAAATTTTTCTCCGTTCACGGATGGGACCTCATTTGGCCTCGCCCATTTCAACAGCGAGTGCTCTAGGAATACAGAGGCACGTGACTAATTTAAAGTTATAGTTCCGCGTCCCGATGACGTATATCTTAATCAACCGTTCCAAAGTTGAAGATTAGAAATTTACCGGAAAACAGGAAAAAGAAGAACAGTATCCGAAGATAATCAGTTCGATTTCCTGCTCATTTCCGTCCCCTTCTCAGCACTAATCAGGCATTTCCCAACACTGAGCTCGGAAGTTTGGAGCTTAACCCAGGCTCACTCCTCACTCTTGAAGCCATTGCGCTGGGTTAAAAATCAACGGCTAAAGTCGAAAAATGCGTAACTCTGATTACAGCGTCGCAAATCTCAGATAATGTTTTAATCCATTTAAATAGAAAAGTAACAGATACTTAATTTTGAAATTTCCTGTAAATCTTCTTCGCTCGTTCAAAAATATTCTCAGAATATAAAAAGGAGATATCTTAGTCAGTTCCATTCTGGAAAAAACACATGTAGAATAAAAAATCAAAATAAAATTGGAGATTTTTAAACGTTGCAATGGAGATACGTATTTTTCTACATTATAGCCATTGACATGTCGATGACGTTGACTGAACTACACTTTGCAGTATTGAACCACTATTTCTGGCTCAACCATTAAAATAATACTTCCTGCATATGGAAACTGATGGCACATATGATGTTTCTAAAATTAGTCAGAGATAGTGGTTTCTTATTCAGAAATTTAGCCAGCGAACAGCATTCTCGGTGCGTTAAATTCTTCCACCTTCAGCTGTCAAGTTCTGAATGTAGAGGGCACACAGTTCTATCCATATCCACCATAGCTTACCCTGATTGGACACGTGGATATGGATGTAGATAAGGAAAAAATAATCTGAGTATAAGTTTGATGTGGAGATTTTGATTGAATATTACTTTTGTTCTTTATCTTTTCGAAAAAGTATCATTTAAAGTATTGGATTAGAGAATAGACCCATATTACCTCACTCAAGTAGTTTAAAAAAATCATTTGGATGCAGCATTGGTATTTTAGTTAATCGACTGCTGCACCAAATTTTTAAAGTTTAGTCACTGTCATATCGCGTTATAATCGCGTCCAACTAATTTGTTGCCATTCCAGAGTATTTCGCAAATAACTTCTAAAACGGGGGAAATGCCACGTGTTATTTACTGTCTCTTTTATCTCAATGATGGTGGTCCACGAAAACCTTTCATCAAACTCATGAAAAAAGTTTTAATGATGAAACTCTACTCGTATTACGTGAATTTATTAAAATCAGTAAGATATTTCCTCTACGCTACTGGTCAAATAACGATGTAGCGTACGCCTGCGTATACCTAATCATCTTATTTCTCTATCTAAAATGGAGTAACAGATGAATTTTCTAAATTGAGTGACAATAGAGATTTTAGACAATGCTCTGGTAATGCTCAAGGTTCTTCAAAGACTCCTCCACCTTCAGGCATTACATTGAGAAAATATTTTCGTAATCCTATGTCGCGGGTTTGGGGGGGGGGGGCTAGAGGATTTGTATTACCACGAATTTTTTGCTCTGTTTGTGACAAGGGAGGAGGAAAAAGAACAAGAAGAAAAACAGTACACTCACCGTCCTCAAGAGAAAATTCCTATGCTCCGCTTATCAACACGAACAATAATACATCTTTCTGATCAATTCACAGTCGGATTTTTAGAAACAAATCACACCAAGATCGTCGAAGAAAAATTTACGAAAATAAAGTCTTATTCCAACGAAAGAATCAATGTAAGGAGCATATACTGTATCTTTGGATTTGACCGATCATCAGAGTTACTTGAACGAGATCGTCAAATCCACAAAACTCTGAGGACACTTGGGTTCTTCCAACCCGAAAAGACGGACGTGCGCAGTAATTATCAGTAAATCGAATCGGCACTTAAAAAATTAAGAAAAGAGCACCATAGGATGCTGCAAAATCTGGACACTATCCGTTAAGACGACCTCGCGGCACCAAAGGCGGTCAGTAAAAAATGATCTTAGTGCCGCGTTGGTCTCGATGTTCTTAATGAAGTAAAACCGGTGACGTCAAATCCTCCTGTTATCAATCTCTGTTGTGCCGATCGGAGAAATTAATAAACAGGCCAAAGTGCAACGCAATAATTAGGCGAAAAAAGATATTTTTCCAACAATTTCGTAGCCGGTAGATACTCGCCGCCCATAAATAGATATGCTGTTTCGTCATATTTTCGGTGCGCATAAGGAATATTTAAAATGCGTAATAATTGTAATCTATTTTAGGCATTTTTATAACTTGAAATGGTGAGAGGGTTATCAATGAGTGAATCGAAAATGGATGCAATTTGATTCGTTGATGATTCATTCTCAGAAATATTGTTTGGAAGAAACTATCGCTGCTTTATCATGTTACCGGTAATATTGTCTCTCACTCGTTCAAACCAGTTCGCCTTCAATATCTCGATAGGCAATGTGAGCAACTTTGGAGCAGTGATAGTTGCTCGTCGCATGTCGGCCACGTTCACTCAGTTTGATTATAGCTGCAGTGGTTTGATACTGCGTTCTCGTTGTTTCTCAATCGCTGAGACCAGTTTGCCTTCAATACTTCATTAGGCCATGAGAGTGAGTTTGGAGCAGTAGTAGTTTCTCCCAGGAGTTTTGTCGTGTTTGTTCATTGGTATCAGGCATACCAATAATAGACTAATGCCACTCTCCTCTTCCAGTATTCAACACTCGTACTGCGGTTAAATATAATTTTTCTATGAGGCAGGGAATAAAAGTTGCTTGGAATATATTAGCCAAGTTTAGAGTTACTTTCCGTTATTAGCTAATCGTTTGCTTGCTCTATTAAAATTTTCCACCTTTACCTGCTACCCAAGCAGCACCGATTGCATTAAATTGCAATTGCATTCGAAACCACCGGAACTCATTTATCTCTTTTAAACCCTAGATGCCCAAGATTTGGTTTATACGCAAAGTCCCAAATCGGGTCAAATTGACTCTCAGGTACATCAATACATTGTTTTTTTTTTTTTTTTTTTTTTTTGTTTTTGTTTTTTTTTTAAATAGTTTTCACAGTGTTCTCTATATTATTTTTGTGTTTTCGGAAGTAGTAAATATATTTTCCTTGGATTTTAGCATTTTCGGTAACATACCGTAACCGCCTCCCCTTCAAGTTTGGTTGCAAAATTTCATACTACTTTTTCTTTATTTAACTGAACGTTATCGCGATTAATTTTTTTTATATATTAGGGTGTTTTTCACATCGTTATAATAGCTCTCCTCCTAATAGAGGTTTTGTCAGTCTGTGCATTCTGGCATGGATAAAATATTTACATATTGGTCCGTGACGGTCTTGTATCCCTGCTAACGCCCCTCCCCCCTCCCCCCATCTAACATGAACCGTATCACTGAGAACGTAATTAAGATTTGGACCGCGTATAGTAGAAATAAGGAACCAAGCTATATCAGCTTTTGTAAAATTTAAAAGAGAGATTTATTTTTCACAAGAGAATGTATGAGCGGAGTTTCTTGAAAATTTGAAGGAATTTGCCTCGCACTAGGCAGTAATTTCACTGAAATTAGCAAAAAATATTCGCACCACCGTTTACATGTAAAAAATTAAAATGCCCAATTAAACTCAACAATGGGTGATATGGCTTGTACTTGGTTGGTGATATTGGTTACTTTCTGCTGAACGCGGTCCATAAATGCTTCTAACTGGAAATATCTTTTCATGAGACTTGTGAAATACCGAAATATTTAGGTTCTCCCCCCTCCCCGTTACACTGTAAAAAAATTAATCTAAACTAGATTCTCATTCCCTCCGCTCCTCGATATTGCCAACATCAACCTTTCAGTCTTCCGACCCACTGCCCCTTCCCCTATTTACCCTTTCTACGCCATCCTTCCCTTACTCCTGCCGCACCCTAGGGTTTTAATGAAGTCAGGAAGTCTCCGAACGACTCGACTACTTAACTTACGGCATTGATATGAACCTGTAGGGAGAAATATACAGCCGTATACCTATGTGGCAACGGTGGTGAGCTTATGTCAAAATGAAACCAAATTTCATTTCTTATCATCAGGTATAGATAGTGGCATGAGAAGGAGGATCGTAAAATATCGATGAACACAAATTACAAAAGCAGTAAAAAACATACATCAAAACCGCACTGCAGAAATTCCAGAATCCAAAATTGTGCAGCTTTCCTCAGGGTTTACTTATAGAAAGAGTATAGCTCTCTCTCGCGCGGTAATCCAGGATTGCGCGAAAGGTCGAGGAAAATAAATGAGGATTGCGTGAAGAAGGCAAAAGGATTGCGCGAATAGAAGTCGCTACAGTAATGCGCGAATTTAAAATGAATTTAATTTAAGGTAGAAGTTTGGCAAAGCAGGAAACAGTTGGAAAATAAATGCATTTTGACAAGTCATCGATGTCTCACCTTCAGGTGATAAATGAAGTGAAAAGATTCAATAATGGTCGTGGGTATAAAGAACTGTCCTAACTTTTCTCGGAAAAATATTTAATCGGAAGAAACGAGGCAACGTTGGAATGCGCGTACGGCGTTGGCTTAACATAAGCCTTTAAAGCCCTATTATTCGATGCCACGATTATTCTAACGCGAGTTCAAATAATCGCGCCAAATACAGCGCGGCAGGCGTTAAACATATATTAGCGCCTGCAAGACTGAAGGAATACTTCACGCATTGCGCAAAAACGGTGCGATCGGCGCACCCGCCGCGCACCGCCCATATTGGCGCCTACGAGACAGCATGAATACTTCTCGCATTACGCCATACTCACTGCAGTCGATCAGTTGATGTGAAACGCATACCTACAGCGCCTGCCTACATAATTTTTGACTCTCTGGCTTAGTTTTTACCATAATTAAAAGGAAAATATGTATCCTCATCGTAACAATTCAGAAACTCGGACGATATTAAATTTTTTTGGTCACATTAATAGAAAATAGAACGGACGAAAATGTCGCGTCGCATTATGAAACTTATATATCATATATTTTTCCGGGTATTACACTGAAATACCGATTAGAAATTATTACTAATGTCGTCATTTGTCGACGGTTTAATTTAAACTTCGCGCCACTTGATTCCCACTAGTACGTCATCAAAATAATGTCGTAGAAAGAGGGCGAACTAACCTCCGCTATCGAAACAGATGATTTGATATTTGATAATGTTTTATTTAATGTTATTGTTTTGGAAAACCACCAGCCACTGCTAAATGTCATCTTAATGATTTAAAACTGTTTGAATTAAGTGTTTAAAGTTCTTTTTTTCTTTAGGCTCTTTTGAATTGAGAGTTTTCTTCACACATATGTGTTTTTATTAACTTTTACCGCGACTAGCCACTTTAGTTTTTTGTATTTAGTGTAAGTAAAATGGAAGCCTGCACTGCTGTGGAAAGAGAAATTGACAAAGTTCTATCAAAGTTCGGAGGAATAAACGATCACGCGAAACGGTGTCTTCAGGATTTAACATGCCACATCGAAAATTTGAAAGAAGAAATCGGAACTTGTAAGTTTCAAGCAGCTTTTTACAAAGTAAAGTGTTAAAATGCGGTAAAGCAGTCCTTATATCATTGAAGAACTCAACAGTTCTTTGTTCCTTTAAAGTGTAATTTTTTTCCTCTCTTCAGTACATATTTATCTATCTTCAAAACCCCGTACTCAAATCAGGAAGCTGAAAATTTTATAAACACGTCTCATAATTCCATTCCATTGTTCAGGATCCTTCAAGCGAGAATTGGTGTGTAACGTTCTTGATACATTGACCCTGCAGAACCAAGATACCTCTAGCATTTTTGTAGATTTGCACTAAATATTACAAGTACGATGTTTATCCCTGATGTGTTAGCCTTTGCCTGTTTCTACAAGGGAAAGTGCTGTTAGGCACTGTGCACCTGTTTCGGAGGTGTAAGTAGTTTACATGACCCCATTGTCGGGTTTAAATAATTCTCATCAGGAAATTCTCCTTTATTGTGCTCGGTATTAATAATTGTATAGTTTTATACACTATAAATGTCTTAACGCTCTAAGAGCTCTTAATATATCTGTAGACTATTTAGACTATTTTTTGTGGATCTCTGATATTTTAGCTCTTCTCTAAGTTATTCTATTTACCAATCATTTAACCGTTAAATTCTCATTTTCAGGTCCAGAAAATCAAGTTCTTACTGCCGGCCAAGTCCTCATTATGAAACAGGCGATGAACAAGGTGAAAGAAAGTGTACAAAGGTTGGCTGCTGATCATAGAGATCTCCATAGCACAGTGTCTAAAGTTGGAAAGGCGATTGACAGGGTAAAAATAATTACATATTTTTCAAAACATTTTTTGGACTTTTACTATAAATGCTCATTGTGGTCCTCTCTACTTTAAGTTAGCGTCTAAATATGTGGAGCCATCCATGGTCTATGGATCATGCAACGGATGATTAGCACCTCTTTGTAGTATGTTTTCTTTTCAAGTTCCCTATTGACGAGGACATTTACTTACACAAAAGACTGCAAAGTTTTTGTAAAGGGGGAGAGGGAGGGAGTTGGGGACAGCATTGTGCGATTGAGTTTGACCTGTAAAGATAGTCCTACATCACAAGAGTATTACTATGATAGGGGTGGTGTGGAGGGGAGGGGGGTCTAAAAATCTGAAAGTTAGCACTATGTACTTATTTTATAAAATATCGAGATGAGTCAGTGATCAAAGCAGGCTATAAACATTTACCATTAGATTGTTCGGATTTTAAAAGAGAGTGAAAAATATTTGAGCATGCTTTTAGATATCTGCTCCCTCTGAGGTCATTCATAGAGTTTATATTTTTTCAGAATTTTGTGCAAGACTTTGCGTCTACAAGCCGAGAAGATGTTTTCTCCGGTCCTGATAAAATCATGCTTCTGAATCAAGTTATCTGCCAGCATTTCATTCGCCAAGGAATGCTGGATATTGTAGATGAGTTGGTGGCTGTAAGTAATTCCTATTTTACCTATATTCATGTTGACTGTCATGACCAAAGTTTATGAAAAGCTCCTTATTAAGACCATCATGTTCAAAAGCTATTATACTTAAAACCTTATTGATATAAATCTTGACATAGAGGGTTCACTCATTCCCTTATCAATTTGTAAATTTCACTCTAAAAATGAGAAGAATCTAATATCACCATAGTTTTGATCTGTAATTTAGTAACTATATTTGCACCTTATGATCTCATTTTAACTTAAATTTTCTGATGATTACTCATTTGCATTGTGTTTCAGGAGGCTGGTGTGAAAACAGAACCTAGTGTTAAAGAACCATTTTCAGCCTTAAACAGTATCTTAGACTCTCTCAAACAGAAGGATCTCACACAGGCATTTGATTGGGCTCGAGAACATCGAGAGAGTTTGGAAGCTCAGGTAAGTAAGTTTAATTTATATTTGTTACCGTCAAGGTCCTTTTTAAAGACTCAAATAACAGTTGTTGCACCCTTAACTAAAAACTGCTCGTCACATTCTCAAGCAATACAAATGATCCCTGTGATTTACTGTTTTAAAGGGTAGGTGCTTAGCCCCTTATTGAGTGTCTCCTCAATTATTCCAGATTTTGGCGATAGCCATTGAGGGGCAAACACAGCACCCTAGCAACTATTCGCTGAAACCATCACTATCAACACTCTCCCTTCTCTAAAAGACTAAAATATCTCATCGAACATCTCGCAATTAGCACCTTTTGATCATCAACTCTCAAAGTAGTGACAAGCGGGATGAACTGAGGGGGAATGGGAAATCAAGAACTTACCTCAAAAGAAAAGTTCTTTTTTTCTCCTTATTTCACCATTATCTCTTCCTAATGAGCTCTCTTGCTTTCTAATAAGGGTTTGTTTAGGTAGGTCTTAGTGAAGTACCCAACGCAATTTTCCTAAGCGTCTCCAGTCTTCAGAGACACATTTTTTTGTGTTCCATACTGACACTTTTAATTTAAACTTCTTTCCATCTGTAGCGAAGCTCAGTCTTTGTATTACCTTTGTTTACAGAATTCATCACTGGAGTTTAAACTGCACCAACTCCAGTTCATAAGTCTCCTTCAGAAAGGCACCACTGGTCAAAATGAAGCAATTGCTTACGCAAGGACACACTTCTCTCAATTTGTTGGACGTCACGAAAAAGGTACGTGCATCCTCTGGATCCTACTAGTCATCAAAAATATAAACGCAATCTGATGCAGTTCAAGGCTCCTTTTGTGGGTTTTTTCCTCTCCACTGTTTCTCTCTTCTGCTTTTACCTGTGTCCTGTGTCGGAGCAGGGATAATGGAGATGTTGCATGTGTGAGGAATTTGAGATTTGACTATTGATTCGTATGTAAAATTTCGCGAGAAACACGATGGTGCCACTGGTTTTTTTTCTAAAATCAACTCCCAAGCTCAAAAAAAGCTCTCAAGTTGAGGCCAAAATGGAGAGGATATCCCACGCTATCCTGAGAGTCCACCTCTACATCAAGACAAACTCTCCATATAAAGATAGGGAGCAAATACATTGACAGGGCTGCCACTTTATTTGGGGACTCCACAACTGAAAACATGGCAACCCTGCTAATGTATTGCTGGGATGTGCCTTATCTTTGCATGGAGAGTTTGTCTTGATGTAGAGGTGGACTCTCAGGGTAGGGTGGGATATCCCCTCCATTTTGGCCTCAACTTGAGAGATTTTTTTAAGCTCTGGAGTTGATTTCAGAGGAAACCAGTGGCACCATCGTGTTTTTCGCGAACTTTTACATAAGAATCAGTAGTCAAATTGCAAATCCCGTGCACATGCAACATCTCCATTGTTGCCTCCCTCAAAAATTCATCATAGATTTATCCTAAAAAAAAGTGAAAACTACCAAATCCGGCGAAAAATTTGGAATTTCTAAATAAAGTTTTCACACTCAAATGGTTTCAAATGAAATTTTTAATTTAGTCAAAATTAATCGGCTACTGTTTGTAAACAGGTATAGTCCTTGCAATTGAAGAAATTAACCATAGATACTTCTTTGTCCTGTACGTTTTAGGGGTTTAATTTATAGCCTAAAATTTTATGGTCATCAACTTTTTTACCGTTGGTGAATGGGTCCTCTCAACAAAATCTCATATTATAAGGTGCCATTTTGGATTCAAGATATTTGCTAGTCAAGAATGTAGAAGAGGAGAATTTTGTACTTGTTTTCCTTCAGCTGCTTCCATCAACATTTTAACATTTCTAGCATATTAAAAAGTTGGCAGGGTGAAAGTGCCACTTTTCTGTATAATTACACATGGTGCAATCAATTTATAACGGCCTCCAATTGATAGTCATGGCCAGGAGTTATTAGGACCCTGAACTCCGGTGAGAGCCAATGTATCAATTTATATCAGGGTCTTTCAAATACCTATGTATTAATATTGAAAAATCAAATAATATAAATTGTAAAAACTCATGAGTAGTTTCTAGTGCTGCAACCTTGGGTAGAATCTTCGCAACTACCTGATGTCGGACATAAAACGTTTTGCTCTATCTTTAAGTTAGCCTGGCAAATTGTCATTCCTCAGACAAAGCAACCTATCTTAGTTTTAAGATTGAAAAATAACCCCAGCAATTTCATTTTTAAGCAACTAAAACTGTATAATTTGTTGCCAAAATTTTTCTAATTCTTGCATGTAATCAGAAGAAAAATTTTTGAAATTTTTAGTTAAAAATGCCCAACAGTTGCCTAGCGAAGATTAAGTTTTCGAGAAGCAATGTTGTAATGTCGAAATGTAAATATATTCCTTCGCCCAGAGAAAACAGAATGACCTTTCAATTAATGGTGATTTTTTTATGTCTTTAGAAGTGCAAAATCTGATGGGAATGTTCCTATTTCTGCCTCATGGAATTAGTGCATCACCGTATGCCCACATGCTAGAACCTCATTTATGGTCTGATATTGTCGACACATTTACTAAAGATGCATGCTCACTTTTAGGCCTGAGTGTGGATAGTCCTTTAAGTGTTTCGTAAGTAAATTTACGCAGTGTTTTCTCTTATAAAATAGTTATGATTCTCATCAAACAACAAATGAAAATTTATTTTTGAATATTTAGATTTATTCCCCTAAAAAAGAAGAGAAATAAGTCCTATCATAAATGGATTGCATTTTGCAAAAAGAAACCAGAAGAATTGCGATGATGCCAGGATTGTGCATTTTCATCCTTTCCAATAAAATTACTGAAAACTTGAAAAAATATAAAATTTACATTGTAATTTTGTCTTAAATTTACAGTTTTTAGCGAGTAAAATAGAAACTGTAAATGGATAATCAGGTTTTTCCTCCAAGACGAAAGAAGTTGCACAATCTTAGCAACATTGCAATGCTCCTGGTTCCTTTTTGCAAAATGCAATCCAAATGTGTTCTGCCTTGAAGCTTAATCGTCAAAATTGTGCCTCTTTTATCAAGTAATCGAAAACAATCACTAGTTTTTTGTTATGATTATTTCTGCTTTCTGTCTCTTTGAAATTCATGTTAATAAATTTGCTTCCAAAAAAGCTCAAAATTGCAAATGAGGTGTCTAAATTTTCAAAATTCTTAAGGCAACCACCTGGCTCTTTCTATCTCTAGAGCTGAGGGAGTTCTGCGTAACGCCTCATGGAGGCGTGAAACCCCTTCCCCTTACCAACGGTTTTCCAGTGCCACCTATGAATTTGTGAAACAAATCTGATGCCCCTTAAAGAGACAGTGTACGTCAATGTAATGAATATTATATGTATGTTTCACTTTTTCATATCAGGGTCAATGTTGGTTGTGCAGCTTTACCAGCATTGTTGAACATAAGACAAGTTATGCAGCAAAAACAAGTGACTGGAATGTGGAGCGGAAAAGATGAATTACCAGTACGTATGGAATGTTTTTCTTTTCTTTTCTAAGGATGTATATTTGCTGAATGTCTTTCTGTACACTGTTTGTCGTCTGATGGTGTTTCATCGTTGGACTGGTCACAGTTCACAGTGTGTGATTGTTCTGTTATTAAATCGAACTCTGATAACTCAAAACTGAAGGGAGGCAATGAAAAATCTGAGTTTTTAGGGTTTTGAGTTAATGAAATTAGGAGGTGAAAAATTTGAGGCACTGATTGTGAGTTTGCTTTAGAATAGAGGTGCACCTCTTGATTTCACTGCCTCTAAAATGAGCATATTTTGGGCATTTTGGGGTAACATTTAGGGAATTGCACTTGCCTATTTTTTCGCAACTGTCACCGAAAAATGCGAAGTGATTGCCTGCAGCAACCCCAAGTTCTTATCTTGGCATGACATTGCATCCTTCGAGTTATAGAGGTATCATACTGATTCTGTATTTATAAATTTTTTACAGTATTGAATTCTCTATCCTTAATAAACTTATTTTGCCTCAAAATCTTCTCTCAGCTTACACATCCAACTGCAGACACAGGGATGTTAAAGTTTGTCTTATAGCAAAATTACGATGCATCATATCAAGTTCTTGTCTGTCCAAATGTTCAATGCCCTCCCATTGGGATTGAGTAAAATCTTTCTCGAAAAGGGATTTTAAACGTATTTTTGAACAGCCTCCCTAAGTTTCTTTCTGAAGTTTTTTACTCTGTTAATGTGCCACTGGATTATTTAAATAGTGTCTTCTCTAGGGTTGAATAGCTGTTTGTCAGGCTCCCATTTTTACTCTCTCTTCTTTTTTTGTTCATTATCTTCAGTTCTCTTGTCATAATTTTTGACCTCTTCATTTTTTTGTCTTTCTCTTGTGCTGACCTGTACCACAGCTCCTTCAGGTTTTGATTTATAACTGAACAGTTAATTTATTTTATCAAGTTACTTAGGTAACTCTATGAGATAGGGAGGGACGCTTCAAATTAAAGCGGTATTTCGCCGATTCCTTTGGGTATAAGAGGTAAAAACGAGCCTTAAATTTTTTCAAGTCAACGGCACAATTTTTTCAAATTGTCAAGGATTTTAGCCTCCAGCAAAAGAGAATGGCTGTTTTATTTAAAATATTGAGGTTCATATTGTCAAAATTGGAGTCAATGAAGTCAGATCGTATTTAGTTTTCGTATCTTGTCTAAAAATTAAACTTCATTGATGACTATTGAAATTTTTGCTTTCCTGGCATTTCAACTTCAGCCTATTTATGTGATAGCTTTGTTACTAATTCCTTAATTTTCTCTGTCATTCAATTCTACTGTTCAATAGAATTAACAACAAAATTAGTGATTCCGTAAGAAAATCCCTGAAATGTTTTCAGCTTTAGCAAAAATGTTTTAATATTATGCATACATCACCTTTTTATTAAAAATAATTTTGCCTCTGCTGTCTCTTTTGTTGCAGATTGAAATTGAACTTGGTCAGGAACACAAATATCACTCTGTTTTTGCATGCCCGATTCTAAGACAACAGAGTTCTGAATCCAATCCACCCATGAGACTCATTTGTGGTCATGTGATCTCTCGTGATGCTTTAACCAAGCTTGGTAGCGTAAATAAGTAAGTACCCAAGCACAGTTTTCCCTCCTTTTACCTAGGATTTCATTCAGACTTGAGATTCTTCAAAATGGAATTACCCAATCCCCGAAAGTAATTTACCCTGAACTGAGTTGAATGTGAAATGTAGTGGTTGAATTTCTTGTTTTCTCCCATGGGTTAGCAGCACCCATTTTTTCACTCATTTTCTGAAAGTACAGAGTGAATTGAGCTTCTAGGAATTTTTCAGATTTTTTGTAACCCTAAATGGCAAAGAAACCTTACTTTGAAAATGCAAATAATGGACCCGTTCGAAACGAATTATTTGGTGGGCTCTAATGACAAAACCTGCCAAAGTTGGACATACCTATCCTTAGTTTTTTTTCAAGCTCTTCAGAATATTGAGTTTTCAAAGGGAAAAATTATTTTCTTTTTAAAAAATCCCTATACTTTTTTAATTTGATTTACTAAAAAAATGGTAGATGCTGAAGAAAAATGTATTAATGAGCTGGCTATTTATGCACTTGTTCAGTTAGAATATTATCTTTTCCTCTTTTTTCTTTTGCAGGCTAAAATGTCCTTACTGCCCAGTTGAACAGAATCCTTCCGAAGCAAGATTAATATATTTTTAAACCAATTCTTTTTCATGTTTTTGTAAACATATTTTTTCAAGATTTGATTTGTGTTGAGTCAAACTCTTCCTAAAAACTATTCAGTGTACATACTGTGAATAATATTATTAAGGTGCTTTGATAGTGGTATGAATATTTAGTAAGCTCTACAGTGATGGAATGGACAATTTCCTCACTCATCGTACGATTATGTTTCAAGTAAAACACGAATAAAAAATAATCTTTTAATTGTTGCAGATTAAAGTGAAGTTAGCTGTAGTTTTAATTGCCAATAGAAATTATCTTCCTCTCTCTTTGTTTTCTTTTTGTAATTTTTTCATGTTTATACTAGCAAAAAATAGGGAGAGGGAGGAACTGGAAGATATCTTTGTTCTTTTCAGAAAAATTATTTATGTTTGTTTTTAAATCAAAGATGAACGGTTCAAAAAACTGAAAGTAATACCAAATTAAATTGAGCCAAAATACGACTTCACTTGTTAACTCTTCATATTTTGTTTGTTTTACAGTTCTAATTGATTTATTCCTTTTATTTCTGTCTTTCTTTTTGTACATAGTTAATATGATGACAATTTTGTTTAGGGAAAATATTCTTTTTTTCATCAAATAATGGCTATGATACATACACATTTTACTACAATTCCCTCCACCTTTCATGGAGAGAATAATTTCTAGTTTGTGATTTATCTCTTTAGATGATTAAATGAATTTCCTGTTTTGTATTCTTTGTCTTTTTTAATGCAAGGATGAGTGTTCCTTACTGCATGGATTTTTTTTTCTTTCTTTCCTTTTGTTCTGATTTCATTTTATTGAACATGACATGAAGCAACCCAATTTATTATCTTTGTAAATAGAAGAAAAAAGTATGTACCCAAAAACAAGTACAAGTCTCCTCCTTGAACATTATCTTAAAAACATGTGTTAGTCTCTCACTTGGTCTATCCTTATTTTAATAGTAATTCTCTGAAGCAATCAAACTACCCAATACAGTTAAGTTTTTTTTTTTTTTGGGGGGGGGGCGTTCATTTAGCTTCATGTTCATTTTAATCTGATAAAACATTACCTAAGTATGGTTCTTGACTCATACATGTGGGAGAAGAGTATTGGGTTATTCCAGTTGAATCCTCACTTTTATTCTATGGAAGCAATACAGTGTCAGTGCCCTCAAGAAACTCGTGAATAAGTATCATCATCACTCAATCAGTACTTGAAAGTTTGCGTCAGAAATTGATAGCAAGAAAACTGTGCAAGCAAAAAGAAATATTGGGGGTTATTACGCTGACAACCAGATCGAATTAAAATTTAGGTGGAACAAGTTTAACAAACTTTTTCTGAAAGAGCTAAAACCGTACATTCATATGAATGGAATTAGAAGTCGACATAGAGGAGATGGGGCTTCCAGAAAGGTTTGGAAACAGATATCCAATGAGGGTTTTTCCCTTTGTGAGGGAAGCAGAGAGTGCTTAGGCTTACAGTTTTGTTTTCTTATTTCAGTCCATGTATATCCTTGGAACCACACAATTTACCTTACGCAATTTTCATCCACTGTGAAAACTTTGATTTCACATTACAGGGCAACTGCATGACCCTCTTAGACTTGGACCTGAGGAAGTCAAGCTTTGTATACATAGAAAATCTCTGCTCATCTCAGATATTTTGTACTTTTGACCAAAAAATTTGAATCATTTCCAAACTTTAGTTAGATCCTCATTCTGAAATTAGTATTTCAGAAAATATTTATCATTATGATGTATTTTTTATTTAATTTTTTATACTTAAATTTAGTATTGAAGAGAAGGTATTTCACCATATTACAGACTATTAACCTCACGTACATAGGCACTGAAGAAAAGTCAGGGTAATTAAATAGCTCTGGAATAATACTCATGTACCTCTACCTGTCAAAGTACCTAAGTCCTAAGTATTTAAAGAGGAAACATGATTATTTCTTGAGGTTTGCTTTGGTTCCCTGAAAGATAACACTATCAGTTTTATGGACAAATTTTGTCTGTAAACATCAGTGATCGTTTCTGATGACTGGGAAATTTATATCAAACCAACCTCATAGTATAATAAGTACTCGGATTTCTCTCAATATGATACAAACATAATTTCACCCATATTTATCACTCATTTTCAACTTACATAAAAAAAAAATAAATCGAAGGTGCCTAAGTCTGCAACCACATCTTGGTTTGTAACGTTGCAGACTTCTTGTCATACTTTATTTTTTAAACGGTGAACTACTGGATGGTAATTCTTCAATTGAAACTGCCGTGATTTTTCTTCTCTGTGCAAAGAAAATTCTGCAAAAACTTTAGGAAATGATGTCAATTCGTTCTCCTTTAAAAAAATAACAAAGAGGAGGAGATTTTCTAACGCTGCAAACGAGATCCGTGGTTGCGGACGTAAGCTGTCGAAATACATAAATATCAAGGCTTACATGCGATTAACCCCAGCAAGGTTTCTAATTGCTTTGATTCGTGTTCCTCAGTAAGAAGAATTGTTTATAAAAGACTATTAGGTAAGAGGTTGACGTACTCTGATTCTGATATTGCAAGTGTTACAAGTCTCTGCTCATGTTCCATATTCTTCCACAAGGGGGAAAAAAAATTATATTTTCCAGTCTTTAAATTGTTAACCTTAAATTATTCTTCGTTCTTCAAAAAATATGCTCAGAGAAGTTCAAGCAGATAATTTGGTTGACTCCATAATGAATGAAATGCAATTTGATATTTTTAAATGTTGCAACAAAGATGCACATCTCGACTTGACACATCTTGGGCCAACAATATTCTATTCCTGAAATGAATGCTTCATTTTTTTTATTTTTCTTAAACGTCAAGTTCTCGTGCCTTGTATAATTCCATAACTTGTTTCACGGAAATTTTTAATATTCTGTGTAAATCCTTCGCGTCGATTTGAAATTTCGCGCTATTTCTGTTGTTTGACACGTTCACCCCGCCTAGCAAAATGCCTAAATTCAAGGCGCCACGAGTGCTGACGCTCAGAGGTTGTCTATCTACTTCGCATTCTCTGTGAAGTATACGCAACATCGACTATTCACGACTCCGTCTCTGTGGGTCGTCAGTTTCATTTTCAATTTTATCATTATCAGTAGAGCGTTTATTATCGTGTTAAATCTCCGTTGATTCCCTTAGCCTGGTTTATCATTTTGTGATCATTATTTCTATCATAAAGGCGACATTTCCATGCCGTCCAAGAGATGAAGTGATTTGGCTGCACCCTGTGGACGAGGGTGATTCACTCCGTTTTCCTCTGCTACCACAGTAAGTTCTTTGTGATTTTACCTGCACTGTGACTTTATTTTTTGTTCGCATTTTTCTTGAAATCCATCTCAACCCCAACTTTATCACTGGGACCAAATCCTAGCACAGCATCCTCCCCTTCCTTTTCTGTGCCCTTACATATCATCGTCATCCATGATTCCATGATTATGATAATCAACATGGCTTCCATGTCGTGTTAACAACAAACCTAGTTTTGTGTTTTGTAAGTTAGAACTGGTAAAATCATAAGCTCATTATCAGAAATTCCGAATGGTGCACAGCTACTTTATCACATTATTTCCAATTACACACTTACTTATCATACCGAAGTATTGAACTCTTCTTTTTCCTTAACTCCTTTGTGTAAGTTGGAGTCTTGTAATGCTCTCATGAGTGTTTTCTCCAGTCTGTTGATTGTGAAGGAAGTTTTCACATTTCTCGACTGCCCCATCATAAAATTCTAAACTTACCACCACTAAATATCTGTGACCTCTTGGTAAATTTACCGTCGGTTTTTCAACATGATTTTCCGTCATTTGAAGATCTAAAGTAAAGTGTACATATTGCCTAGGTATCTAATGAACATATTATCCATAACTATGAATGGAACTTGTTTGTCATGAAGGGTAAAACTTAATGTGATCTTTTCCTCTGTTTCCTTTCATTAAAATCTTTCTAGTCTCACATCATTTTATTACTCTGCTATCTAGTATATCAAATGTTTACCCCTCATCGTTCCATGTGTTTGTCCCTATGCGTGTATGTTGTAAATATAACTGACCTCTCGAACTGCTAACTGGCCGTAGGGAATGATGCCGTTAACCTGAATGTTCAAAAAGTCGACGTCTAGTCTCATACGGCTCAATGCCCCAATCCTGAACACTCCTAACCTTTCTAAAGTATCAATTCACCACCCTTTCGAATAGTATTGCTTTATTTTTCCTTCAGAAATTGGAGCTTCTTCTCATCTGATAATTGATAATGTATTGTCGAAATTATACGTCACGAAATGTCAGAACCTCAAACGCACAGCTGTATTCTTTACAAGAATATTTCTCACTCATCTTATTGCATTTCTATTAGTAACTTTAAACATAACAATTGAGTTAACAAATGATTTAGGGTTAATTAGTGGATGCTTAGTTGTCTAGACCTGTAACTACGGATTCTCCTTCAATGAGCACATTCCACAAAACTAATATTATTTGTTTTTACTGATTTTAATCAATTAAGAAGTTAAAAGTAATTCTATGCTCTGCAAGATCCTTCCATTTTAGAGTATTTATCATTTTGAACAAAGGAAGAACCTATTTTGGTGAAGTCCTCTTCTTTTGTCCCCTGTAGAATACCTATTTATGTAACAGTGATTACTTTTCGTTAAATACCTCTCTACTTTCAGTGTTGAGTGGTATTCATCATCATTTACCATTGGATTGTGTCAAAGTTGTGCTTTTCGTTTAAATTCAACCCAGTGCTATACTTTTTAACGTTTAGACAATGTCCTGGCATTGCCCTGCCAATGCGGTAAATCATATTGTGCACAAGCCTGCTAAGCTACACCTAGTTTAATTCTGTACTTGAAAGCTTAACTATGAGCTCATTTTAGTGTTCGAGAATTCATTTGAATTTTTAGGGAACTACCAGTAAGTTGGATGGTAACTTCTTCTACCTCTGTTCTTGTCATGCATGAAATTAATCCTCACTAAGGAAGAAACCCTTCACAACTTTTGAGGTAATGACCATTTTAATGGTGAAAAAAAAAAAATGTATACTCGATAAGTGTCTTAAATATGCCTCTATAAGTGGCAAAGAGGTGAAAAATTTCTGCCTTGGGCAGTGTTACCAAGTTGGGAACCTAAAAATCCCGCTCCCTGAAACAACAAAATTCTCAAGGTTGTCATTCAAGCTAAAAATTCTTAAAAAACTTTTGCTACCGTTTTAATTTTTTTTTTTTAAATACTTAGTAGTTTTCTAATAGGCTTTTTTACGCACTTAAAACAAATAGAATGTTGCTTTAGAAAATAAATGCCTGTTCCCTGTGATTAGTGTTTGAGAATTCAAATTACTTAAGTAGTAGGTATATATTCTTATTCAAAACCCTTATCCCTAATCTTCCACCCAGACAGTAGCTATTTCATCAGATTTTTCCACCAGCACTCCTAGCCTCCTTCTCACGAAAAGATCTATCATAGATTTCTAAAATTTGCTCATTCAATATTCAATAGAATTGTTCATGTAGCAAACTTAGCTCCTCTGAAAAATTTGACCCTTTTAAACTTTCATTTTTAAAAAGATGGTTGCGGAAGCTATTCCCATTTGTTACTCATTTTTTCTCTCTCTTTTTTTTGTCTCAGGCATAAATGTCAGAGCCATGATGTTAAGTAGTAAGTGAAGACAACAATGGGCAGAATAGACCGATCGAAACTCAAGAGGAGCTACTCTGAAGTTGTAAGTATTTTTCATTTTCCTGTCAGTGTGTTTTTCTCTGATACCTAGATAGGCAAAACAGTGTGGGGGATCAATTAACTTCTTTCTTACTTTTGAAATCCACTAATCATTAATAGAGAGAAAATTCACCTAGGTCATACCAAGCCATACACCAATTTTATTATTTGACCTCAGTTGCATCATAAAATGGAGAGTAAAAAGTACGGACATGCTAAAATTTTTGCTTTGAAAGTTGAAAGATTTTTTTTTTTTTTTCTTCGTAACCTAGATGGCTTCCTCATACGCTCTAAAGTTTCCCTTTTATTATTAATTACTTAGCCTATTAAACATTTATGTAAATATTTTAAAATACATAATATGCGATTTTGCTCAGCTGTCATACGTTGTTTACCTTTTGAACAACACAGGACGGGAAGGGACACTGCTCGAATGAGAAGCCTGCCAAAACTGTTTTAGTGGGAGATTTGATTCAGTAGACTTAAGCTAAACTTGTAAGCGGGTAATTCAAATTTTTCGTAAACAAAAAGAAAAACGTTTATATTTTGATTAGGGCAGAGTCATAGTATGTTGAGACAAATGTCAGTCTCAGATTACTTCTGAATCAACACCTCTCAACAGGTTAATACATGTAGTCAGATGGCACCACTGATAAGTGGTGACTTAAACAGCACTTGCCTGTTGTCTCAACATACAATGACTCCGCTCAATAAGTCAATTTCAGTAGTTTTTGCTGTGCAAATAGTGTTTAACATGAAATTTTGAAGAGAAACTTGTATCAGAAATCAGAATGCTTCAACTTATACCTTCTCTAGTAGTCTATTAGTGAACTTACTTACCTATCAAGTTCACTTTTTCTTTTATGTTCACATTTTGCAGTGTAACAAAAAACTCTGTAATTACTGAAAAACAAACAGAATCCTTACCTAAATCCGTGACATAACTGGTAGTAAGCTTTTTTTCAGTATCAGATTTTTTTGCTATTATGCTCTTAGTTGGAGTCTAAAATCTCAATCCTCTCTCATTTGACAGCCTCCTGAGTGCCGACCTCTCATAGAAAAATTGAAGTCTTGCAATGAATCCGAGCTGCTTGCGGAGCTGAAACAAATTGATTCATGGAACTATGGCAAGTGTGAACTTTACCATTGGATCGATGTTCTTGATCGACTGGACTGGATCTTGGAGAAAGCCTCTGCTAGAATTGGTCGGCCTGACAGCTGGCAGTTAGCTTGTGATCAACCAAATTATCGTGAGGTAATTGCAGCCTTTCTTTCAACTCCTATTTTTCTAACCTCTACTGTATTGAATTTAATCAGTGTTTGAATCTGACAGGCATCATGCCTTAAATGCACCTAAACTTTCTAATTGGCATTAAATAATTTCAAGGTAAAAGTTGGTATCCAAACATTTGTGGTCGGATTTCAAACTTATGAGTGATCCTGCTCCTTTCCATCCACCCATTGCACCCAGAGGCGATAATTTCAGATACCCTGCACTTAAAATCTAATTGGTATGTGGAGTGTAGCCAAGTGCCAGAAATAATGTAACATTTTATTAAAAAAACTTACATCTTATATATAAACTTTGACCGAAGCTTTTCGGAGCAAGCGCTTCATCGCCAGAGTCACAAAGTATAAATCACCAAGGCCATAATTTAATTTCAGACAAGGTAACAGATTTCAGTGGTAACACTTGATAACAAATTAACAGATCAAAACACTCTCAATAATCAAAACACTTTCAATGTATGCTTAGTACCTAGTTCTCATTAGAGATGGCAGCACATTTTATGTACAGGGAATTACTTGCCAAATTTACCTCTTATATCTATAAAATGTAGTAAGTTTTTTCAAAGAAAATGTTACATTATTTCTAGCACTTTGCTAAATTCCACACACCAATATATTCAGTGCTACTACCTTTAAGCTATTGTGTAATACAATGTTCGCTGAACTTAAAAATCTAAGCAATGTAATTGGGTGAAGATATTTTTAGAATCAATGATTGAATTTTCTTACTGATGATTGTTGAGCATATAGTTTGTTTAATGATGATGAACATCGGGGTAAGCACTTTGCAAGGCAAGTTTTCTTCAGCAATTGCTCTACACTTTGATAGTGTGTTATCATCAGGCAAATTTGAGTGTTGACTTCAGAAAATGCTTTTAAAGGATTCAATTGGGTGAAATAAAGATAGAAAATTGTGTAATGAGTCAGTAGAAGCTCGATTTTAAATTGCCGAAAGACATCTTATACCCATCATGTATTGGTGTATAATTCTGGCCCTCAAAAAACCCTACTGGCCCAAAAACTCTTAACATACTAGCCAAGATGATGCCTAAATTTTTTGTAAAGATTTGATCTCTGAAGTCACTGAACGTATTGCTTTTATTCAGGCAACATCAATCAATGAGGATTTTTTTTTTTATCCCCGCAAGAGTTTTAAATAAGTACCTACAATTGGAATTGGCATTCTTTTTTTTTNTGGGGGGGGGGGGGAAGTACAATCAGTCATGCTTCTGATGTCTGATAAATCAAACAATAGCTCCTAATGAGCAATCCCTTTTTGCTGTTAATGGTTGATGTTATTCCTTTCATTATGCGCTACAAATGGTTGGAAAACTTGATAACATTTTAACTTGTATGTTTCTTTGATCTGTTCCAGCTGAAAGATTTAACACAAGCTGTTCTCAATTTTACGGCAATTTTGATTGAGCAGTCCTTCTCCCGTCACTTATATAGCTCTGTTGATCATCTTCTTGTATTACTAACGTCCTGTGATCTAAATGTTGTTTTGGGTGTTATCAACTTGTTGTATATGTTCAGCAAGAGAAGCAATTTCATTCCTCGTCTAGAACATGAAACAAGAGATACCTTGATCAAATTTCTGTCCTGTCTTGCGGAAGTAAGTATTCCCGTACATGAGCCTTTTGAATTCAAGCTATCATTTTTAGGAGCATGCTTAGTGATCAGAAAAAAAAATTTCTCTCTTTGCACTGATTGCTAAACCTTTATTCTGAGTAAGTTTAGACCTTTCATTTTCTCAGTGATTTGCGAAGTCAAGTTCCTCTGAAGATTCAGTAAACTAAACATGCTCCTTTTGTCTACAATTAACAGCTAAATTTTACTCATATTAAAGCTTTCAAACTTCTTATTTGTTTTCCTGAAGTATTTTATGTTTTTTTATCTTTTCACAGAGCTGGGGAGGCAAAGAAAATGGATTTGGTCTTGCTGATTGCTGCAAGAAAGATCGAACTGTAAGTCTATCATTTAGTTAATTATTCAACTGCCTACATTCTTTGAATCATGATTTAAAATATCGCATACTTCTCCGGATATTATGATAAAAAATTGGCATAATATCTCACTCTAACAAGCCAAAATGAAACGAGCAACTATTTGAACTACAGAGTAGGTATCTGGTATTACAAGAAATTGAAGGTTTTCTCCATTTTCAAATTACCAATTTTTATCATAAGAACGCTTACATTGTTATAAATGTTGCGTATTTTCTGCCATATTGATATAAAAATTGGCTGTACTTTTATGCGCTGACATAACCATGAGAAATTCATGTGTATGCTGTGATATTGAGGTGACTAATGTGTAATTGTAATGATTTTATGAATCCGATTAAAAGAAGCGCCTTCACTGCGATGTTGCAGTGATTAATTTCTAATTTTGTTTCCAAAATTCCTAGAAAAGTCGCACATTTCTCAGGATATTGCGATGAAAAGTGGGTAATTGTTAAGGAGTTAACAAATCCGCTAGATATATCCTGTACTTACTTCTTGCCACATTGAAATTGAATCCGCATTATTTCTCTTTATTTAAGTAGCGAAAATGAAGGGAGCAACTATTTGAACTCCTGTTAATCATTTGGCCAATCATGCAAGATCAGCAGTAATGTGCTTCATTTCATACAGTTATTAACTTTGAATCAGGCTATCCATCAGGAAGTGTGTTCATTTAAATACTCAACATCTGTGTTCTGCCATTTCCAAATGCACCAAAAAATAGGGGTTTGGCGGCAAAAAATTTGGGGCCTCGGACGTTGTGGCGCCCAAAATAATGACAGACCACTTTGATTTTTTCAACCTTGCAATTGCGAAATAGCAGTTGCACTCTCAACTAACAACTGTTCATGTTGCAATATGTATTGCGAGACTTCTTTGAAAAAGATACCTATGTTGAAATAATTTAGCTCAAAAAGTTATGTTTTTATTTGTTGCTTTTGGTAAGGTAAACTCAATTTAACACCAGATAAATGTGCCTTGATTCTTGTAACATCTTATTCCACCGAGCCTTTCATTCACTTTTACTTTGCAGTTGTGCCTTTTGCGAAATTTCATGCTTCTTGATGTGTATGCTAAAAGTTAATTTAGCTCTTATAAAATTGTTGATGGCTCTTAAGTATTGGGCTTTCTGGCTAAGGTGGCTCCTAAAATTGTAGGGGAAGGCAGAACACATAAAAGTATTTAAAATACTACCCGCCGGTCAGCTTATGAATTTGGGAATGAAAATTTACGATGATCCTGTGTTGCAATTCTTGTCCAGCTCTCAAGTATAATATTAAAAGTCTGCGTCAAGAAAGCGAATGCAGAATAAAAACTTTCATTTTTGTGGAAAGATTGAGGAATTTTAAAAATATTCAAAAACTCTGAGCCTCCATCTTCATCGAAATCTACAAAAATTGTAACTTGTTCATTTCTATTCTTAAAATTTTGCCATTGTTACTTCCGAACTGTTTAGAGGTCAGAGCAACTCTTTTTATTTTTATTTATTTATTTTTTTTCTTATCAGTTTTTGCAATCAGTTCAAAAAGTACAGTTTGATTTCTAATCGCATATCTTGTCGCTTTAGCCAGAAAGTTTTTCCCTTTTGGCAAGACATCAAATCAAATAATCGGACATAATAGTCGGAAAATCATTTGTTTGAAGTCTCGTTCAGTACGCAATTATTTTGTTATGTTTACAGCATCTGCCTTCAACAGCCACCACTGTTCACTACGAGTTTCGCTCAAACAATGAATGGAATTCAGAACATAACTTTAAATCATATAAGAAAGGCAGTGCTCATTGCATTCACTTAGATAATGTCGATAAAATGGGCCGCTCTCCTGCTGAAATTATGGATGGGATTGTACAAGGATATGAAGTCCCTATTCCCAATGCTGTAAGTAAATCATAAATTTTCATTTTCCATCAAAATTGTAAAGGAAAAAATTGCCAAGAATAGGCACTTCACACGTTCATTGCAGGTAGAAGCTCACTTATGAAACCTGTGTGGTGGGCAGAAGTTCAGTGCACCGAACATCATTTCTGGACTCTGGAGAAAAAGGTGCCAATAGAAGGAGCTGAGTTTATAATGAGGTGGCGGGAGCAAACTGTGGACTTCTGCGTTATGTGTAAGGTTGCAAGATGTTGTGAAGGAAACCCGCACCAAAAAAAGAAATTGGTTTAAGCTCTTAGCATGTGTGCAGAAAGTTCAATCGTCAGTATACATTACCGTATATTGTAACCTATGGCCAAATGATTGTCCCCATTTATTTCTTCATTTTCGACTAATTTTAAATCCTAGTTAAATATTTGAATTTCCAAAGATGCAGAACACGTAACTACAATAGAAGCTTGTTCCAAATAGCATTCACTTTTAACTGAAATTGTTAAATCCAAAAAATTTAGGAAATAAAGAGTATCTGTAATAGAAGTTTAAAAAAAAAAAAAAAAAAAAAAAAAAAAAAAAAAATTACATTTACAGACCCCAGGGAATTTTTAGAGGCTTATAAAAACCCCTCCTCCAGGTAGATGCCAATAACAGTGGTGCCACAGAGTTTAACACCCTGGGATTTGGACCTTATCTTCAGACATTTCAGAGATAAAAGAATTCTCGAATTGTATGATTATTGTTGTATGTTTCATGAGGAATACTTAAAACTCCGGCTGAATTTTTTTTACCTCTGTACTTGTGCAGAGTGTAACTTTTAAATTGTGGTCCAAATACCATTATGCCCATCAGAGGGTCAAGTAAATAGTAACAAGAATTAATTCAGTAATTTTCTAGCTGGCCCCAATATTTCGAAGAAGTACAACGTCTAAAATTCCTAATCTATACGTAAAAATAGTGCTGCTTACTATTTGTTAAAAAATTCTTTTGATAGTCTGAGAATCACTTCTCATAAACTCTTACAAGTATTTCCTTTGCTAAACAATTAAGTGTATTGCAATTTTGTTCTTCAATTTTTGTCTGACTGTAAGTACCATGAGGTTTCATCTGTTTGTTACAGACTTACTTGTTCACTCATATTCGATTAGCCTGTAATTTTACAAATTATGAAAGAAGACTTCTATGCGTTCAAGTTAGACTACAAGCTTTGACTGTGTTATTATATTCTAATTCCTACTTGGATCCTTGGACTACACTTTTATATCCTGGCTTGTTGGAAGAATTAGTTGAATTGCTAGAATTGAACAACTCAAAATTAGTGGATATTAAAGCAGCTGCGTTACGCACTTTAACATCAATCATTCACATTGATCGAGCTCCAGGCATACTTCCAAGGTAAACTTGCAGTGTATTAATAAAGTATTTTATTTTTTTTCTTTTGCAAAACTGCAAATGCTGATGACTTCCTGTAATGATATGGTTAAGGTCAAAAGAATTACCTAGCAAATGGATCCATCCCATAATTGCTGGATTAGGGAGACAAATAACACTTTTATATCTCTCTAGAAATACGCCTCATGGAGGAGTAACATTCACTTTTGCAGATTCTCAAATATGTTGGAGCAGGACCATCTGCTAAGTTAATGAGGAAGGCAGCATTGGCGCTGTGCTTACTACTGTACCATCTAACTTTAAATTTTACGCTTATCAACAACTTGAGAGCACATATTCTTTCTTTACAGATTTTACTGTAGTATTGATTATGGAATACTTCTTCAACTGGCATAAGCATGCAACTTCAATCCTTTTCATGAACATTCAAATTGTTTGCACTTAAGATTAAACTTTCTCTCAGTTGCTGTCATTGAAACAGAATTGAGAAAACAACTTTGAGCTCAGGTCACCTACTTCTCTGAGATGATTGGAAGAAAAGGGTATATTAGGCCTAAAAAAACTTGAGTTTCGAACTTACATACAATCAACCTGTGTTATGATTTCAAAATAACCAACCAGTGAGTAAAAATGCCAAGGAGTTCAAGAGTGCTCCTGATGGGCAAAATGCTGAAAACGCTTTTGACTCAATTTCTTTTTTGGCTTTTTGGATCTTGTACACCCTTAGTGGCTCTCTTGTGTGCTCCACTAGTCAACAACTTACTCAAAAGTCTTAGAAAAGTATGTAAGAAGTCACTTCAGACACAGGTTTAAAGCTCCATTTCTTTTACATTCCAACAGTGGAAAAAACACTAGCTGTTAAGCTTCCAGAAATTAAATTAATGTCCTCCAACATTAGCTAATGTGTTCCTTTAATTATCATAGGAAGCCAGCGTTGAGACTGGATATGATCATTGATGCAACTGGAGCAGCTTTGTATCATGGATTCCTACCTCAAATGGTAAGATCCTGTATCAATTCACTCGTTGAAGGTGAAAATTCGTACTCTCTGCCTCTAGCGACGGCGCTCTTTAGTTTTCTTTATCACATGGCCAGTTGTGAATCTGGTGGTGAAGCTCTTGTCAACTCAGGGATGATGGAAGCTCTTCTAAGAATCATCAATTGGAACACTCGTCAACTAGAACACATCCCAGTGAGTATTTTTAGTTAAATGCAGGGATTATATATTCGTTTAGGATGGGCCAAAAGGCCTTCTTTGTTTATGTAGATTATGAAGGCCAATGCATTTTGCCTTTTCAACTATATTCCTAAATGTAAGGGCTCCAAGTTAGATTTATATTATGCTCCCATATCATTTTATCAGGAGTTGAAGGAATGGAAGAATCCAAAAGGAGATTAGAAAATTACACACAATACACTCCAATCACCTGAGTTTTATTCATTAAGGTTTAAAGTATTTTACTTGGTAATGTTGAATGGTTAACCCTTTCATTACGAAAAATGTAGCCGTAGCACCTGCCTCCAGTGAAGGCATGTCCTTCCTGCAACGATTCCGCCATTACTCAACATACTCTACTCAGAAGTATACACATTTAAAGCTCCATCTATCGAGGAGATTCTGAACTACAACTTGAGGCACTTCCTGACTAAGTACTCTCGGAAGTGTTTGCAATACAATTGTCTAGAGTGATAATGAAAGGATCAATTTGTTCTTACCATTTTTGCCGGAGATAATGACCGTGCTCCCATGAGCAGTGATAAATAAAAATTAAACTGTAACTTGATGTCCAAATTTCTTAGGAGCAGTCATGATGCTTGCTAACGCATTTCAGTGCGTGTTTTAAGGAATCAGTGGAAACCAGGTATTACCGAGGTTCATTGCTCCAAGAGTCATGTCCTCACTTTTAAGAACTCCAATTTTCATGATGTATTTGTATTTTTAGGGCATGATAATGGAGCTCCTGCTTGCTTCAGACGTGTTTTAAGTAAATTTTATCCATGAAAAATTGTACAGGAAATATGATGGTGCCTGTGGTTTTCTTTGAAACAAATTCCCAAGCTGGTAATAATCTCTTTGAGGCTGGAATGGAGGAAATTGACTACCATATGCTGAGAGTCCACCTCTATATCCAGTCTATTCAGTCAGAGAAAATACATTAGCAGGGTTGCCATTCTGTACCAGGAATTTGAAGGTTGCAACCATGGTAACTTTGCTAATGTATTAGCCCTTTTATGGTTTCAACTGTAAGAGCTATTTTGGAGATTGAGAGTCCATTTCAAAGAAAAGTAGTGGCACATGGAATTTTTTGCAAATATTTTCATAAAAAAAAAAGGAGTTAAATCGCATATCTCTGAGGCACGAATTCATCGTGTTTGTTGTGTGCTGTTATACCGAATAGAGTTTCATGTATTTTAAGATTTTTGAAGGCTTTCGTCACATATTTTTCTGAAATGTTTTAGTTGGCGACCAGAGCTGTCAGAATGATCGATTTGATCACTAATGTGGATATGCAGATTTTCCAAATTCACGGTGGCCTTGAAAGTTTCATCAATCGGCTGGAGGTGAGTTCTTTTTTTTTTTTTTTTTTTTTTTTTTTTTTTTTGCATTTAACATAGTTTTATTACATGGGTTTCTGTAATATTAATCTGTTTACAATTTTTTTTCTCTTTTAAAAAAACTCTTCAACCTTTTGATCACCGAATCAACTTCTTTGACTGCCTTGCATTCAAGCAAAAATCAAAGCAACCTTGCATTAAAAAAACCATGTAGGTAAAGTCTTCTAATGCTTCAGTTACTTGTCCGCAATTTTATTTTCTCTACGGCCGTCTTTTAAAAGTTTATCTGGTTGGTTTAATGTGTTTCTTTAGTTGCTGAAAAATTGCACAGTCATGTTGATTCATAATTACAAACTGCAGTGCTACCTGCAGAAAATGATCAGAATAGTCAGTTGCCATCAGTATCTCCACATTCAAGTAGCACCACTTTTTTTCTTGATGATTTGTGTCTCAGTAACCGAATTAGTGTGAGGTTTTCAAACAAAAGTTACAAGATATCTTGTAATCAGTGCTCAGCAGGTTAAATATCCAATAACCCCCAATACCCCCTGTCTCAACATTAGGCCAAAAAAAAATCATGAGACATGTGTCTCAGTCTGTCATTTGATGCCATCTTCCTAAGTCGGGAAAACAATTTATTTTTAATATTTTCATTCAAAGCTCCATTTTACAGATTTTTAGGAATTCTTTAAAAAATGGAAGACCTCAGATTTTTATAAGAACCCTCAGTTTTGTCAATTCCTGGCATACAGATAAGAGCAAGCGTTATTATATTTGCCAACATCAACTACTGTGTATCCTGAAAGTCTCCATCCATAGACCGCAATGTTTTCTATGACTGTGCAGTGCTTATTGTGTGTTAATTATTATCAGAACAGATGTTTACTTCTTTGATATTTTTCCTAATTACATAGGTGTATATTTATCATTTTTAAAGCTTTTGTTAACTCTTTGTTCCAGATGGAAATTAATATCTGCAAAGAAGAGCAACCAGGCCTAGAACTACTAAGTGCCCTAACAATTAGCGATCAATCCAGTGACTCAGTCGCCAATTCATCAGAACCCCTTAGAAGTAAGAGATTTTGTATATTTACGGCTAGTCGTGGTTTAAACATGTCTTCCCTCATTTAAGGATTTTTCAAGCTGTATGCGTTTTTAAAATGCACAACTTAACATGAGTTTTTGCTCTTTAATTGTTTTATAGTACTTTTCAGCCTTATACTGTAGCTAGTTAGACAGCAACCAACAAACCATCGTGATTAAGTCTATCAAATTCTTATGAGATCAATAGCATTTGGTAGAAATTATGATGGAAGGCGAAAATAAATAAAATGAAGAGCTACTATTCTTTTTTTACTCTGTGATCTTATCTGATGATTATTTTTAATTTTCTCGTCTGCCAGAATGAAAGAAAGCAAAAATGTATTTTGGACCAGCTATATGTCTAACTGGAATAAATATTTGTAAGTATGGAGTATGAATCAAATCTTGATAATGGTTTTTATGTCATTTCAGATCGTCTACAGTTTTTTCGAGGAACTGATCCCTCAAAAAAAGTCAGCACTTGTCTAGTGCCTCGAGCAGCTCTTCTGAAAACAATGCTCAACTTCTTGAAAAAAGCTCTCCAAGATCCTGCTTTTTCTGAAAGTGTCAGGCACTTTATGGATGGATCATTGCCTACTTCTCTAACACATATAATTAGCAATGCAGAGTACTATGGACCGTCTCTCTTTTTACTTGCAACAAATGTCATCACTGTCTGTGTCTTCCAGGAACCGTCTCTTCTCTCAACTTTCCAAGATAATGGACTGACAGATTTTGTCTTTCATGCCCTATTAGTTAAAGATGTGAGTAGTTTTCTTGACTGCAATCTAGATATTCATAATAGTGTGAAGAAGTTAGCCTCTGAGATTTAGGGTTGAATCTCAAATACTGTGTTAAAAAGGCGCCTACATCCTAGTGTAAACCTAGCAAGTGACTATTCAAATTAAAAAATTACCAAGAAGCAGAGCCAAAGTTTAAATATGTAGAATATCTAAGTGGGAAACTTACTCTTATCAGCAGTTTATTTTTCTCCAATGGAGTCTATTTCTCAGAAGCACATGAAAGGACCTGGATCATTTTACATCGATAGATACTCTTGGCTAACCTTGCTGTTGGGAATCTAGGAATCTGCTAGGAATCGCATGCTGTGATTGAGTTGCAATCTGTAGTGCGCATCTATGTATTTTCATACGATACAGTCGTAGTCATATTCCCACTGACAGGCAGCATGCTGCATGCTAAATTTCATGGGGGTTCGTGGAAGCTAGAGTGTGAAATTGAAGTGAGCATCATAAAACGAGTATTCTTGGATGTGGTTCTCGGCTTATGCCTTCTACAGCTCAAGAAACCCTAGGCGTGGTAACAAAAGGGTCAAAAACTCCTGTTAGGAGATAGTATGAACAATTGCCATGTATACTTGGTTTATTACTTCCTCCTGAAATATCATTGTCATGTGTATCAATACTGGTGAGGACCAGAGTTCCATGTATTTTCATCTTTAATTTTTTCAATGCCTGGTCACTGATTCTGGGTTTTCTTTGCTATTTTAGGTGCCTGCCACTCGAGAAGTTCTCGGCTCCTTACCAAATGTTTTCAGTGCTCTCAGTTTGAACATTCGAGGACTGCATGCATTCATCAAGTATAAACCATTTGATCGTATATTCAGAGTTTTAATATCTCCCAAATATCTACCTGCCATGAAAAAGAGAAGAAGTGCAGATTCCATGAGTGACACAGCTACAAATCTTGGTAATGCTATGGATGAGCTAATGCGTCATCAGCCTTCGTTGAAAACTTTTGCATTTGAGGCGATTATCACGGTAAGTCCCATCACAGTTAGTGTCATTGATCTTATTTCTAGTTAATTGAAGGTCCTCCTTTTTCTTACTTTAGCATTCAGTGATAACAACTTGATTTTTTTCAGTGTTGATTAGTAACAAATGATGAGATCTTTTTTTACTGAAATTTTTAGGGACAGAAAACGAATCATGTCATATTGCAGGATTCATCAATAGGAGATTATGGGTTTTAGCTACTTGGAAACAAAATCCAAAGAAGATCAAGAACATGAAGAAAGAAAACTCTGCTTGAGGAGACAAAAACATGTGATACACAATGGTGATCTGTATTTGTTTAAAAATATTGTTACCCTCTACTGTTGTTGTTGTTGTTGTTGTATGTAGACATTATGTTGCTAGACATCTCAATATTGTTTCAATTTTTTCCATAAAGCTTTTATTGCTGTAAAGCGTATTTTCGTTGATGATCGGTCAAGCCAAAATTCTGCGATAATTGCGCAAAGATCATAATCGGGTTGGTAAACATTTGAGGTTGGACTTTCGAAATTGATGCTGGTTGGATGTCATCAAAATCATCAGGTCATTTCTAAATCCTGCTTTTTGTAGGATTATATTTTGGCTCCAACGTTTGCAAGAATTCCACCTTCTATCCGTCTGGTGAGTCCCGATGTTGTTCCGAAAAATTATGATCACATCAAAACAAAATACAAAACCGCTTGATCCTCCCATTTTGGTTCGACCAATCATGAACGAAAATACGCTTCTAATGAAATGTTCCTGTAGAATCCAATAGGAAATGCTTTTATAAAAACGTCTAATGAGTGAAATAATTTATTTTCTTTCTTTCTCTTTAGTTGCTTGAAGACTTGTGTGGCCTTGGCTATGATCCAAAGTTTACCTGTTATCGACCGCAAAAGGGACAAACAGACAGTGGACGACTGCTTCCAAGAATCGTGACTCATGAAGTGGGTTCCAGTGATGAAGAAGACGATGAGGAGGAAGAATCCTCCAGCTCCTCTCAGCAGTCGAGCTCCCAAAATGATTGCACCGATGAAACTCAAGAAAAATATCCTATTCCACTGATCGACTATATTCTCAATGTGGTATGTTATTCTGCCTCTATCAAACATTTTTATACGAGTGAGAAGAAATTTTATGGAACCGTCTATTTCACTCTTGCCCCGACAAAACATTTGAAAAGAAAACTCCCACAAGATACTTGAGTAAGTCAGCAAGAAGCATAGTGTGCATCAATGTATTTTTGAAGTATTGTTTTTTTTTCTCTCTTTTGGCTCAAAAAAAAGGTAAATCTTTCTTGCTATCATTAATCTCCAAGTCAAGTCCATCTTGGACTGCCTAATTACATTTGGGTGTTGTGCAGAGCAGGTTGAATGTATTGTGCTTTAGGAAAATGAAGGCTGTACATTCTTAAAAAGTTTTAAATGTATACTCCTTTTACTTTATTGATCATTTTTTGCCATTTACCTTACAGACCAAATTTGTGGACGCAATTCTCAGTAACAATTCAACAGAAGATCATTGTCGGCAATTTGTGATACAAGGTGGGCTGGTACCACTTTTAAATTTGCTCAGGATGCCCAATTTGCCTCTGGATTATCCTATCACTTCAGCAGCTCAGTCTGTGGCGACAGTCTGTAAATCCATTTTGGTAAGTAATTTTCTACAAAATAAAATATTTGTGGTTTTTATAATTATTTTTTTACCTTACTTCATCGCTGAGAAGTAGAGTCCCTTTATCCCCAGAGTTACGACATCTCAATTCTGGTCGGGCTCAGAGACAACTGAAAGTGGCCTAAAAAAAATCCAATTCTAATTGGTTCTCGCTCATGGAGTCACAAAAGAGTGCACCAAGATGGCGGAGGCTCGAATGTGAACAAAAATAATGAAAATATAACCCAATTGTAATTTATCAAGAGTAAATTGGAACTTTCATCGCACCAAAATGAAAATAAATTAAGAAATTATTCACAAATCAATCTCATTTTATTTTATTGCAATTTCTTTGGTTGGGTCTTGATCGGTTTTGTTGATGGTGTCGTTTTTGGATGACAGACATCGCAGGATTCCTCATCTTTATCCCTCCATATCGTTCGTTTGGGGGCACATTTTTGTGACACCATAGCCAGCCCAGGCCAGCTGATAATCGAGATGTCTTAACTCTGGGTATAAAGGGACTCTATTTAGAAGTAAAAAAAAATGTAGACCAAAATATAGACTTTCATTACACATTTTATTCATACATATGTAACAATAGCGGATGTCGAGTTTTCACATTGTGAGAAAATCGCGTTTGAAGTTTTCAAAGCTTTGAACTTTGCTGCTCGTAGAACTGTGAGCATTTTTATAAAGATTTTCATGAAGAGCAACTCTTCCTGTAAAAAACACACGTTTTACAAGACAAAGGTCGACTTTTTCCGCTAGGGGGAAAGCCGCCTCATGGGACCGGAGTCCCGGAGGGATGAAGAATGGAACAGCGAAAAAAAGAACAAACGGAGTTGGAAGGAACCCAACTCAACAGCCCAACCTCCACGCGAGACCGCACACAATCACTGCATACTAAAACTAGGGATAGAACGATAATTCAGCCTCGAAGGGCTGATTTCCAAAAGAACTTACATCACGAGACGCCGTTTCCAAGAATCTAAAAAACGAGAATGGCGGAAGGCCAGACTTGTGTTTTCGGGTTCCTCCGCCTGCGCGCTTTTGACGGAGGAAACCGGAAACAGCAAGTTTCAAAACTTTGGCAGGAGGGCTATTGACTCTTTACATACGATTAATGTGAGTAAAAAATTGAAGGAGTAACATCGATTTGATAAAAATGTGACGTCCACTATTTTTACTGAAAACATTTTTTTATGAATGTAGCAAAGTCTTCAGGAAGGGTAAGGCTGGTGAAACGGTTGAAATGAACCCAAAGTAAGTCAGTGATGAGTCATTTGATAAAATTGAACAAAAAACTAAACCGTTTGTAATTCCTACAACAAGAATAAGGAACAAATTATCTAATTAGAAAAAAATGAGCAATTCTGGAGAGACAGTCCCGATTCGTATCATTTGAGTGTCAACTGCAGCCCATGGCAGGTATGCGGGCAGTTATCGCAAGTGCATTCGAATCTCCACGGTGTCCTGCTTTGCTGGCTGGGGAGAACAGTGGATTCTCATATCTGCAGTTTTTACAAATAACATGGTTTTCAGTTCATATCTCGCCGAAAAATTGCGCTGAAAGTCTAAACTTTGCACAGGCATTCTTGAGGGTTCCAGAATTCAAAAAAGCGTTTTCTCCAAAAATGGCGGATGTCAGCGACCGCTATTGTTACATATAAGTCCTCATATACTAAAAGCTACAGTATTATCTTAGTTTTCATAGAGTCCCATTAACTCCGGTAAATGTTGTGCATTCTCATCTGAAAGTACATGTACTTCATAAAGTTGGCATAGCTTGTTGCAATACTTCCTTTAACATGGGCTACATGGAGAGCTTATGAGAACTTTCGAGGGCTCCAAGTCAGTTTTTTAAGCAAGTTTGTCACAAATGGTTTCGACTCTACGTACCAACAATTAATTTCTACTTGCTAGATTAGGTGCAAATTTAAGCAATCTAATTTTTGTTTACTCTTCAAGATTTCTAGTAAAACACAATTTGAACTACAAAAATTATCAAAATTATTTTCTGACTTGAATATTAACATTCGTTATGCCTAAATTCACACTTCCGGCTCAAGAAAAAACCATTATCTTCTCGAGTTAAATGGCACACTAAACGTAACTGTGACAGTCTCTACAGTATCAAAATATGACAATCTCAATATTGGCACTTCTGTTCAGGTATTGTAAGTTGTTGACACTTAGAAAAACAGGTAGGGAAGTAATACTGCTGTATAGTCAAGAAGCCAGGTAGCCTGCCAAATCCAATGTGGTACGAGGTTTGATTCAAGAATATTCTTGTTTTTCATGTAAGGGAGAAATTAAAATTTTTTGTGACCAGTGGTAAATCAAAACTTCGATATCATGGTTGGGAGTTAATTTTAGTAGTATTCATTGTTCAGATTGTGCTCTACTTTTGAAGAGGAAACTTGAATCAGAATGCTTGAATTTTTACCTCATGAAGTGGTTCACCCGATATAATAGGTGGGTGTAGGGCGACATTTTCACATAATTTAATTTATTCAATGTTGCTGTTTTTGTTTTAGAATCTCGCCCATGACAATGATGTTTTAAACAAAAGCTTGTCACAGCTTAAAATAGTTCTGGAAGCCTTAGAACCTTTGTATCAGTCTTCATTCAACACGTCCATTCTCCTGCATGAACTAGCCAATGTTCCAAATTTTGAAACAGCATTCACAGATGCCACTGCTACACCTCTCTTGCACCATATGTCAGCTGTTCATGGATACATCACTCTCTTAATTTACGTGTGCAAAACAGGACAGGTTTGTATTTTCATGTCTCTCATTATTCCACATTTACTTTTCGGATCATCTCTGTTTCAGCCACTCAGTGTTTGTCAGTATGCAGCCAAAAATTAAAGTGGAAACTCAGGAGTAATTTGAACGAATTTTACACTAGATTGCTTCAATTGAACTGATTCGTGAAAGTTTGTTATAGATGTTGAAAGCAACCGAAAATCCATGTCAGTCTATCTTGGTATATTTAGCTCGGGCAATATGAGGCTGTTTTTTGTTTTCTCATTCTCTTTCCTTCTTTAATAGGTGAATAAAGCATTGGTTAATGCCAGAGAATTGTGAACAGAATTCTCAGGGTTGCCACGGTCAGGGAAAACCAGGAAAATTAGGGCATGTCAGGGAATTTTATAAAGTCCTGGAAACGTAGAAATCAGGGGAAAATTGTTCAATCACCTTTATTTGCTTTCAGAGTTCTATTCCCATCTTTTCAGCAGTTGTCCAGGCATCCACTCATGGTCGTCCAACGATTCTTTTTTCTTGTAGTCATCCAGCCTCTCATCCTCTGTCCTTTTTACATGCTGAAACTCATTCTTTCTTTCAAAGAAAATCCTCTTAATCTCTAAAGAGAATCCTGATCTGAAAATAATTTGATTTTGTACCTCATGGCCTACTGATGAGTTCTATTTCATTAAACGCCTCCCCCCCCCCCAACCACCCTGAAAGAAGCTTGAAGTATTTCATTTTAATTAAGAATATATCATGTTTTTCTTGCTATGAATAATCTAAAAATTTCTTGTGTTTCAATTTCAGCTGGACATCCGTACTATAACAATGCAGACTTGGGGTTCCCAAATGGGTATTGAAATCCTCAAGAATTTGACGGAACTTTATACTGCCCTGGTATGGGAGAGCAATGTCCTCTTGGCTCTGTGTAAAGAAGAAATGCCAGCTGCTGACTCAAGTGAAAAATTTGAATTTTGTCTTGAAGACATTAATAAATTGGTACCTCCAGAAATGCGAATGGTAAGTTTCCTTTTTTCCTAGTTATAATTACAGATCAATTTAGTTGCCACATTATTAGGTATATCGACGTAGAATGATCATTTTTCAGGCTGGTTTGAATACTTCTGCTCACAAAAAAGTAGCTTCGGGATTCAATGGAACAAGTGTTGTAGTGAGCCAGTCTAGGGCCATCAGTTCTTGGCTAGAACTGATGTCTCTATTCATTTCCTGTGTGACCCAAAATGCTTTTTTTATAAGTATAATGAGTCAGTTAAGGTCGGGAGGGATTTGCCTGCAAACAGTCGAATCTTACAGTTTTCGGTACGAAAAAAACGATGCGCATGTTAAAATTTCATGAAAAATTGTCTGTGCGGAGATATAATGCTTCCTTTTTAGGGGTCCTCGAAAACGTGTTTGAACCGACCGCCATGAACCTATGCATCTCCGTGTCCTAGACGGGAAGATGGCGGCGTCGAAGCCAACCTGCTTACTACCGCCACGCCGCCGTTGTTGACATCACGATTACTTGTTTGAGGTTAAGTAAGTTTTGTGTGAATGTTTCATATCCTACATACATCTGTATCGCATTCTGATTGTAAAGCGTAGAGAATTAAGAACAAAGGATATGAATCTCAAACAAAGTAACCTACATAACCTCCAATTGACCAACAAAAACGTACCGCCAACGCGATGCCGCCGTGTATTCTTTCACAACGCATTCCGCCGCCATATTGATCGTGATGTGTGCATGCGAAACCTACGAGCGCGCGGTTCAAACGCCGTTTTAGGCCACCCTAATTTTTGGCACTTTCAAATAAACTTTTCTCCCGTTTGCAGTCATCAAAAAAAATTAAGAAAAAAACTGTAAGCTTCGGTCACTTACTACTTTCGAATGACACATTATAAAAAAATGACTTAACTGACTCATTCTAAACCGTTAGCACAAAAAGAGTGAAAGGGTCCCTTCAGTTAAAAGCTGATTTTGCTAGTAAATCTTACCTTCTTCAAGGCACTGAAGGATCTACCATCTTTTAATCAGATTTGTCTTCAAACAGTTATGGATATCCATCAATTGAGCAATACCATGAGTAAAAAATATGTAGTGCCTCATCAGCCTTCTCTGATTTCTTCATTCTTTGTTTCATGCAGGTTGAACATGACCAAGGTGTTTCAAAAGATGTAGCTGGAAGCAGCAGCGGAACAAGCGCAAAAAGCCTAAATGCTGCTCAGTTTATCATGTACTACTCTGACAATTCAGATGATGACATAAAACTAGGCAAGAAAAAAGAAATTCGAGATTATTCCCGAAAAAAGTCCAAGAAGAACGAACCGTGCGATGACTCTTCGAGTGACTCAGCTGAAGTCACTAAACCTGACAAACCAGATGTAGCTTACTTGATTCCTCCCGCAATCCAGTTGAAGTACATCAAACCTTTGGTAGCGGCTTCCTCGAGGTTAGGAAGAGCGCTAGCAGAACTTTTTGGTTTGCTGACCAAGCTCTGTGTTGGATTCCCAGCTCGAACTCGCCGAGGAAACCACTTGACGAACACTCCTGTTTGTCCAACTCCAGCAGCGGAAGCAGTCTCAAATGTGTTGGCAAACTTGTTGGCGCAAGGATTGAACTACAGTAGAATATCCTCTAAACCACCGAGTAGCTATGTGTAAGTGAATTTTTTTTTATGAAATTATTAAAACCAAAAATTATACACCATTCACACCCCCTGTGAATTGTTTCTACACCATTCACACCCCCTGTGAATTGTTCTTGAATAGAGAATTCTTTTCGTTCCTAAGCAGTTTAACATTTTGATTTTTTCCTCTCTAGATTTTGGTATGTTTCGTTTCTAACTGCGTCACTTCGTGTTGATTTTAATGGTTTTCTCTTCTATTTTTCAGGATGACATACCTCTTGTGTTTCGTTGGTTTCACATCTCCATTATTATTTGATGAAAAGAAGTTACCGTACCATTTAATGCTTCAAAAGTTCATTTACAGCGCCAAGGGTATTAAAAGTTTTGTTAGGTATGTATCCAATATTTCAATGTTTGTTTTTCCATGAATCTTTGATACTATTTAAATTATAATATTTTTAACAGGAAATAGAATGTATAAATGCTTAAAGGAACAATGTGAAAATGAATAAAGTAAAAGAAAGAAAAAAAAAAAAAGAAAAAAAAAAAAACTATGGCACAGGCAAATGTTATACACACAGTTCCTTTTGATTTAATTAATTTTTATTAGAGTTGGGCCGAAATGGAATTTTCGCGTCACCGGAACCGGATCCGGATATCGGTTTTTTGTATCCGGCCGGATCCGGATACCGGATAATTCAAAAAAGTATCCGGCCGGATCCGGATAGTGCTTCTTCGCGCGAAAAATGTCGCGATTTTTGAGGTTAAGTTTACTCGACTCACGATCGGTCGTAGCTAACAAAATTCGGGCCTTGAATTTCTTTCCTTATTTCTAGTGTCACAATTGCAATAGTACAAAAATCATGGTTGACAAATAATATGTGTCATAAATATAGCAAGGCAGTTTCTAGCTTTTCGCAGCTGTGCTCATATGTTCAGTATGGAACGCCGTTAGTGTCAAAACCCTTTTCTTGCGCGCGCGGAATTTTTTCTGGCGCGCGGAAAGAAAAAACCCGTTTTCGATGAAAATCTCTGAATTTCCGGATTCCGCGCCGGTTTTCGATATATTTGCGCCGTTTGTGTCAAAACTATTTCTGTCGGCGCGCCGCTTCAAATCTGTTCCGCGCGCGGAATTTGCGATATATCGATTCCTGCTCGCCGTTTGTGTCAAAACTACTTTTTCCGGCGCGGCGCTCCAAATCTGTTCCGCGCGCAGAATTTTCGATATATCCATTCCTGCTCGCCGATCGTGTCAAAACTATTTTTTNGCTCCCGACTGCGCACCAGACAGTTTGCGATGGAAATTCGGCAGGATTTTTTGTAAGTCCTGCCTTCGGAATTCAGGAGTGAATCTCTGCTGAACACTCGACTCGTTATCAGAAGTCAGAAATGTAAACAAAACAAAAGTGGAAAACAGCGCTGCCAATCTGACACTTTTGAAAGCACCGCCGCCGCATGCCAATCCAAAGTCACAGCAAATCAAAGCCTGTCTTGACGGAAAATTATTCGGTCAATTTCTGTTGATGAGAATCTCTAAATGAACCAGAGAAATGGATGTTTCAACCGATCACAAACTTAATTGGCCTTCGTTTCGATATTACCGAAACAAACAGCGTGCTGCGACACTACGATGAATGCGGAGTTTTGCACCGACTAAAAACGGGGAATTATGCATATGTTGGTGGCGTTGTTGTTTGTTATTCTCTTTTCCACCTGCATCTATGAAAGTGAAACACGCGGGTCGCGGACTTAAGGAATTTACGTTGCGATCGCGTCAGTTAGCAAAAAAAGTCAAAAGTTTCAGGAAAAATTACAGAAAATTGTATTGATAGGGAAGAAAAAAGAAAGAATATCACCAAAAATTTATCGAAATTTTCAGGGCCAAAAAAGCACTATTCGGCGGGTCCAAAAACCGGATAGCGCGATTATCCGGCCGGATCCGGATACTCGCGAAAATCGTATCCGGCCGGAGCCGGATATCCGGTATCCGGCCGGATAATCCGGCAATCCGGATAATCGCCGGATACCCGGCCCAACTCTAATTTTTATATAAATTCTTTCAGCATAAATACGGCCAATGGTAAAAATATTTAGTTTTCTTTGAATATCATCTCTTAATTGTTGATTGATTGATTTTATTTAAAGCTGTCAGTAGTATCAAATCATTTTTTTTAAAAAAAATTTTGTGGTCTCAGTTGAGCCATTATTGGCAATAAATCATAGGATTTTAAACCCGATGAAAGTACCTCTTAATGATGTTGAGAAAACAGCCTTGAGAATTGAAGCTCCTCGTCTTATTTTAGAAATTTAAAGTGGCTAATATACATTAAACAATACTCAAAGTTTTTTCTGCTACACCTTATTCGACGAGTAATATTCACGAGTATTCAGTGATGACACAATGTGTGGAGCAGGTATGTGTTGCCAATATGAAGTTACTGTGAGCACTATCAATGTATCCATTTGATTTTTACAGGTCATTCATTTTTGCTCTCCATGGCAAAGTTGAAGCCTCGCCGCCAGACAAGAAAAGGACTCTCGATTTAAACGATAGACCCCAGGGGACTATTCAGTTTATTGAAGCATGGTTCTCACTGTTAGAGAAGATGGTGAATCCGCGTACTGTTCTTGAATCAAACCATATGCTGCCAAAGGTTATGCCACCGGGAGATGGAAGAAATTTTGATGCTAATCTGTACCTGCAACAGATGCACTGGGTACGATTATTTTATACTTGTTCTGTTCTCTACAAAGTTCTTGGCCAGTTATTTTGAAAGTAGTTGAATGGGCCTGTTGCATGCAAGAGATACAGCCGCGCGAATAGACTTTTTAGGGGTTAAATGACACGAAAATTACGATGGTCTCATTAAAAAGTCTGAAATACACTCTTTACTGCGCAATTTGCGTTGTTAGGAACCCGCTTTTTCAAATTTCCCGCGTCTGGGGGCAGTTTTCTAATCACCGGAAACGAGCAAACGGCGGGCTCGGTGATTTCCGGAAGATGCCGAGTCATTGTTATTGTTGTTATTTTTTCCTTCAGTTTGTTTACAAACCCAACGTGATCTCTTATAGTGGTCCATGTACGCTTTATGTGGTAACGAAATCGATCAACTTTTAAATATCCAACGCAATCCTTCTACATTTCATTTCACGATATCACGAGCTCAGATTTTTAGGTTATGTTGTCAGTTTTAGTTGACCGGAAATAGCCGCGAGTTGCCGTCAGAAAACTGCCCCCAGACGCGGGAAATTTGAAAAAGCGCGTTCCTAACAACGCAAATTGCGCAGTAAGGAGCGTATTTCAGACTTTTTTAATAAGACCATCGTAATTTTCGTGTCATTTAACCTCTAAAAAGTCTATTCGCACGGCTGTATCTCTTGCATGCAACAGGCCCATTTGCTATAGTTTGATTCGTATGCAGCTTTGAAGTCACTTCAATGTTGCTCCAGAATTTTTAGATGCCCCAAGATTTGCTGTGGCTTAGTAGCTCAATTAGCAGCATGTAGTTCAGATATACTCATACGAATTAATTTAACCTTCAAGTCGATCTCAAGCTCAATACCAGACCAGAGGTTGGTTTAAATCCAGAAATCTCACAAGGAAATTACTTTTATTTATATTAAATAATATGCCTAGCCATTGCCTCTATTTGCTGCATTGGCTTAGTCCTGATGACTATTTGCTTGTAGCATTTGTCAGGTTTCTCGAACTGAAATTTTAACACGATCTTTTTTACCTGGCTGTTTAATCTGCTAATAATATAAAAATAATATTTTGCCAATTTACTCTAACACAACGTTTCCTTTCTAATTCCACTTTTTTTTCTGTTTTAGATCGCTTTCATTGCTGTGGAACATTTCTTAGATACGGTTGAGCAGAAATGTCTTGTTTCTCTAAGAGCAACCGATTCAGTACTTACTATTTTGAAGCATGTGATGCAAGGAGAGTACATCATGCTTGTAAGTGTTTGTTTTCTTATGCATTCCAAATTTCAAAAGAAAGCAAAGCACTTTTTCATTGTTAAGTGAATATATCCATCAATCTTCAAGTCACTTATTAACGCATCTTATGAATTTACCTGACTCAGAATCCATATCAAGAACTACATTTGCACATAAAGTCTTAGTTTTGGAAATTATTAATTTTTTCATAATGAAAAATTTCAAGCATAATAAATTTAAGTTTTTGGGTGATAAGAAATGAGAATTGGATGGCATATCTAGAAGCTAAACAAGACTTTAATGATTCTAAGAGGAAAAGTTTTAAAGTTTAAAAATTAGTTCGAATCTTATTATTTTTATAAGAATTTTAACCAACATGCCAAAAATTGGTCTTGTGAACTATTTTTTGAAAGCTTTCCTCGAAGCAACTTTGATTTTAAATATTCATTAAAGCAGAGGTTGTTCATGACAAACTACGGGGGATTTTTCATTTTTGCGTCATCAATCTCTTTCGGTGATAAGTAAATTTATGTGTTGAATTTTGTGTTTCAGGAGAAAAGCTTGAAATTTCAAGAAAATGGTCTTGGACAGATGGTGCCCAATCTTCTGAACCCAACAATATATGTCTCCCGCAGCAACACAAATTCCAACCACAGTTATCGCAGAGAGATCCGAGTTGAAGTAATGAGAACATAATTAATTAATGATTTACTTGAATTGACAGAAATGGGCTTTTTCCTCTGTATTTGTCAAGAAGCTTAGTTAATTGTTAACTGATTCTGTAGAGCATGCTGCTGAGTATTTGCTAAATGCTCTGATCAGATGACAAGCCAAAAAATAAACATCCAGTTTCGAGAAATCTATCAAAATTAGACAGCAAGGATTCGTTGTATTTAAGCCAGGTTGGCATGAGGGAGTGAAGAGGGGGGAGGTCTTAATCCCCCATCAGGTCACTTTGATAGGGCTTCATTGATTTCTGTACATTTCGCATGCATTGTCAGTCAGAGTGTTTTTTTCCCGACAATTTTGGAGTGCCCATGTGTATTGGATGGAAAAATGACCTATAACTTGATCACGATGATCTCTGTTGTAACCTAATATTTTCGTTGAAAGATGATTTAATTTTGATTTTTTTTCCCCCACAGAATGAAATGGAAGCAGTTGCTGATGGTGAACCCGGATCAAGTAATTCCTCATCGGAAGAAACAGATGAGAAAATGTTTGATGAGTTGGCATGCCAGTTAGGGAGCAAATCAGAGAATTTAGCGCCCTACACGGTTCGCAATGATGTGAGTCATTTGATTTTCCACCAAGCTTTGAACTTTGTTTTCAATTTTTATCTTCTTTTTTTCAATTTTCTTGATTCTAATTCCTGGGATTGTTTTGATGTACCTAGGATCAGTTCTCTCTCAAAGTACATGCATCTTAAAAGATTGCCTGACATTTTTTCTAGATTAGACTAATTGCTAATCTTCCCATTTGAAGTTGTGCAAACAAAGCAGGCTAGTTGGGAAGTAGTTCTCCATAAAAACCATTTTACAGGAGAATCTTGATTTTGTGGATCCGCTAAAAATCGATTGATGAGAGCGAATTCAGTTCATCGAAATGAGATTGCCGTTATTTTTTATTAATTCATTGACTTTTGCACAAATCTAGTTCTACACGAAATTTCAATGAGGAAACATATATCATAATGTTTCAATTCTCTTTTTGTTTAGCAGTCCGTCAAAACATTTATCATTTGCAGTAGTTTAAAGTCGTAAATCAACTTATTCCTGATCTAAAATAAGTACGTAGATGCTGAGACTTCAACCTTCATATTTGCTTTTTTCAGGCATCTGATTTGTACATCCCGAAAGCTCTGTATAAAAGATTCATGGACAGAATCTTGCAGTTCAGCGTTCAAATGCTGGATTTGTATCCACAAACAGTGTATCGCTTAAGTGAACTTGTTATTGCAGTTTTAAAACGAGGTTCTCCAGAAATGATTCACCAGTTTTTCATTGACTATTCCCATGAGGTACGTATTTTTCCTATTATTCTACCAGCTGTAGACAAGTTTGTAGCAATTCTCCGTTCCTTTGCATACAATTATTCTCAATTAATTAACTTTGACTTAGTGTCGCAATTATTTTTTTTATGAGAGTGAGAGTGATAAAAAGGCTTTCATAGAAATTGAAAATAATTTTTGCTCACTTCAACCTTTTTTAACGAATTCAATTTTAAGTATCCAAAGCTCTAGCAGTCCTCTCTTCAATTGGAAGACCAAATTCTGGAATGATACTGACTTGAAAAATTGCAGTTTAAAATTCTCAGGGACCTCTCGTAACTTTTTAACATCTTATCAGCTGGAATACTTTATTGTTCATCAATTGATTACTCTTTTATTATGAAGATGGCATTTTTTTTTTTTTGTTTCAGATGTCCCTAAAGATAATGGCTGTTGTAAATATTTCTACTAGTCCAAAAGCTCTTGGTCTGAAAGCGCTAACTTTGCAAGATGCTGTTATCAGTCATCAAATTGCTGATTTGCTTCATTTTTACATGCTTTTATTTGAGGTAATGCAAGTGAAAAATCAATATTTTAGTTTAAGAATATTTTAGTCTAAATCATCTCTGCATATTGAATGTGATGACAGTGACGGTCACTCCTGTAATATGAGTGAGGCCTTCTATGTCAAAGTGCAATAAGATTAATGAGCTTACTTTGGCAGTTCCTTGCCAAGGTATTTACCTCGGAATATGTTGACTTTTTCTAAGGATAACTTTCATGGTACAATATCTTTTTCCTATATGAATACTTTGTAGTTTACGACATGCTCATTTTTTGTAACCCATTTGTGTAACGTTTTTTGTTCTTTTCAGTATATGTATGGTTTGCTTGAATAACTGGCCATAACTCATCTTTGATTTTATTTGTTTCAGGAAATGAGAATTGACTGTGGAAAAGCTATGGAGAAAAAGGATATACAAAAAGTCCTTTTAAAGCTGTTACAAAGCACCTCTGAAGTTTTGCAACAGAGTCACAAACTGGACTATTTAAACCTTCCATTAATCTCTATGCCGAAAATGGTTGCTCCTCTTCTATTGGTCATAGATGTTATTTTGAAAGTGTCAACCCATTTGTCACGTAAAGCTTATGCGCATGATGTAAGTTTACTTCAAATCAACCAGTAACAATCTACTATCAATCTGTCAAAATAGGAACGTATCATATTCCTATAAGTAAAGTATCTAATAAAATATGGAAAGAGTAGGCAGTAACCAGCCAAGTAAATTAATATATCCAAAGAAATGAAGTGAGAACATGATTCAATTTATATAAAATTCATCAAATATTGGTCGAACAAGGTATCTGAAAAGTCTGCAACTCCCCCCTCCCCCCACCCTAACATTATTTCTCCTTGAACCATTGAAATGAAATTTTTGCTGCAATCGATATTTTTTATTTTGAAGGTTACCACTGGGGAATGGAAGTGGTATGATCTCCAGTCAGGAAAGTGGATGGCATACACTAGTCATAACAACAGGCTGATAAATGATGCGTACTGGCGTGGTTGTCATTCTCTTCGTATCTCCAGCAACAGAAAGCGTTACACCATAGCATTTCTGGAAATGTGTCAGGTAAGTTCTTTTACTTGTCTGAACGATTATCAAATTGGTGGTTTTTCAACTTCAATTCAATCTGCCATCAAAGTTGTCTTATTTGTCAGGAAGCTAGCAGTTGTATTGTCAGGAAGGTTCTCAATTAGTAACAAAGAGAATTAACAGTGTTAAAAACTAACTGTTTACCCAGAGCGGCCTTCACACTACTCGCAGTAAACCTTTTCATCGGCTAAGCCAAGAGATAGTTGAATATTGCAGTCAAAACATGGAAACATGCCTTGTTTCAAAGGAAAGCAACCAAGACAGCTGTTTGGATGATTTTGATACGTTTTTTACTGGTGTCACAATGAAGAATGCAATTTTTAATCAAGAGTGATTTTTCAACCTTCTAATTGACTATTTACAAGTCTTGTTAAACCTTCGTTCATAAGGTGCGGACAGTGGATTTTTACTTGGTCGAAAGAGCCCTCCACCAAGTGCTATCTATCCTGTGAACCTGTAAAGTGCATTAAGTGTTGAGGTTAGGTTCGTCTCAAGGTGTAGACTGAAGGTCTGTCAAGAGGCATAAAGAGCAATTTGCCCTCGCCATGTCAATGCACCCTCTAACAGTTTAATACCATATACAATCCAAGTATCGTATTCAAACTTAAATACAAATTTTTCCTCCTTAATTTATGAACTTTCCGATCTGTAATTGACTTTATTGATTTTTGGATCCATCCAAATTATCATTGGCCACTTCTCGATAAGTCAAAGTCAAAGGTTTTCAATGTAATGATGTATACAAAAAGCCAAGTAGATCAATTAATTTTAATATTATTATTGTTTCTTTTTTTTTTTAGTCGAGTGAGGACTCAGGTGTCCAAAGACCAATCATGATGTGTCTCAAGATGTTTGATCCTGCAGTCGGAGGCAAAGCATCCACATCTGTCTCATCACCTTCCACTGTATGTAAAATGTCAGAGGAACCAGCTTCTTCGTCTCCTGCAACTTCTTCATATCGTCCTGGAACTGAGTCGACTAACTCAGCTGATCTTGCAGTTTATTATCATACTTCTCGAACACGCATTGTTCCCATCAAAGGATTTACTAAAGATCAAAATAAAACTATTATTCAGTGAGTTATCAGTTGCCATTGACTTCTCTTAACTTCGAGCGTTTGTCACATTTTTTATGAATGGCTTTACTCAAAGCATCAACCATCCAAATTATATAATGAGGCATTCATTCTTTATAGCTGTAATAGCTAATATAGCCGTAGAGCCGTAATATAGCTGTAAGAGCTAGTGCCATTAAGACATTATGTCCGCATTAATTCTTTTCAAAATTTCTTCTTTTTAGTTTTAGCAATTAGAATGTAAAATTTCGTATTTTTGTGCCAATCATGTTGGCTTTTCTCTCAGAATTTAATTTCTGTTTTAAGTTCATGATCCCCATCTTATTTGATTTCTTCCATTATTTTTTTCCTTAATTTGCTACTTATCGTTTTTTTCAGTCACATCAATGCTATTCGTCGTAAGTGATCATTTTTACTGTCTTCCTTGATATGAACGAGGTATTTGCAATGTAATTTGCTCAAGTTAATGATGGAGTTAATTTAATGGTTTTGTTTTCAACCATTCCAGATGTTGCCTAGAAGTGATGAAACACGTTACCAACAGTGACACTCTCCATGCTGTTCTGCAAGTATTAGTTCGCCTCACACGAGACTATAATTTAGCAAAGGAAGCTGCAAAGAAAGGAGTTGTGGATCTTCTGCTCCAAGTTGACCAGTCTGTGAGTTTCACAGGATTCATTGGATTAGCAACTATTATCATTCGGCATATTTTAGAGGAACCTGAAGCTTTGTCTAGTGCTATGGAAAAGGTATGTATTTTGTTTATTCAATCTTTCAAAACTGTTGTATCTTTCCTGAAGCAAAATTTAATTTAAATTTTAACAGGATTGCCACAGTCAGGGTATTTAGGGAAATCCGAAAAATGTCAGGGAATTTTTAAAGCTAGGAAAAACCTGGAAATGTCAAGGAAAATGACAAAAGTGTCAGGTAAAAATTGTTAAGTCGCCTTATTTGCTTCCTAGAATAGGTTTGACCTTTCAAACAACAAATCTGCGTGATTACTATCTCTAATTCTGGGAATTTTACCAAAATGTGTCAGGACTATCAGGAAAATGTCAGGAAATTTCATTTTCTAAATTCTGTGGTAACCCTGGTTTAATCCATTGGTTTGTTTTTAATATACAGTGAAATTTTGAAGCTCGTTAAAATTAAATGCAGAGTATATTATCTATGCTTCTTAAATAATTTTTCTTTGTTCTGTAGGTTATTCGAAATAAAACTTTGACAAATATTCCTCCTGCTTACAAAGAGTTTCATTACGTTATTCGTGAATGTGCGCCTGCAATTGCCCGAGATCCGGACATGTTCAAAGCTGTCTTCAGAGATGTCTTACGCTATGATGCCACTGTCTTGGATTCTAAAGATGCCAAAAAAGGTGTGTTTCTTCAAAAAACCTCTAATTAATATTTCATTTTATCATTAAGACCAAGAAAGATTTAGCTTAACTTTTGGTAAATGCTTTATTTGATGTTAAGATTTATTCAGAAAGCTAAAGGAGCTAGACTTAAAAAGGAATTTAAGCATCCCGGGCGAAGTTGATCTCTTCTTACCATCTTATCCTACTTATCTCCTCTTATGAAATCCTACCTCTAATTTTATTTTATCCTGTCGCCCTTCTTTAACAACTTTATCTACTCATTAGCCATATTAGCCTCGCTTAGCACGACTTAACTTTTAATTTATGGATGAAATAATTATAAGACGTACGGCTCTGATGACTTAATGGCTACAAGATTTCATGCAAAAAACAGCTGTAACTTACATACCGTTTTTTGCAGTAACTATTGTAACTCAAGTTTTTAAAATAAGTGCTAACTAGAAATTATCAGTTAAACATTTTCATAGTCAGGTGTACAACTTTAACACCATCAAATAATAAATGAACGAAACCAAAGCAATGATGTGGTAAATTTTTTTGAAAATTGCAAAGTATGTAAAGGCTTTCACATTTATGCAGTATCAAAGATTCCCAAAAGTTCGGAACCAGCTCAGCAAATGATAAATAATTTCTTAAATCCCATTAACCTATTTCTCAAGCACTCTTATACGCATATCCCATCTGTATTGTAAAGAGCCAGTACGGAGACTGTTGAATGTCTTTTTGTCTGCTGAATGATGGAAGCAGCTGTAGAGTGCATACAAGCGCTAAGTACCTCATGACACGATCCCTCCCCTCATTCATATTCAAAAGGCTCTCATACTTTGGACCAGGCGATAAGTGATAAAATTTATAACAAAAGTGATTCATTGAATCTGAGATGTACAGGCTATTTACTTCGGTAAAGAGCCCAAACTTTCAGGTTAAGGATAAGAAAGTGTTGTGCTTTGAGTTGGACAATTTTTCCAAAGATGTAAAAGTTTGTGATCTTTAATTCGTTTTAATCTCACTTACCCCTTTTTTTCTATTTTCCGCCAGAAGAAGATGATGGCAGAATCATTTTGAAAAACCTTCCAAACACTCAAGAACCAGATGAAATTGGGCCACAAGCTTCTCAAGCATTAGAGAATATCCTTATGGCATTGTACGTACATAGTGAAGATGACTACCTTGATATTACAGCCAATGAAATGAATCCTTCTCTAGCTGGAAACATAACCAAATCAAATGGTAAGTCTTCGATTACATGTAATTTATTTCTCAGATATATTTTCTCCTCCCCCATTTACTGAAATACATTTTTCCCATCATTTCAGATGTTCAACAATTCAAATTCTTATGCATACTACATATTTCTCATGCCAGGTGTACCATGCCAATCTCTTATTTCTTCACCCAATACCCTCTTTGCACCCTCCTAAATGAAAACTTAAAACATGAGAACCAAAAAGAAAACAGACTCAGTAGTTAAAGTCTTCGGTCAAAAAGGCGCTAGGATAATTTGTGGTGTGGAAGGATGACTGGTTTTCTATCATGGGCCAATTGACGTATCTGCAACAAATTTTTCCCTGAAGGAAAAAATACTCCCTGCAATAAAGAGGGAAATAACTAATTTTGAAAAATAATTCACTAAATGAATGAAGAAAGGAAAAATTCAAACGCAGGTTTCTTCACGCAGGTTTTTCTCTTTCATTTCCAGGACCAGTCACTCAGTCAGACCATTTGATGGGAGGTCTGTCGTCCACAGTCTTCCCGGATGACTCAACATTAGACATAACTTTTAGTTTCTCTGCAAGAGCCCAACAACAGAACACAAGTTCTCCAAGCAACAAACAGCCGTACGTCTCCAACAACAAACCCAAAGTGAGTATCTGACCTAGTTTTTGAAAAGTCATCTTCTTTTAATAAGTTCACAGCATTTCAAGATTCTGCTCTCCAACTATTACGTTTGATAAGTAAGAGAAATAGCATTATCCTATCTGGAAAATTTTCAGCAAATTGATGTTCCTCTGAACGTTTTATAAGTTTCTAAAGGGATTTAGGTATTTCAAATAGACAGAATTGTTCTTATTTTAGCGGCCTTGCTTATTAAGGCTTAAGGAGACCAAAACCCTCCCATTTCTCAGAAAAATTCTAAATTATCTAGGTAAGTCTGTAACTAAAGTAGCTATCGTCAGGAGGACGGAAGAAGATTGGGAACCTGTGAATGCATCTCAGAGTTAAAAAATTAGTTTGGTTTCAGCCCCTAATTTTTTAAATTTTGACACCATGATTTGTTCCTGCTGTATTTTATCTCTTAAACTAATGTTTTTTTTTTTTTGCAGAAATTGTCAGAGCAGAAAAAATTAGGCCCTGTCATGACTAAATCAACGATCTTGAAACTCCTGAGTGACGCTGTTAGGTCTTATTCAAGTGTTGCTAAGTATGTTACAAACTTCCGCTATCCGGAAAATATAAACCAGTACGGTGTCACAATCAAAGGGGTGAGTAGACCTTTTTATCTTATTCCTGAACAATACCTCCCTTGAAGGAACAGCTCTAACTTATAAAATATCAAAAATTATTTTCTTCAGAGATTCTTTACCATGCAGTTCATTGGAGGTAGGTATTTTGCTGAAGATTGGCAATCTATATCAAGCAGTAAATCTTGATGGTATGAGCATGGTTAATTCCCTGGTTTCATGGTTACTTTTAAGGAAAGAAGTTTTTTTACTTCTATTGGAAAACGAAGGAGGACATGTTAATGTCTAAAATAGCTGTTAATTTTCAAGACTTCTACTATAATATGCAGCTCGAGCTCATTTTAATTATTTGGGATTAAACGCCAGCTTTTTAAATTTTTTTAATATACAAAAATAAGAAAGCCAGACTTGATTTACACCTCTTGCTGCTTGTTATTAACCATACATATTAAAATAAAAACATAGCTAAATTTTCAGTCCTTATCCTTTGATTTTTACAGGAAGTTACTTTCATTCGGTATGTTTTGGACACACTACTTCCCAAGTCAGGAAGTGAGCGCACTAAAATGATTCACACCTTGTTTGCATCCCTTGCTTCTTGCAATCACTCTCCTGACTCTCAAATGAACCTAGTCGTAGAAGTGAAAGATGCTTTAAAGCGTGCACTCAATGATGAAGAAAAGTATTCCAAGCACTCACAGATTCAGAACTTGGTTGATTTGATCACAACAATGATAGAAAATTGTCCTCCTGTTCCCTTAAGCTCCTCAATGACTCTAAGCTCATCTCTCAAGTTGAATCAATACAGGTATGTATTTTTATTTCTACTTTTCAAATTTCAGTGATTAAACTATGAATTTTCATCACATTTATCATTTTGAACACAGAACAAAATCATTCCTAGTAATAGATTTTTAGATTAAGCCAAGGTGTTGGATTTGGATCATTAAGAAGGTACTCCTTTTATACGGAAAAAAAGGAAACACCAGTCATTATTTCTTCTCAGAGAGTTCTAATCGTGATTATTTTTATTTTTGCTCCCTTAGCGTGAACAACATGGTACGCCTACTCATTCGGAAAGGAATGGCTGCAGAATTGGCCCGAATCCCTCAGTATATTGATTTGTCTGGTCCTGAGTTCACATCTACGATGAATGCTGTGTTGAAACCCCTCGAAACTTTGACCAGGATCATGAGTCAGCCTCCTCCTCACACAAAGAACAGAGGAGAAAAAGGAGACAAAGACGCAGCAAATAAGACACAAGTTGCAACTCGTACTGATGGTAAGCAGCATCTTATCGGTATCTACGGTATCTTTATCTTCATCTCTGTACTTTTGTATGAGATTCATTATAATTCGGAAATACTATCGTTTTTGCATCGTCATCATGCAATTTTTACGAGGCTCCTAGCTCAAAATACTACATAAGGAAGTCTTCCAGAGTATACTCTGTGAAATGAATTCCGCCATGGAGGAAGCCTATGAATGTATTTCTATCAGGGAAAATCTCTCTGCGAATGGCACTTTTAATTATACCTGACGATAGAGCATGGGATGATTTCCTGCGCCCCTTGGTAAATTTATATAATTAATATATATATTAATAATTGCTGCAGAACATATGAACCCTCTCATGGATTTATATTCCTTTGTGGAGTATTTGCGTGTTTCAGGAAATAGTCAATCTTATTAATCAAAATCAATACTGTAATTGTGATTAATTTCTAAAATTTCCTCTCTCTTTTTTTAGAAACAGCAACTCCTGCGCCCGTTGCAACAGCAGCCACTCCAGCTGCAGAACCAGCCAGTGATGTCTATGAAATCTATGAAATCCCCCCTGCACAAGAAATGGAAGACACTTACGATCGCCATTTTGAAGAGACTGTACAAAGAACTGTCCAAAGAATGTAAGTTCTTCCTTGTATGGAATCACTACTCTTGGAAAAATGTCCTCTTACCTCCTATTAAGTCTTGTGGCTTTAGATTCTTCATTACCTCAAATTGCATTCAATATTTCCATCAATGCATGTGCTTTTTTGTATGCACTGTATACGCCCGCAGATAACCCGCACCCCAGATTTTGAGAGGGTCCAAAAAAAAAATTCCCGTACAGCCCACACGTGCCACGGTGGTTTGTTGCGCTCGCATCGTCTAGTAGCGCTTGATAGGTATGCAATTTCAGTGAGTCTCACCAATTACCTGCACCCTGATTTTCGAGCATTGAAATCGGAGAAAAAAGGTGCAGGTTATCTGTGGGCGTATCCGGTAATGTCTTGCAGTGGAAGAAATAAGGTAGATTTTAAGTCTCAACTCCCTCCCCCCTCCATTGATAATTAGTTAATATAACATGTATATGAATGGCCAAATGTGAAACCTTGTATCTCCATTTTCGACGTTTTGGACTTCTTGTCATACTTTATTTTATATTTGGAAAACGAGCCATTGTAATTTCTAAAAAACTTATTTTATTTTTCTTCTCTGTTAGCAGAATGTTCTATTTAAATTTCAAGCTGTAACGTTGCTTTCTTCCTCTTGGGAATAATAAAATAGTGGCAGAAATTTTGAAACACTGCAATGGAGGTACAGGGTTTTGCTCTTCGGTCATCGATATCAGATGTCTCAAGGAATATTCCTCCAGGAATAACTTTTTTTGCCATGATGATGTGTCTCCAAATTTCAACATTTGCCTTTTGATGTCTTTTTTTATTATTATTATTATATTATTTATTTACACAATTATCAGTAATTGCCATTCTTACATGGAGTGTTAATTTATTTACAGGCTGTCTGAATCACATGACCTAACTCCTCTGCATTCATCAACATCCACCTCAAACAATCAGAATCAAACTGAAGATGATGATGATGACGATGATGATGATGAGGTGAGTCCTGTGTAATTCACACTTTCCTTTTCACCTTGCCAACAAATGAATTTAATATGCCAGTTAAAAACCTGCGCTTTAGCTAAAATTGAATGTAATCTAATTTCTTATCATGAAGTTAACACATTTAGTGCCTATTTTAAAAGAGACGAAAGGGAATTGATCTCTCTAGGGCAGAAAAGCATTCAAAGAAAGGCGAAATTTGCATGCTTCAATCCACAGTTTTCATGAGTGCCTTACACTCATCATCCTGAACAAACGCTTTCACTCAAAAAAACGGCGCTAATGTTCACTTCAAACAGTGATTACATCACACGTAAGGTTAGGATACATAACTTAACATTACAATTTCATCTGTGTAGTAACAAATGTTGGTGGAAAGACTCATCGCAGTCAATTCTTCTTGTGACACACAATATCTGTTGACAGGATATTTTTCCCTTATTGAATGGGGGTGGATTTTAAGAAACTTTGAAAGTTTTTTCAGGAATAAAATTTAATTAAACGGAAAAATATACGCGTTCTCGTTAAATTGTGTAGTACTCCTACTTTAGATGTTTTGGAATACTGCATTTTATAAGACATTCATAAATTCTAATTTTGAAAACACCTAGAAAACTGCTAATTAATCTTCAATCCTTATTTGTTTAATGTCAAAGTAATTTACCAAATGAACGAAGATAACTTGGCCTGGCCAGCTCCTAACTAAACTTTGAATAAATAAAGATAGGTGCAAAAAGGTCGAGCATCAAAATCTAACGTCTATCTGTATTCACAACCAGTCATTAATGATGCAACATGATGATTTCAGAGCTCTGGTGCTAGTAGCTCTTCTGACTCCAATCTGGCAACACTGCAAGAAAGCAATCTAGATGATGCTGACGCAGACACTGAAGTCGATGAAAATGTCAATGCTGATGATGACACAGAAGGTAATACTTGTATTTAGAACTCAAATTATGTGAAACCAGCTCTTTGATTTAAACAAAATGGAGCAATGTCCCAAAACCTGTAAAGAGCTGCTCTGGCTGATTTGATGAGGGTTATCCAGAAACTAAGGTCTCTCATAGATTTGCTTGCAAACCGTATTACTAGGGAGGAAAACAAAATTTACTATTGGACTAAGTACAGTCAGACCTCACTGAGTCGGAATGCATTGGGACCAATGGTTCATTCCAACTTCGTGGGATTTGAGTTGAATAGATTTTGTTTTGGCAAAACGAAAAATGCGACCAAGCCATCATTACCGGTGTTTTGGACTGAAGCGAGTTCTGCCTCAGTGAGGTTTACTTTTAGACTCTGAACTAATTTAAACCCCTATTTTTTAAATTACATAATCATTTTTTCTTAATTGCAGGTGACGACCATGATGAAGAAGACTGGATTGGTTTTGAGGAGGACGCATTAACTGTAATGAGAGGTGACAGAGGTATTTATGCTCTTACCCCCCTTCATCTCCATCATATCCATCAGAAGATGAGTTTAGATGAGTTTCATAAAATGAGTTCTTTCCCCAAGTTTTTGTTTTCCCCCCCCCCCCTCTTTTATTACTCTTTGACTGAGAGGAGAAAGTGAGCCAATCCCTCTTTGAATAGGCCTAAATACTGTCGGCCTGGATGGGTATCGCTCAGCAACATCTGGTATGCTGATTGCCAACTGGCTGAGTTTTACCACAATCTGAACTGCTGTTTGCCTCGCTGAAGGCATATTCTGATAGCTCATCAAGCCGTTCGATGGACCCCATTACAATCATGTAATTTTTTATCCAAATTGCGACACGCAGCCAGCACTGATTGCATTAATCTTAGGAAGCTCGCCAAGTGATTTGGCAAGCCATGTGAATGTCCCCGTAGTTTCCCCTTTTATTTTAATTTTCTAACCAAAAATTCAGCAAAATAATGCCCTAAAACTTTGAATTTCATCCAAATAATAATGAACACACTCTCACAATTTAAATCATTGGTTGATTTTCTGACAAAAAAATAAAACATACAACAATGCAAAATGTTGTGAAGTTGTTTTGGTCAAAATCGTCCTCTGGTTCGCAGTCATTTTGTGTGAAGGTTTATAGCATGCCATTTGTTTCTAGATCCTTCTCTTGAATGCCCTACTCTTTCATCATACTATCTCTCATTTTGTCTCTTTAAAGCAAGGGCTTCATCTCATCTCTTTTATTATTCTTTTTTCCCCCAGTTTTCAGTGTTCATCTGGATAGGAATGATTTGAATAACAGACTGGTTGCTGGAAGAAATCAAAGAACAACACGAATCCGCCACATCGATAGCTTACCCATAGCTCCTGACCTCATATCAAGATTTAAGTATGTAATTCTCTTCTCTTTTATGCTTCAAGAAATTGTACCAGCAGATTAGTAACATGAATTGTGAATTTTTTCTAGTCATGAAAAGGTCACTCGGGTAATCATAGAAACTTGAAAGAATGCACTTTCAAAGCTTAATGAGGGAAATAATCAGATATAATACATTACATAATATTTGGCTGATCCCCAAGTAGACAAAATAATGTACATCAATTTATCTAAGTATCATAATCTGTACTTATGTAAAAAGAACAATTTAAATAATCAAAATTAACTGCCTGAAAGTTAGTTCAATCAGTTACAAAGTTAGGATGCTCTTTACTTCCATTTTTTTTCTGAAATTGTCATTGTTTCTGCTCAGCAGCAGTCTGAGAAATTCAATTCTTGGTGCTGGAGGACTGCGCTCTGTTGACCCTTCAAGTGATCTACAGATTCAAACTTGGCCAGCTTTCACAAAGTAAGTTTTTATTTTTTTAGGAGAGACAAAAATCCTGCAAAAACGTATGATCTCAGCTCCTCATGTTTTCTTTATTTGACCTTGCAGTAGCATGATTCAAGGCAGTAACACGGAGTGGACCACTAGGCAGGGTACTAATTTAAGCATTCAGATTTATTTGTCTTCTAAAACGTCTAACTGAACGTGATTTGTGCAATAAATATTACTGAAATCAACTCCTGGCTGAGATTTTGACTCTTTTTTAGCATTGGTTACGAAAAATTTGAATTTCTCACTCACACAAGAAACCAGAGCCTATGTGAATCAAAGTGCGCACTACAACAGTTTTGGCAGGCTTCTCAATCAAGCCGTGTCTTTTCCTGTCCTGTGTTGTTCCAAGTGTAATTAAAGTGTAACATTAGCTGAAGCGCTGAGACTGAGGTTGCCATATTTTCATACTGCAGGGACTATCACAGTTTTGTTAGGTGTGCAATTCAAAGCAAATAGGTTTTTGTTTTGTTATTTTTATTTTAAGCGGAAAGTTTGAATTTATGCATCATAAAACATTTACTTTTAATAATTTTTGTTTCACAAATTGTGCTGCGCGTGACATTTTGAGAAGACAACATCTATCACAATGCTTAAATTCGCTTCTCATCTAGTGATCCATCATTTTTCTCTGTAAATCATCCCTCTTTTTAAAGTTGACTCTACAAGTTTTTAGGTTTAAGCCTATTGGATTGTGTGCGTTGATTCTGCAATCATCTGTCTTTTCTTGCAACTCTCTTGGTTTTTTTATTTTAGTGTACTTCATTTATTTATTTTTTTATTTTCTTTGTTTCATTTTACGCAGTTTACGAAGTCGTTCAACTATTGGTTCCACAAGTAATGGAGTGAACAATGAAGTTGCATCCACCAGAGTTGTTGTCATGGACAATGGTATAGGTTTGATTACCAACTCCGAGGAAGAACAAATCAATTTTGTTGTAAGTGTATTTTAAATATTGCCAAGCCAGTTGTAGTGGACCGGTCGGTCTCGGTAATTCTGGGCAAAGCGATCAAAGTGACAATTAATGATCATCATGCCGCTTCTGCTAAGCCATTGCTCACAAGAGCAACGTACCTTCGCATAGCTTGTCATTAACGAAGCTCATAACTGTCAATATTTGTCAGAATTTTCGGTTTAAATTATGTTTCATCTTCTGAAGCAAATTTTCCGATGTGTCTGTGTTTAATATTGTTCCAATGTTTTTATTTCTCATGTTTTTTCTCATTTTTACCTCTGATATGTAGCAGATGGTTGTAATTTTTTGTTACACCACATTACAAATATTTCTTTAGTATTATTTTGGACAAAATGAGTGAGAGAACACTGCTCCTGAAGATCTTTAGAAGACAGTCGGGGTTAGATCTCTAGAATTTGTTCAAAGACTGCAGTTTTGAACGGGTTGCTTGCGTTTTTCCAGGACCAGTCGGGCTATCTACTTGGTCCAAGTCTTGCAGCCACTCTTAGTAATATTCCGACTGCAATGCACTATTGGACAGAAGAATCTCGACTGCTTGATGCTGATACTCTACCATACCTAGCAATGAGTGCGTATAAATGTTCAGTTGTATTAGTATTAAATTGCTTTATTTTTGTCGCTGAGGTTATTGACTACAATTATCTTTCCAATGAAATTGGAAAAACGAATTTCAGAAATCTCAGTTGGAAATCAAAGTAACAGGGAAATTTGATCATTGCCTAAACTATTAGAAGCATGATTGTATCTAAAAGGAGGTTCTTTAAATTAGCTTTTGTCATTACTACACTATGATTTTAATATCAGTAGATACAACGAATGGCAACCATTACCTTCAACAATTTTGGCCCTCTTTCCAGCTTAGATTGAAAGATCCTTTCTTCCAGACATCCCTGAAGGGATGATCTTGCAAGTCATCACATCATGTGTTATTCATTTTTCTTTGAAAACGGAGCAAAAATGTATGCATCTTTTGTCTTCTACTATACCATTTTGCATATTCCTTGAAGGTATCCATGATATGTGTTATGACATTGATAATTTTAAAATTTAATCTCTTGAAGTCTTCTTCAACTGAAAGGCAAAGTGTAACTTTTTTTATACATGTATGTTTTAATTGTTGTGAGATGGAAGAAAATTAATGTTTATTTGTTTTTTTCATTTCAGGCATTGCTTATGATCTTCTTCCTTTCTTCGAGAGTCAACGAACAGTGGAAGTGCAAACAAAGAAAGAAAAGAGCAAGAAAGTAGAAGATGAACAAAAGGCCTCTGCTTCAAAGAAAACTTCCAAAAAATCCAAAGGAGGTAGGTTTCTCTGGTTTGATTGCCTTCTAAAACATTTTAATAAATCAAGTTGTGTAAAAGCCCTCTAAAGCTCGTCAGGACTCACCTTGTTTGTTTAATCTCTACAGAAGTGTCATTAGTTATGGCAGGCCGTTCAATGAAGTTAGGACCATGTTGGTAAGGCAGACAAGACCAAGCTAAAACCAAATTGGCGCATCATCATCTAGTTAGATTAAGTGATTCTTAGACCTGTGCGGTTATGGATTTTTCAATTCGATTACGATTAACGAAATTAACCGCGATTACAATCATGACCACGATTAAAATCGGGAAAAAACTGAAACAGTAAAACAGAGCGCAATCATTTTTTTGGGGGGGAGGGGGGGCGACTAAAAACGAAGTTAATTTTTGGCTGTTGTTTCGTCTGTTCTCCTGCTGAATATTTAATTTTTATTATATTTGATGCACTGCCACCCTCTCCAATCAAAAGAATTCAAAGAACCTTTATCATCGATTTGAAATTGCAGCACAAGCCCGATGAGGATATTTTCGCAGGGTTATCGCTATTTTCAGTGCGAGTTTTTACCGCTAGAGGCTAGCATCACGCTACTGTAGATGTAATGCAAATTCAAATGAACGCGGCAGGAATGTCAAATTCATAATGCGGCGCAAAACTGGACATTTCGTGAGGTCAAATTAATCAAATCAATCACAATTAATTTCTCAAACCGATTACGATGAAAAAAATTAATCGCGATTACGATTAAAATTCAATTAATTGCACAGGTCTAGTTATTTTCTTACCCAGCCTCTATCGAATAGATTCAAATAATTCATGAGGGGATTGTTAATGATCTTAGTCTGGCTAAACTGTCAAATCAAATTTATCTGTGAGATGTACAGATTCTTTTCACTAAAAATGAGCTCTTTTTTCTCTAAAGCATCTATTGCTGGAGCTAAATTTTAATGGATCCAAATTTTTTATTATTTCAGGATCGCCACCTGCAGAGACAACTGTTGCTGCGACAGAAACTCTTGTAAGAGAGGTGCCTGTGCCGGCAGCTCCTGCCCCAGTTCCAGTCTCAGCGCCGGTTGCTCCTGTTGCGCCAGTGGCTCCAGCTGCCCCTGTGGTCCCTGCCACATCCGTCCCAAGCTCAGTATCGTCTGTCGCCATCCCACCACCCCGCACACCGCAAGGCTCTCAGACTCCTTCGTATCGTGATTTTGCCGATGCTCAACGTTTTGCACTCACTTACCAAGCGCTGCTTGCCAATTGGCAGCAAACCGATGATCAGGATATCACCGATTCCGCCATGTTGTCCAACTGGATGTGCAGGCAAGTGGAAGCATTGCAAAGCAGTTTGAACCGTTTGACACAAGACCTCACGGATTTAAGGTCAGTCTCAGATCCAACCACCTGATTCCTTCTTCAGCAGTATCACTCTGACCGAACGGATCAAGTCAAGTCCTTCAAGAATCGTAAATTTTTTAGTTAATTCATCCCAACAACCATTGAAAACGCATATGTCGCTGCTGCTCTTTGCAAAATTCAAACGTGGAGAAAAGTGCTCAATGAGAAAAAAAGACATCATGAAAAACCAAAAAAACTAAACTGTCAAAAAAAATTTCCACCAATTCCCAATTATGCTGACCAAAGGAAAGGGATGGCTTTGGTTGTCCATCTGACCGAAGGAAGACTGACCTAGTTTGCTTTTTACGTATGGTGGTGTTTGATTGAACTAAATGAGGGGTCCTGCGTCCAATGTGTGAATTATATTTAAATATTTCCTTAACTCATCTTCTGCCTTGTTGATCATAGAAGCTGTTTTTTCCTCCATTATCTGGGGTCAAAACGACCTTAGCCAGTCTGTTTTGCAGCAGGCTTTCATCATATTATCAAGAGATTATACTGCTATCCTCAGATTTACGGTGGAACTGATCTTCAAGCATGTATTAAGTATGTAGAGAGCTAGTGCCAGTGGCATGGTGATCTCTGGTAATATTAATTTTCAGTTAGCATGGTTTGATCGGTTTGATATTTTTTCACATCAAATCTTGGCCTGCTAGGAACACGTATCGATGGTGAAACTGCAGAAATGCGTGTATTGGTTTGCAGCGTCGCTGACTTCCTGTCATACTGTATTTTTATTTGGAAAACCACTAAACGTCGTTTCTTGAAAACTTGGTTGATTTTTTTTCTTCATGTGAAGAATAGTCCAAGAAAATTTCAAGCCATGATGATGGTTCCGTCTCTTTTTAAAAAATAAAATAGGAGCGAAGATTTTGAAACCCTGCAACTGTGATGCATTTTTGCAGTTTCGCCATTGATGTGCAAAAACAATTAAGGAAGCCTTGTGTTGACCTTATGGATGAAAACAATGTGGCAGTGTCCCATGATCATTTCACCACCGATATGATCAACCTGGCACATGGAGGTATTATTGCTAATTTATTCCTGTAAAATCTGCATCGTACCTATAATAGTACAATTAAGAATTTTAAAAAATGCTCTTTTTGATAAATTTTCTAAAACTTTGAAATTTTAAATCGGAGACCTTTCTATAGCATCTTGGCATCAAGTAAAAACTTAGTGTGTTATTTAACTCAAGTACATCATGGTTTTTTCATGTGCGAGAAGTTCGAATTCGTGCTTGGAAAAACATTAATATCTTGGCTGAGAGTTACTTTAAATAATTGTTGTTGCATAAATCGTGTACATGAAATTTTGATGAGAATAAATAAATCATAATTCTGAAATTAGTGCCGTGTCCATGGGCTCATTGAATCTAACCTGATGCATCAATTTTTATCACTAAGAATGACTTGAACTAATGCTTTCTCATTTCAGTACACCAAATGCTAGTCCCATAATGAACATAGCTAATACAACTTCAACAACTGCACAAACAACAGTATCAACAGTTGCCAGTTCCACCGCGGCCACAGTAACCGCAGCAACAGTCGTAAGCACTGCGAGCACAACAACTAGCACCACAGCAACTATTGAGCCAACCCTCAGTGCTGCACCCCCCTCTGCTCCTCCATCGCAACCTGAAACTGCTCCCCCGGCTACAGCACCTGCCGTTTCCGATTCCTCTGCAAATGCCGACTCTTCAACGCTCCAAATACCTGAGGGTGTCGATCCATCATTCTTGGAGGCCTTGCCAGAAGATATGAGGACAGAAGTTATAACAGAACACTTAAGGTAACCAAATGCTCCTCGGTGTTAATTCTGCTATAATTATGTAGCATTCATCTGAAATAAGTCCATTTTTGCCGGAACCATTGTCTTGAAGAGATTGCATATTTGCAAACTCATGCCTTGAGCCCTTTCCAAAGGTTTATAGGTTTAATGTTCTCATGCTCAAGGTTTGATTTTACATCGAAGAAACGAGAATCTTGCATGAAATTAAATCCGTGCTTTTATAAAGCAAGCTGTTCTCTTGCAACGTAAATGAATCAGATTAGTAGGGCTGTGCAAACACTCAATATTCGAGCTCGAAGGTTAGGTTCAAACTCGGAGCTGAGTGGGAAGCTCAAACGAGAGACTATAGACGAGCCTTATCGAGTTTGACAAATACCTAAAAAAAATTGTAGGGAAAACTAAATTAGAGTTTTCAAAAGAAAGTTTATTTCTCCTAAAATTTCCCAACCACTGATGATTTTTGCGTGTCATGATCTCCGCCTCCAAAATTGAACAACAAAGGCATTGAAAGAAATCGAATTACAAAAATTGATGATCCTTTAAAATTGACAAGTTTAAAGGGACTTGAAGGGAGACGATGTACTTAATAAAACCGTGAATAAATGTATCATTAAATTTTAAAAAAGCTCGAAAAAAGCTCAAGCTTGGCTTGAACCAAAAAATTAGGCTTGTACAGCTCTTCAAAGTACCTACTTTCAATCCATGAATCTTAATCTTGAAAACTTTGTAAACTGATGTACAGTCATCTCACTAACATTAACTCCTATTGCATTGATAGCAGATTTTGAGCATGTGTAATTGATTGCTCAGAAACAGGAGAGAGAGACCGTAGAGCATTGAACTTTACATTTCTAATCCTTAAACCAAAAGTACAGACTTGTATTCCAAACAATGATAAGATATCCGGTAAGTTGAATGAGTCTCTGAAGGCAGTAAATAATAAGAGACAATCTCTCTACTAGAATATCCTATCAATTTTTGGAATCTTTAAAGAGCTGTAAAATTCAACGAAGTCATGATCGAACATTGATATTGCTGAGTCTGACTTACATGAAACCTGATGCAAGAAGCCTCCGTGCCCTTTCTTGAATTACACAGAATGTAAATACCTATGCATTATTCAATTATGAGTAATCACGTTTTAATTAGAATGCCTATTCAGAACGTCTGCAACAACTGTTGTTTTCCACTTTTTCAGATTGGAGAGACTGAGAGAATCATTAAATGCTGCGGGACAGGGTGGTGGAACAAGCATGCAAGTGAATGCTGATTTCTTAGCTGCCTTACCTCCCAGTATCCAAGAAGAGGTGCTTATCCAACAAAGATTGGAGAACCAAAGACAAGCTGCTGCCACTGCAGATCCTAACGATCCTGTAGATCCAGCGGATTTCTTCGAAAATCTTCCACCGCAATTGAGAACTGCTGTAAGAGAAATTTTGGATTATAGTGTTCTTCTGGGTAGAGTTAATATATTTCACTGTTGAAAGTGTAAAGCGGTCCTCTAAGAGTGTGATTGTTCCGCTCTCAAAGTTGGATCACCCATATATTGGCTACCCATTAATACATAGCAAGAATCAGGATTAATTTTTGTTACTTCCTAAAAATTAAAAGATAATTAAATTGATAGAATGGTCAACGCCTGGAGATTATTTGTAGAATAAAATTGATTTTTACCGTAGGGTACAGTTTTTACTGTAGGGTTTCAATGAGACTTTAATACATGCATGAGCATCAAACAAAGGAAGAAAGTGAAATTTTCACAAATGCTTTTCTCATCATAATGGTTATAACATAGTTAAGAACAATTCAAAAACAAATTCAAAGAATTGAAACTGGGTGTCATGTGTCTGGAAAACAGGAAATTCTATCAGGTTAGGAAATTTGATTTTAAAAAAATAGAAAACGGAAATTTTCATGAATCTTTTACAAAAAATTCAGTTCTTAAACCTTAAAGTGGCGGGGAAAATATGGATTGGATCAAAGCTTACCATGTTTATTCTTATTCTTATTGTTCGATTTGTGTCCAGATTCTGTCGGATATGCATGAGTCGCAAATCACTGCTTTGCCTCCCGAGTTGCAAAGAGAGGCTAGAGGGTTGAGGAGAGAATATACGGAAAGACATGGGTTTGAAGATAGTCTGTATTCGCTTCGATCTGATGGGACAACGCAAAATAACCAGCCACGTTCAACAAATAATACCTCTTCAACTAGTGTTCATCCTGTCACGTAAGTTCTGTTTAACCTGTTCTCCTTAATTAAAAAATTGTCGGAAAGTCGATTTCAATTTTTTGTACCATTATTTCATGCCAAATAAATCTAAGTTTCTTTTTTTTATCATAATATTGATGTGTATGCCGTATATACTTCTTGATTTTGAAATTTTCCTCCTTTTTAGAAAAAATTCTAAAATTTAAGAGCCTCTATTCATCAATTTTCTGCAAGAAAAAAGATGTATTTTTCAGTTGTTTCAGTATTTCTTACTGATATTTTATCTTTTCATTAGAGCATCGTCCCATGAACTTGTCTAAAATTTTCAGTGATTTTTCTTAACACATACGAAAAATATAAATTAATTCCTGTAATAGTTCTCCCACAACAAAATCAAATGTCTGTAGAAATACTGAAACAGCGCAGACAAGAAACGTTCATTTGTGTGGGAGAGGACCAATTGTGAGATCAAAGTAAACTCAAAACAAAATGGGATTTCCAGTTTCTTTGTAATGATTGCTCTGCTGTTAATTAATTGTAGAACATATTTTTTAATCTGTCTCTCTCTTTCTGACTAATTTGAAAGTATGGTGAAACTCTATTTGGTGTTTCTTCTCTCTTCCTTTGAATAGATGGCTATTTTGGTCTTATATGATTCAATTTATCTGCTTTCATCTTTTCGACCTCACTTCAATGTGGCCAATCAAATCATGTCCAGGCTGACGAAACGCAAGTTCTTTTAAGCTCTAACATCTGACCGCTAATCTAAAGCCGTTCCAATGATTTTTAGTACGTTTAATTCATAGACTGTGCAGTTTGCTCTAATTTGTCATAATATTTCATCCTACTGTTTTTTTAGATTTGTGACTCGGCAAATCTTAGACAATGAAGCTGTTGCGTGTTTACTAGTTTTGCTCTTCCATGATGATATGATGAGGTTAAACACAGCTCGCTTACACAGAGTCATAAGAAATGTTTGTTGTCATGCTCCAACTTTAGACTGGGTTTTCAGGGTATGTGCTTTTTCTGTCTTTTAAGAAATGCCTATCTCCTAAATGGATTTTTTACTGCTTTGTTTAAGCTCTGCAAATTAGGCTCAAGTAAAACTTGAGTTATAAAACAAGCAATCAGCACCTATTGCAAATTATGTAAAGCTTCGTGGATGGCATGAGACAGAGCGTATCTCACTCTTTACCCAACACCTTTTCCTCATTTTTTAGAAAGAAATTGCATTTGCTAGTGTTTAAATTTGGCTGTAGAACCCAGACGTTGGAACGACCAATCAAAAATCAGTAGTCGAGTTAATGTGTTGCCAAGCATGCCTTGAGCTGAGTTCAGCCATTTAACAAAAGCTGTTTCCCTTGCCTGGTTATGTCATCCAATCCGCCAAATATTTGTCTCAAGCAGGTCTCATTTTCAAAAAGAGTTAAAAATAATCGGATCAAATTCCTAGAAACTTAGTTAACTCCGTACTTTTCGAAAATTAATTAAGAAGAATGGGTGCCACCAACCTGACGTTGATCTTAAAAATATGGGCATATCCATTTATTTGTCAATGAAATCATTCTCCAACAATATGAAATGGTGATCCTTGTTTTACAGGCATTGTTATCCATAACAGACAAGTGTAATGAAGCTGTATCCATGCATCAAACAAGAAGTGTCACCAGAGCTGTCAAAGATAATTCTCAAGTTAGGTAAGATCCCCTCCCCCTTTTTTTTCTTTATAGTCAATATAGTATGATATTCGTTCACAGTTTCACCAGTTAATTCGTCATGCATTAGGGTGCGGCTTATAGAGGAAATTAAAAATGATGAATTTTAAAATTGACAAGGGACCCCGCCAAAACGTTCCTACTAGTGTAAAAACAAACGTTGTAGAACAGTTTTGCATTTGGTCAACATTTAGAGGTTGCGACGGGCCTTTAAAGTTGCCAAATTTGGCTAATTTTCACATTTTTTCGTCAATTTTGGCAAATTTTCCCAAGCCTTACTGAGAGTTCTAATCGGTCAATTTATTCTTAAATAGGCAGTACATAACCTAAAATGCACCCCATCCTCCACCTTAAACCCCCCAGCCCCCCAACCCCCCCCCCTCACCGATCCAATATAAATACACTCTTTTTAAACTACGCTATTTTGGTAGTGACCAGAGATCTAAAGTAACACTGGTCAACACGGGTTCAAGTATGATTGTACTGGGGTAGTTTTTAGCGCTGAGTCTGATTATGACCTCCGTTATGCTGGGTCTGGTCGATTTTCCCCGGAAAAATCAGGATTTTCCTTAAAAATCGAGCTTTTCCGGTGAAAAACCGATTTTCCGGAAAATCTGTGCATGATGGAGGAAAAATAAGGTCATTTTCGGATTCAGCAGCTAAAATTACATGGGAAACCATACATTGCATGCCTATTGAAGTTTCCGTTCTGTTCCAAATATCGAGGTTTTTCCGGACAAGTGCCCCTCTCCGCCCATGTAACGCATGTAATACTAGTCCGATTGATTTGCGTCGGAAAGGAGGGAAAATATTTTTTCTTAGGCGACAGGTGGAGTTGACTCCACTAAATTATTGCCGCTGAAAACGAAAATGACCCTAGTTTTCTTCCAAAATCTATCAGTTTTTTTGAAAAATCGATTTTTCGAAAAAAAATGCACCTTTTTAACTCAAAAACGTTTTAAAACATCCCCTCTTTTCGGAATCTGGATTTTCCAAAGGTTCTGAAAGGAAACGAGGGTCCTTTTCGGCTGCAGCGGCAATAATTTAGTGGAGTCAACTCCACCTGTCGCCTAAGAAAAAATATTTTCCCTCCTTTCCGACGCAACTCAATCGGACTAGTATTACATGCGTTACATGGGCGGAGAGGGGCACTTGTCCGGAAAAACCTCGATATTTGGAACAGAACAGAAACTTCAATAGGCATGCAATATATGGTTTCCCATGTAATTTTAGCTGCTGAATCCAAAAATGACCTTATTTTTCCTCCATCATGCACAGAGTTTCCGGAAAATCGGGTTTTCACCGGAAAAGCTCGATTTTTAAGGAAAATCCTGATTTTTCAGGGGAAAATCGACCAGACCCAGCATAACGGAGGTCATTTTCAGACTCAGCGCTAAAAACTACCCCAGTACAATCACACTTGAACCCGTGTTGACCAGTGTTACTTTAGATCTCTGGTCACTACCAAAATAGCGTAGTTTAAAAAGAGTGTATTTATGTTAGATCGGTGAGGGAGGGGGGTTGGGGGGGCTGGGGGGTTTAAGGTGGAGAATGGGGTGCATTTTAGGTTATGTACTGCCTATTTATGAATAAATTGACCGATTAGAACTCTCAGTAAGGCCTGGGAAAATTTGCCAAAATTGACGAAAAAATGCGAAAATTAGCCAAATTTGGCAACTTTAAAGGCCCGTCGCAACCTCTAAATGTTGACCAAATGCAAAACTGTTCTACAACGTTTGTTTTTACACTAGTAGGAACGTTTTGGCGGGGTCCCTTGTCAATTTTAAAATTCATCATTTTTAATTTCCTCTATAAGCCGCACCCTAGTCATGCATTCTGTTAAATGAAACTTATTAATATCGTTTGTTATTTTTTTAAGAGGTAAATTAAAAAAATAGTTCTTCTAAGAACGTAGTTTTAAATAGAATCCATTGTCAGCATTACCTTCGCGGCAATGAGCAAAAACTGTGGTTTGAATGGACCTTTAGACAAGGTACGAATTTCAGCATTCTGATACATGTTTCATAACTAAAATTTTACGTAGAACACGATGCTTACAACAATAATTGCCGACATTAACTCCTTACAAAGATATTCAATGATTCATGATGCGTGAATTCAAACCATCCGCTCATGAAAACTCAATGCTCTACGTGATTCACATCGCGCGCTAAACGTTATCATGAACGTCTCTGCGATAAAAAAAATCTGGCAACCTCAATCTTGACGCTTTGGCTCAGCTGTAGCAAATTGCTCATAGTTTGAGCAACACATGGTGGGAAACAAACATTCCTCGATTGAGAAGCTTGCTGAAACCGTTGTAGTGCGCGATTTGACTCACATAGAACTTTGAGTTTCTTGTGAGCGGGCAGTTCAAATTTCTCGTAACCAATGTGAAATAAAAACCTTAATATCTTCGTTAGGAGTTCGTTTCAGTAATTTTCGTTGTATGAATCGTGTTCTACGTGAAATTCTGGATAAGAAACATGTATCAGATTGCTTAAATTTGTACCTTGTCTAATGGTCCATTTTGCCAAGTTCTTGTGCGTTTCTCTAGCCAGGGTAGGCCAGTAGCCGGCCAGGGCTCATTTGTAGAAAACTTTTCAACTAATTTCAGCCAATTTGACTCATTGATAGAGAAAAATCAACATAAACTGAAGTCGCATTAGTGAAGTGCTTCCTTCCTTCCGAGCAAAAAAGTAGTCATTTTGCATCAAAATAGATCTTTCTTCATTGATCACACACATAGAATTTTTCTGCTCATTCATTCATTTTCTGAGGTTCTAATTGGTTGTTGAATCTCTTATTGACCCAGTGTTGTGTAAAATTGTAATGTCTACCGAGGGGTTAGAAAAGTTGAATCTATGGTATGAATCCTTAAATATTTTACATTTACTTATGTATATATATTTTCTATCTTTTTCAGAGATGTTGAACCGCGCAATTGGCTAAATTTAAGCCTAGAAACAGCTTTAGGAAGCCGAACTGTTGTATTCAATATTCAGAAAACTTCTGGTCGGCGTGGAGATAGAATAATCACCATTCATCCGATCGCTGCACCTCTAGCTTTTAGGTGAGCTTATGAATGTATTTATCTTTTATTTTGTGTTTGCGTGTAGTTCTGTACAAACAATTCAATTATCATTGCTTTGTGGGAAAATCTCAATCTTGGCTGCTGATAGACCGGAAACCTACCAACTCTTGTCCAAAAATTACTTTTCCCTTGTTTTTCAATGAAAAATCAGAAAGCAATCAAACCTTTTTTACATTTACAATAATACAAAATTGTTTATTTCTGTGAAAGAAAAAGCGGCCCTCTATGCATCTCGATTTCTCCTTTTCTCTTCCTCTTATATAAGTATTTTATTCTCACATTCTGAAAATCAAAAGAGAAGAATTTCGATAAATATTAGAACAACAACCGAGCTGCCCATTTTGAAACAGTATTACTACCTGATGTTAAACTTTCAGCTTTCTGTATGTGAAATCTGCAAATGCATCGTGTCAAGAAGAAGTCATCATGTAATCTGCTTATAAATTCAATTATTTATTCAATAATCCTTGTGATTGATACCGGCTTCCTTTTTCATTTCAGGAACACTCTTGAACTATTGTCTTCCATGGTAACCGTGTTTGCCCCATTCTTTGTCCCAAAAAGCGACGTAGTGCCTTCATTTTTAAATTCACCGCAGCCTTCAACTTCTAAATCAAGACATTCTTCTGGTAAATTAAGTGTACAGAAAGTGGATTACAGTAATTTTTGGGATATTTTAAATCATCTAGATAACCAAGTGCAGTCGAAGAAAGGTAAAACCCTGAGCAGAGCTCATTCATTTGGGTCACTTGCCTCACAGCCCTTGAGTCACCCGAGCAACAATTTTGATGTTTCTCCGTTTGGCAGAGTGCTCAAACTGCTCTCTTCGCCTGTTGTCAAGAAGAACTCCTTGTTGATGGACAAACTTCTTAATCTCCTTGCACAGATGTCCTCAGTTGTCAATTGCACAAACCATGATTCATCGGAAAATTTAATAACTCCAAGTGATTTGCAATTAAACACAGTGATTGAAGTGCTCACTTCCAACAGCTGCTCTGAGCATGGCTTAGAAGATGCAACTCGGTTCCTTATTAGTATATCAATGTATGATAATTCAATTCGATCATCGGTAAGCTATGTTCATTTCTATAACATTCTCTCTCCCTTGCATGTTTAATCTCCTATGGTTTTTTTAAAAGCTTCATCGCTTTATTCAATCTTCTGGGAGCATTTCAGTGTCGTTGATACAAATTTTCTCAATCCCTATGAAACACAAAATTATGATACTTATTTTTTTCATTTTTTGTTAAAAAATGTGTCAGCAATTTGTCTAGCAAATAAGACCTAGTGTCGGCTTCCCAGCTTACAAGTGTCCTTCAACCTTTCTTTCATGTCATCGAAAATGTTTGATGAATGATTACCATCAGGGTGTGTACAAGTTCGGAAATAGTACTGATTTTTTAAGGGCGGTCGGAAAGTACTGAAAAGTGCGAAAATTCTGTTATAAGGTCCGGAAATTCTCTTTTTTGTCGCATTTTGAGAGAGAAATTCAAATTTTTGAAATTTTTCGAATTTTGTTAAATGGAGGTACTGAAAAAGTACAGAATTTTTCCGTTGAGGAGGTACTGAATTCCTTGAGAATGTACCGAAAAATTACTGTAAAAGTACTGATTTTTGGCCAGCCTGTTTTAGTTAACACCCTGACCATGTAAAATTGACAAAGAAGCTGTAAAAGGGGAATTGTATCAATATTACTCAAATGAGAACCTCAGGGAGTGAAAATTTTCTCTTAAGATTTGGAAGAATCCTCATCATTTGGCCCCAGAAAAGTATCTCAACTTGTGCAATCTGGCTATTTAGCCAATTGACCACCCCTGGAGCACTTAGTCATTGTGTGGGTGTTTGCAGGTGTACCATCAATAGTACGAATTCCATAAGATCACAAAATATTTTGTCATTTTGCTCGTTCTTATTATTATGTTTTCATTTTTTTTTTTGCATCAGGTTCTTTTGTTGTTGATGGACGGTGCAAGGAAACTAGCAGATCAAATCTGCATTTTAATCAAAGCTCTTTTCAAAGAATTGAGGTCGTTAAGTAAATCGCAACCTCAAATGGAGGAACAAGATGAAAGTAGTTTAGATTACAGCAGAGCATCTACGTCAAAAGGAATTGTTTCCAATAGGTTAGCAATATCTTTTAATCATTATTATTTTTATTAATGTTTCTCTACTCATTACTGTACTCAATATTTTAATTTTTTTCGTCTTTACCAGATTCTTCTCGTATTTTCTCTGTTGATGCATAAATGTTGTACCTTTTTAGTTTTCATGCTTTCTCTGGCCAAAAATTTATTGTTGCAAAGGAATCTCATCAAATTTTGTGACTTTCCAACTCCTAAACATCCAACCAATGCTTGCTGGATTGAGAAATTACAACTTTTTCCTTTGTTCGATGTATTTTTGTCCGGTATGGAAAGAGTTACAGCCTCCCTAAATTTCAGTGGGATAGCTTTGGGACGTTCAGTTTTTGCCAAGTTGTTTAAACTAACACTATATTCATGAGGATCTATCACCTTTTAAGTATCTTTAGTTCCTCCTTCCTGTTGGCAAGTACATATCAATGATTGCCGCACAATTAGTCAACATACTATCGACAGAAAAATGAGAAATTATGCTCACCCTTGTGAATTGATCTCAGAAAGTCTTAATTTCTAGATATCGTCACCTTCCAGCCAAAGAATTACAAGGCTGATATCGTTAACAAAAGTGATAATGATGGTTGATGATTGTAGAGATTTCAGAATATATTTAAATTCTGGTGAAAAACCTGCATGTAGCAGCTCAATTCCCTCTTTTTAAGCTTAAATGAGACTTCAATCAGCTCAATAGCTATTTTAGTTTTAGAAATACAGCGTCAGTCATGGATGTTTGAACATCCTATTTACCTTCGTAGGAAACAAGGTATTGTCCCCTCCCTTGTGAATTGAATTTTCATTTCCCCTATTTTAAGGTGTGTCATTTGAAGTCAAAGTGATGAAGGTACATTTTTGGTTGTCAGATTCACCCTTGAAATGTTATTGATTTGTTGTTAATTTTTTTCTGATTTTTGCCCTACAGGTTTTCAAAAGATAGCATTGTTGTGATAAATGGTCCTGTGAAACCCTTGAAATCTAGTGTTGATCTCCAGCTTTGCTCCATGGCTCCTTTAGTTTCCAAAACATCAAGTCAAACTTTCTTTTTGAGGATTCTCCGTGTGATCTTGCAGTTAAGAGCACTAGAAGTTGGTGTTAAGAAACGTAAGGAATACCTCTTTCAAGTTTTTATATTCTTTTTCAAGAAAAATATTTTAAACATCAACACAAACCAGGATTGAAGAAATCCTTCCATGTTTAATTTCTAATTATCAGTCTGCAAAAATTGAGGTATATGGATTTGCCAAGTTGGCAGTAGTAGCCAAGATTTCAAAGATCTTCAGAACTTATTCTGGATTCCTCATCCTGTTTTTAATTTATATTGACTTTTATGTATAAACTATTATAAATTGCATTTTATACTCTTCTGATTTCAAAGTGAATAATCTAATCCCCTACTTTTACAATTTTTTATTTTTCAATCGTTGTTACTGAGTAAGTTGAAAGAATCTAAAAAATGTTGATGTTTCAATAATTGGATTTGATTGTGTTTTTCAGAAGCTAATAACAATGTGAGTCCACCTGAGGAGCGGGATGAGGCTAATGCTAGGCGCGAAGAACAAAATAATGTAAATAACTTGAATGAAATTAATAGAAATAGAGGAAGTTCAGATAGTAGTCTGAACATAATTGAAAATAATTTGAGAGACACAGAGACTGCAAGGAGTGATGCAATGGAAGCTTCAGATGTGACGAGTAATGAGACTAACAATGTTGCTACTGATACTGCCGCAACGAATCCAATTCCTCCGCCTGTTGGCAATCAACCTGTAGATGAAGAAACCGTTTCTGCGGAAAGTAATCAACCAGCTAATGCTGATACACCTGTAGCAATGTCTGTTGGGAACTCACCGCAACCAGAGCCTCCTCAACCACGTAAGTTATCTTGACAAAATGCCCACTTATCTTTATTGATTCTCTATTTTCATCCACAGAATTATCACTTGGCAGGGAAGAATCCTGATCACTTGGATCAATTGAGATGAGGTATCATTCAGAAACAAAAGTATCCACGTACTTAGAATACATAAAAACGGGCATTTAAAAACCATAAATGTCATAGTAACTGAGTGCATCAGAACTTGAGTCTGACTCAATTTGTAAGTTGTCAAAAATCACATTCAGGTCAAAAAATAAGCTCAGTAAATTGATAAGCAACTTAAACTGAAAAAACTAGGTTTACAAAGCCGTAATATTTCCATATTATAAGGTTAGGTTAAAGGAATATGTCCGTTTCATCAATTGAAACTTCTGAGGAGGCAATTTATCTGCGAGCTATTTCATTCTTGAAATTGATGTAAAATGGATAGATCTCTGGTGTTCTCAGTTATGTTAATTTTGTAAATTTATTTTTTTTATTTTGTACTTTCAGCACCTCCTAAACTGAAACCTTTGAGTGAGCAACTTCAGTTGGATCACCTTTGGGACACGTTGAGTTCGTGTTTGACTGAATTAGCAAGAACGCAGGACTATCATGCAGTTTTAATTTTGCAGGTAATAAAATCATATCCCTTTTGAGTTACTACTAGTGCTCCAATTGCAACATTTATCATTGAAATGCGATTAATTAAAATTTATTACTAAAGTCATTTCGGGGGGGGGTGGGGGGGGCCTTACAATGAAACAATATTCTCAGAATACCTACCAAACTTTTCTTAATCAGTTCAAAGTTCTCTGTATCAAAGGAGATGAGAAGTTTTGTATAATGAGGGCAGTTCCTGAGAGTGGGTATGACCCACATTGTTTTTCGTTTTGACTGATTGACTGATGGTAATTTAAGCTCGAAACATTAATTTCTCACTTACAAGCTGATAGGAGGAATTCTTAATGTTTTTAACACTGTCTGCAATTTTGAGGAAGAAAAATTTTTTTTGAAATATAAAGTTTCCCCTTTTTTTCAGTCCATTGCTTTCTTGTTTGTTAGTATTTCACCAATTCCTTATTTTTTTCCTATGTTTTTCTCGCACAGCCGGCTATCGAGGCCTTCTTCTTAGTTCACACTGCTGATAATGATTCCACCGAGACTCAGAGTAATGCAACCCAAACAAAAACTCCAAGTAACAGTACCAGTGCAAGCACCAGTAGAGCTGAGTCGGCTAATGAAGTTGTGATGGCTGAAGATGGTCCGTCCTCATCTAATACTGAAATGTCGAGTGACTCAAATCCGTCAGTGCCCTCAACAAGCAGCTCCACTAGTTCTCAACAAAAATTCCTCAAATTTGCTGGTAAATGATTTTTTTACTCTTCATTCCATACATATTAATTTTTCTCTCTCTTGAGTGAACCATTATTTCAAACAATTTTGCATTAGCACAAATGTTAGTTCTTGGTATTCATTCCATTAAAATGAGCGACTCCAGTCTGATTCTGTAACTTTCAATTTTGATATCTCACCTTTGATTTTATCTCACTCTATTGGTCACTTTCTTTTATTCGGCACCCCTGCCCATGCCGTCAAATAGATGATACCGCTTAGTTGATTCGACTAAGTGGTAACTTAAGTTATAGAATCAAGCTGTTGGACTATCAAATCAACTTATTTGGAAGTTTTTATAAAATATACAAACAACGTAAGTTTAATTTAGTCACTAATCAATTCAGGGTTTTTTTTTTTATTATTATTTTTATCATTATTATTATTATTTATTTATGTAAATTTTCAAGCAGTATTTAGTAAGCCTGCTTTAGTACCCTTTTTATGATTTTGATGATACACACTGAATGATGAAAGACAGTATACTATCTCATGATCATGATGAACTCAAAAGTTGAGCCAATACAATGAATTCTGGTGGTTGATTTTTTCCATAAATAAGTATGACCTTTCAATTGTGTAATTAGACATGATCATAAATCTGATTGTGAGTAAAACCTCAAAAAAGACTCTACCAGTTGCAATTCAAAGTTAGTAGTAACATAAAAACGAATTAGTTTAAAGTTACCTCTTAATATTAAAAGAAATGCTGAAGCCCACTTTTGAATGTTTGCTGCTGTCTTTCATACTTCTCTTTCTAGTTTTCTTTGATAGAGAAAACTATAGAGTCAATTTTTTTTTTTTCCATCATCTAGTGATTGAGTTGAAAGTCGGTTTTCCTTCTTTTTTTTCAAAGTGGCAAAGAGCAATTTTTTTCTATTTAATTTTTTATTTTTTCCTCTTCCAGAGACACACAGAGCCGTTCTGAATCAAATTTTGCGGCAATCAACAATCCCATTACTCGAAGGACCGTTTGCTGTTCTCATCAATCACACTCGCATACTAGACTTTGATGTCAAGCGCAAATACTTTAGGAGTGAGCTGGATCGATGTGAAGAAGGCCATAGGCGAGACGAAGTGGCTGTTCATGTACAAAGAAGCAATGTGTTTGAAGATTCGTTCCGGGAACTGTTTAGAAGAACATCTGAAGAATGGAAGAATAGGTTCTATATTGTCTTCGAAGGTAATGAATGCCATTCATCATGAATTTTCCTTCCCATTGATTACTATACTGTACAGTAGAAACCGCTTATAAAGACACTTGTTTATAATAGAATCCCGCTTGCACCGTAATTTTTGCGCGGTCCCGTTTTTTCGCCCATAAGAACAATGTGAAATAATCCCGCATACATCAGAAACGCTTATATCAGAAGGCCGCTTATAACAGAGAGAATTTCGGTCCCAAATCGAAAATATTCCGATACAAAAGAAATTTCCCCAAAATATTTCTGTGCCGAGTTTCGGAACATTACGCAGTCTATAGTCAGATGGATATTCCAAGAACTCGATATAACGGAAACACCATCCAGTCATCTTTAGTGGCATGAGGGCAAGGATAAATTCCTCATTGGTTCCGTGCCTGATCGTCAAGAGACAGAGAGACTTACGTCACGCGTGAAATCGCAAACGCCGGCCGCAAACTTCCTAGGCATGCTACGTAAACAATACAGATAACCCCTGAGAGATTTTAACCGTCCATCGTTGCCATATTCACCCAAAATTGATTAACATTATTTCTCGTCAGTTGACTCAAAAAAATGACAGCTTGTTGCATGGATCAGTTTTACTGTTTTGTATCTGATAAGAAAGAATTTATTTCTTCTGTTTTTCATAAAATTAAGTACTGCTCGCGATAAAATTCAAATCGATCCCAAGAAATCGGGTATTTAGCTGTCACAGCGCAGCATCAGGCAGCGTGAAGACGGACCCAGTTGTCACGGAGAGGCGTAGGCCGCGCTGTTGCCGCATAGGACTCAATATTTATGGGAAAACCACTTGTACCAGAATTCCGCTTGTAACGTAACATTCGGCTGATCCGGATGCGTTCTGTTATTTGCGGTTTCTATTGTACTTGTATTTGTATTTACATCGCAATTTGAGACTTTTTTTCCTCAAATTGAGTTCTGCCGGATGACCAACTTGCATTTCTGAAGTTCTTGTTTCAAATGTGATTTTTTCTATTTTTATTTCATCTAATTTTATACTCTCCACCAAACACAGCCTATACATCAATCATACAAATTGTATGAGGATTTCTCTCACACGGCAAGACTCGTATAAATTAATAATTTATTTTCTTTACAGGGGAGGAAGGTCAAGATGCTGGTGGTTTGTTGCGTGAATGGTACATGATCATCTCCCGAGATATTTTTAATCCGATGTATGCCTTATTCAAAACCTCTCCAGGTGACCGCGTCACCTACATGATCAATCCGTCATCTAATTGTAATCCAAACCATCTTTACTACTTCAAGTTTGTTGGAAGAGTGATAGGTAAGTTTGATTGGTCAGAACTATTTCACCCGTTACATTCCAAACCTAAACCATGAAGCACTTCAAATAGACTGTGGTGCTTTTATCTTGACAGAATTGAATCATGATTTCTTTGCCCTCAGTACAGACTAGCTGCTTCATCTTCTTTATGTATCTTTTGCTCATGTTTTCCCCCTTATTTTAAATCATGCATTGGTAGCTTCAAGCCCTCCACTCTCTCCAACTATGGTGTTCCTAGAGTTAAATATTCACATCCATCAGTAAATCCTGAATAATGATTTCCATTCCTTTTTTCGTCTTTTTTAGTTGCACCAAGTTGCTGTCATTTTATCTCTGAATTCCTTGTATTTTCAGTGAAAATAATACCAAACAATCATGCATTCAAGAGCAACATGTAAAAGCAAATATCGATAGTGCAGCTGCTGAAATGCAAATCTTAGTTTTGGGCATTGCAGATTTCCTGTCATATTTAATTTTCTAATCAGCAAGCTATGCAATGTCGATGCTTGAGAACTTCGGTAATTTTTTCTATCTTTGTGAAAAATTCAAACCGTGAAGCTGGTTTGGCCTCCTTTGGCAAAATGAAACGAGAGTGTAGATTATGAATAAAACACGGCAATGGATGAACACACATCAATAGCGATATAAGTTATCTGCAAAAAGATCTTCCTTTCTGAATGTAGCATCAAAATTAAATGTAAGCAAACCTATCCTCCATTTTTCACTAGTATTTGCCAACTTATTTGGCAGAACCATAGGTATCTGTATCAATCAAAATGTACCTCTTTCTTTAATTTTTTTAATTCACTTTTTCAGCCAAAGCAATTTATGACAACAAATTATTGGACTGCTATTTCACGAGGTCTTTCTATAAGCACATATTGGGCATACCAGTCAAGTTCACTGACATGGAAAGTGAGGACTATACATTCTATCAAGGACTAGCATATCTAATGGAAAACGGCGTCTCAAGTCTGGGCTATGAGTTAACTTTAAGCACAGAGGTAATAATTGAACTTTCTCTCTTGTAAATAAAGTATCCTGAAAGTGGGAAGTTGAAGATTAACCCATTTGCTTACCACCATTTTTCTTGCCCGCTGCGCCTAGCTGTTAGAGCAACAATGAGGGCAATAGAATACTTTTGAATGATCTTAGGAGCAATATTCATGACGCTATCCATCAGGCCATCAGATGAATACAACCCAAACAACCGCCCAGCAACGACGCGAGTCTGTGCACAGCTGTTTGGGGACAGCCCTGACAAATATACTCACTCATCTATGCACCCCCCAAACCCCTTTCCCGTTTTATAAAATGCTGAAGAAAAATTTAAAACTGAAGTAGAATTTTGTTCATTATATTTTCATCTTTCAGTAAAATCAAGGAACATAACATAGGTGTTTTTATAAATGAGAAAATCAGTTTACATCATCATGTGAAAATCAGTGTACACCATATCTTAATGAAATGTTTTGTGTCTTTGCAGGTTCAAGAATTTGGTGTGACAGAGGTACGAGACCTTGTTCCCAATGGTAGATTCATACCTGTCACTGAAGAAAACAAAATGGATTATATTCAGCTTGTTTGTCAAATGAAAATGACTGGAGCTATTCGTCAACAGTAAGTCAAATAATTCATTGCCTACAGTCAAAGCCCTAAGTAATTTTATTTGCCACCAGAACCACAGGCCAGTGGTCCAACATGGTGTATAGTGTTGAAAGGAAGTTTTGGATGAACCAAAATTAGATTTTCAAAGCATTTAGTGCATTATTGATTTTTTCAAAACTGATCAGGATATCAAAATTATGTAAGTGCATTATCGGCCAATTTATTTTTCCGCGCCGACTTCATTAAATCCTACATTAACTGAGCAACTAATTTCTCTGATCAATATTTCACTTTTCCTTTTAATGCAAAGAAATCTTATACATTTCGACGGTGGTTGTAATGAATTGAGGAAAACCAAATTTGCTGATAGGACAAGTATCTGATAACTTCTTGAGTCTAATTCAAAAGGTAACAAGGTCCCAAGACGATGAAGCTACACTCTGTGAACTTCTGCTATTCCACTGATGTTAGTGCTTGAAACATCTTAACTCATGCTGATTGAACCAATGATCTCAGTTTTTTCCACCAGGAATAATTTTTTGTTTTTTTATTTCTAGATTAACAGCTTTTCTTGAGGGATTTTATGATATCATTCCAAAGAAACTAATCAGTATATTCAACGAACAAGAGTTGGAACTGCTGATATCAGGCTTACCAAATGTGGACATAGATGATCTCAAGGCGAATACTGAATACTACAAATACCAACCAAATTCCATTCAGGTACATGCAGGTTTCAATTCATATAACGTTTAATAGGTACTTTGAATATTAAAGGAATAAGAAATCATTTGGTATGTTCTTTTCTGATGTTTTGGGCTCCTATTTTTATGGATGCAAAAGAAGTCAGGAAAAATGCAAACATCATTCTTTTACATCAGAAGGTAGAGCTGGTAGGCTTATGGGTGACAGCTCTCACCTTTCAGGCTCCACCTGTAGATTAGAGGTGTTTTGCAGCCATCTCAAATTCTTCATGCCTCTGCCTACTGTATTTTTGTTTTTACTTTGCCATAGAAAAATCGGGTGGTTTCAATATTCTCTCATATGCATCTGCTCTAGAATCATGTAGACCTACCTTCATTGAGCCATCCTGTCATTTATTTTTTAGTTTATTCCATTTGTTATCACTTTTTTAATTTTTCTCACAGATTCAGTGGTTCTGGCGAGCTCTGCGTTCCTTTGATCAAGCTGATAGAGCGAAATTCCTTCAGTTTGTTACCGGGACTTCGAAAGTTCCCCTCCAAGGTTTTGCAGCTCTTGAAGGCATGAATGGGGTGCAAAAGTTCCAAATCCATCGCGATGAAAGGTCCACGGATCGTTTACCGTCTGCTCACACTTGGTAATTATTATTCCTTTAATACTATTCGACAAATTACATAATTCCTCCAGAATTATGCAGCTTAAAGACAATCTGAGTAGCTTTCATATATCTCCAGAAAAAACGGGATGCCAGGTTTCTTTCCTTCCCATCAGCACCAGACATCAATAACAAAATTTTTTGACCAAGTTGCGGTCTTTTAGTGAAAGTACTTACTCTGCAGAATGCAGAGTCATGATGTCACCATGGCTCTGATAGTTTGATAAACAACTTGGATCATCTTGTAACCCTGAGATTGTTTTTCAAGTAAATTCCAAGAAAAAACTTCGTCTCGAATAATTTTCTTTTGTTGTTTCATATTTTCAGTTTCAATCAGCTGGATTTGCCGGTCTATGAATCTTACAACAAATTGTACACCAATTTGCTGAAAGCAATCCATGAGTGTTCGGAAGGATTCGGTTTTGCTTAAGCCATCTCCAATCCACCTGTGGAATGCGGCAAACTTCAATTGATGGAATTTTATCCTTGAGTTGGTGAATCAGTCCAATTTCCAACGTGTCTTTTATATTCCCATTGCTCGGTTACATCCTCGTTCCATGTTGTTGAATATTGTCCGGAGGCTTTTAAACCAACCTAAGAACTAGTTTTTGGAATCAACATGTTCCTTTGTTAATTTTAGCTTGATCTATCCCTGCACTGTTTTGTTTTCTTCAGGTTTGTTGTAATATTAAATTCGTGTAAGAAATTTCTGTGTCAAATTTCGTTACTTGTAATATTATTCTCAGTGATAATTTTCTCAGTCTTAATAATCAACCTAATTTTATGGTATAGTTTTTTTGGGCCTCTCTTGTTTTGGGATTCTGACTTTTATTTGTATATCTACCTCCTTTCCTATTCCTCTGTTTTGTACATTCTGATATTTTATGGTTAATCCTTGTAAATTTTTATTTTCTCCTTTTTTCTTTTTTTCTTTTTTTTGTTAGGTAAAGTCTTGGTAATGCTATTGTTGAAGAAGGTACGTTTAAGATAAATCAAGCATAAAGTATAAGTTGTTTAGTTCCATCCTCCTAATGTGGCCCCATGATAGTCGTATCTGACAGAATTTAATCTCATCCTTCTTATCCATTTGGCCACTTTCCAAAAATTGCTATGCTAGTAGGTCCTTTTCGAAATAGTACCTTTGTCGAAATTTGAGAGGAAATCAGTTCATCTAATTTTTAGATTGTACATAAGTAAACATTTTGTCAATAAGAAATTGTAAAGTAATTGTACATCATCTACTTCTGTAATAATAAAGAAAAAAAGGAAGAAAAAAAAACAAAACGAAAATATGCTGTCTTTCCAAAGTTTTATTTTGATTTAATCTTGCAAAGATTAAGATGATGTAGCACCTTTTTCATGATAATTTAGAAAATTACTAGTCTCGTTCTTTTTGGATCATTTTCTTACTTTATTAATTGTTTTTCCTTGCTGTGAATGAAATCAGTTCTGCATTAAGCTACACTTACGCAATTGAAAACCTCGTATGTGTGGTTCCTTTTTGCTCAATGCAGTTAAACTAATCTGTTTTACTTCGGTTCATGCCCCTTCATTGGTGAAGGGGAGAAGAGTCCATTTTTTATAAACATATTTTTGAATCAAAGTTTATTATTTTTTTATTTGCAGTACTTTTGTTTATAATTTCTATTACGTTGATCATAAAGTTTATGTTAATGGTCTTAACTGTTAAATCACTGAAATCATGCCGAAGATAGTTATTGATCATTCATTTTATGTAACAAGTTGAAAGTTTCTGTGGTATCATATGGAGAAAACAGGGAAAAAATGAATAAATAACTTTGAAAAAATTCCACCCGGTTGAGTTTTTCAAATTCTTTTAGTACCTCATTTTTCCTCAAAGTTTTAGGACACACCAGAAATAAATGTTACTCCATTAGTGATTGTAAATTTTAATGATTCAGTTTTCTCAGCTAACTGAGCCACTGAAATGAGAATTAATATCTGGAAATGGCAATGCATTAGTCTTGGCCGCAATGCGGTGGCTGCTCTTTTGACACTCCAATGTGCAGCAGCGAGAGAAAATTCTGACATCAAGCATTGCCGTTCTAATAAATCATATTCATGTAAATGTACTGTCCATAGAAACTTTACTCGGTACCTATTTAACTAGATTCATTAATTTTTAGAATTCAACCACCAAAATATGATTCTATGATAAGTGACAACCTGATCCATCTATTTACTTAAGGTCCAATAGAAAATTTATGCATCATCTAAAAATCCAATCAACAGGGTAGCAGTAAGAGGATCAAAAAGGAATGCGGTTGCTTCACATAATTTTTTCTATGAAGAGTAACAGCACTTAAAAAATGCTTTCATTGAGAAAAAATATTTCCTAGCAAGGCCCAAAAGGCCGAATAGTTGCATCATTTAAAAATCCAATCAACAGTGTAGCAGCAAAAAATATGCGGTTGCTTCTTATAATTTTTTTTATGAAGAGTAACGACACCTAAAAATGCCTTGATCCGGATAAAATACTTCCTAGCAAGGCCCAAGAGGCCAAATAGTTGCATTATTTAGAAACCCAATTAGCATTGTAGCAGCGTGAATGAAGCAATGAGTGCATGCGATTGCTTCAGATGACTCTTTGATGAAGAATGCCTACGTGTAAAAAACGCCTTCATTTAGAAAATATACTTCCTAGCGTGGCCTCAGAAGCCGAATAGTTGCATCATTCAAAAACCGAATCAACAGTAAAGCAGCCCGTAGATTAGCGAGAGGTACGGTTGCTTCTTGCAATTGGATGTATTTATGCTAAAAGGAGCTATGTTCCACGCATAGCTGAAGTGCGCTTCAGCTAGAATTGTTTTTAGCAAATGGGTGGTTTTTCTACGAGGATTAAAAATAAACGAGTGGTACGGAATATAATAAAAGAATATGAACTATGCAAAACGATAATCCGGGTATCGGAACTTGGCTGATTTGAAAACGCCTTCAAATCCGGCGTGATACCTCACACATTCTGGAGAGTTCAAATAGTTGTATCATTGCGCCTTAGAAATGCGACGGAAGATTACAATAATTGAAATAGCCTTCATGCACGCTGGCCTTTTCGATTTCCATTGACTTTTTTGCAGTCATGAATGCGCTTCAGTGCGCTTCAGATAGAATTGTTTTTAGCAAATGGGTGGTTTTTCTACGAGGATTAAAAATAAACGAGTGGTACGGAATATAACAAAAGAATATGAACTATGCAAAACGATAATCCGGGTATCGGAACTTGGCTGTTTTGAAAACGCCTTCAAATGCGGCGTGATACCTGACGCATTCCGGAGAGTTCAAATAGTTGTATCATTGCGCCTTAGAAATGCGACGGAAGATTGCAATTGAAATAGCCCTCATGCACCAGGGCCTTTCCGATTTCCGTTGACATTTTTGCAGTCATGAATGCGCTCAAGTGCGCTTCAGCTAGAATTGTTTTTAGCAAATGGGTGGTTTTTTTAGGAGGATTATAATTAAACAAGTGGTTAGAAATGGAAACAAAATGATATGCACTATGCAAAACGATTATTCCGATAACGCCGGGGGAGAGCCGCGGCGTGCTGGCAGCGCGAAACGCGCACCGACGCCTACAAACCTAAAGGGATACTTCACGCATTGCGCAATGCTTGAAGTATCCCCTTAGGTTTGTAGGCGTTAGTGCGCGTTTAGAGCTGGCAGCACGCCCCGCCGCAGCGTGCCATAAACTTGCCCACAATTTATAGGTCAGGCTGTTAAAATGTAGGCAATTTGACATCAAATTCGGGTCTAATGACTCAAAAAACATCAGTTACGAAACTTTCGTGATCTTTCAGTCATTATCGGACTTATTTCTTCCGTTCTTGAGTTTTGGATCATGCGCCGCTGGTGGGCGGCGGCTCATGAAATTCTCCCCTGTGCTCGACCGCGCCAAATACGACTCTAAGTCGCGATTCATAACTTCCCGCCCATGAGAGCGTCATTTGGAATATTCGCGCCAACTATAATAAATCGGAGCATACCTGAGCGTTACCTACTTGTAGTTACTTGGTAGCGCGCCAACTTCTCATTCCCTGATTCGCCTGCTTTGCCGAGCTCAATAGATGGATCCATCGGACGACTGCCATTGATGAAGACACCGTTGAAATTAATTTTTTTTTTTTCAGTCTCGTGTGTGTGCTCTCTCGCTCCCTCCGAATGGGTCGCGCTACTTCGGGCCCGTGACCCAGGCATCTTTAAATCAGGCTATTTCAGTTTTTCCCTCTTAATTTAACATTTAAAGTACATTCATACTGTTCTTAAATTTAACTTCAACTTATTATCTTTTCAACTCGATTTGCTCCGATTCCCAGGTTTAACTTAGCATCCCGTGTGTGAGTGGACAATTTCAGATGGCTACTGCGTCCTTCTTGTATCGCTCCTAGGGCATATGATGACATAATAAAGTACCTTAAATTGTTTTACCTTCCTATAGATCTAACTTAGGATTCTTTTACGGCGGCTCTGCAGCATTTGGAGGACTACTCGTCAGTTTTAATCGATCACTTGGACTGCATTTTGCAATAAGGAACTACAATATCTGGCTGTAGTAACCACGAATGCACCATCAGTTTTCCTATTCATATAAATGTTTTTCCGGTCTAGCCACAATTTATAGTTCCCAGTAAGAAAATGTATAGTAAAATTGTTCATTTTTGAGTTATGAGGTATTGTCTCAAAGAACTGCCATCGTCACAACACGCTCAAGTACTCGTACAAAAGATTTGACCGGGAAACATTTCGAAATAACTCCAAAAATACGTCCTATGGTGGAAATCGCAACCCCCCCCCCCCCCCCCCCCCNATGTTATACTCGCTCAGAGTATACTTTTAAAGTTATCACACAGTGTTTCTCGGTCAACACTTGTGTGCGAATACTTTAGGTACTTTCGCATGGTATGAAGTCGGAGTACTTTTTCAAAATATGTCCTAAACTTCACACCTCTAAAAATATCGAGGGTGTGCTTAGGTGGTGTGTATATCACGAATATTTGTCCGAAGGAACTTCATCTGCAATAGACACAACCGGAATAAACACACCGGGATGCTCAGTTACCCATGTAAACATTATCAACCGGTTGATCGACTGTCCTATCGTTTTCAAAAGTGCTGAAGATCCACCATGGCACTTATAAAAATGAAGTCAAAATAAAATAAAAATAAATCAAAATAGAATTAAAAACAAAACAAAGAGGAGGTATTTTTGATGAGCGTCCTTGAGGTATGAACCTCTGCTTTTTTACACAGGCCAAGAGACGAGAACTTCCGCCGGGCTAGTGTGCCCGTGCGCGCCGGGCGCCTTTCTCCCACGAAATACGGTCATCCTCCGGGTTTTGATGACTCTCAAAACCTGTTCTGCTCGGAGCGTATCTTCACTTTTGCGTCATCGAACCCGTGCCTTACTCACGGCAGTTTACCGTGTCTTCCGCGCCACTACGCACCTCCGTTTTTATACTCGCCTATGATGCTCGCCCCGAAGGGATCGCCGCATTTCTCCAAGGAATAGACTCTTTCTTCTTCTTTTTTTTTCCTGTTATAAAGTGATTGTGAAGGTAAGATTTTTCACTTTTCTCTTTTTATTTTGCCGTTTGTATTAAGTAGCACCCCCGTGGTTGGAAGGAAAATAAATACGAATGCAGCTATAATTCGACGGTGAAACTTCTAAACCACGTGTCTCGTCTGAGGTGCTTTAAAATTTCCGCTCCTATTTTATCCTCTTGAACGATAAAAAATCAACATCGTCCCTTGAAGTTTTCAAAAATAATTCTCTACGAACCAAGAGGAAAAGTCGCGAATAAGTTTTTAAGAATCGACGTTGAAGGGTTTTCGGTTTAATGAACAAAGTATGAGTGGGAGTCTGCAAATTGAGATCAGTGGTTTGGGAGTTGTACCGTTGAATCGTTCATAGTGCCAGAGTTCTGTTGTGGAGACAAGTTCTTATTTTAGTTAAAAGCTGGTTTAAAAATTGAAAGAAAAAGGAAGAGCCCCTTCAATTAGTGAATAGGCAACATACACAACACTACGATATCGACGGCAATACAGGGTGTTCGAAAAGTCCCCTCCCCCCCCTCTAACTTTTGACCTAATTGAGGTAGAGATTTGAAACTTGGAGGGTGTTCCTAGATCAAAGGGAGCTACTTTTTGACTCCCCCAAAATTTTGGGGGGGCCCCATTTTGGGGGGGTTACGGACCCTAACTTTTAATTTTCAAATGGGAAGACCCCCTTTGTGATACCTCGTTCGAAAGAACATAAAAAAAGAAAATTTTTCGCGCAAACCGGAAGTCATTATCTCAAACCGTTTCAAAATGGCGGCCGGTCAAAGTTCCAAATGGCCGAAAATTGGCACCTGTGCTATTTGCCCATGGATTTGCTTGAAACTCGGTATCTGGGGGTATTGTGGCACGAGAAAAACGAATTTGACGTTAGATTTTCAAAAAAACCCTAATTTTTCAAAATGGCGACCGGTTTAGGCTCAAAGTGGCCGAAAATTTGACAAACTCGATTTTTTTTGCCAATGGATTCACCTGAAATTCGGTATCTGGGGGTATTTTGACCCGAGAATAACGAATTCAACGTTAGATTTTTAAACAAACCCTAATTTTTCAAAATGGCCGCATATTAAAGTTCAAAATGGTCAAAAATTGGCAACCTCGACTTTTTGCCGATAGATTCGCCTGAAACTCGGTGAAATAACGTCGAATTCCTTTGTCTCTCACCCAGATACCCTCAAACACCGAGTTTCAGGCGAATCTATCGGCAAAAAGTCGAGGTTGCCAATTTTTGACCATTTTGAACTTTAATATGCGGCCATTTTGAAAAATTAGGGTTTGTTTAAAAATCTAACGTTGAATTCGTTATTCTCGGGTCAAAATACCCCCAGATACCGAATTTCAGGTGAATCCATTGGCAAAAAAAATCGAGTTTGTCAAATTTTCGGCCACTTTGAGCCTAAACCGGTCGCCATTTTGAAAAATTAGGGTTTTTTTGAAAATCTAACGTCAAATTCGTTTTTCTCGTGCCACAATACCCCCAGATACCGAGTTTCAAGCAAATCCATGGGCAAATAGCACAGGTGCCAATTTTCGGCCATTTGGAACTTTGACCGGCCGCCATTTTGAAACGGTTTGAGATAATGACTTCCGGTTTGCGCGAAAAATTTTCTTTTTTTATGTTCTTTCGAACGAGGTATCACAAAGGGGGTCTTCCCATTTGAAAATTAAAAGTTAGGGTCCGTAACCCCCCCAAAATGGGGCCCCCCCAAAATTTTGGGGGAGTCAAAAAGTAGCTCCCTTTGATCTAGGAACACCCTCCAAGTTTCAAATCTCTACCTCAATTAGGTCAAAAGTTAGAGGGGGGGGGAGGGGACTTTTCGAACACCCTGTATAGTGAATTTACAATCCATTGCAATCTGTGCCACTTGGGTTATTTTATACACGGCATAGAAGTTAAAAGTATACGTATAGATCGTAAAAGTTAATTCGCAATATCGCTAGGAATTATTACGAGCCATATTTTCCGTAAACCGCTGTCCAAACATTCTCACCAAAGTTACCATCATTTTTTGTCAAGTTATAGTTTAAAATAAATATCACTGATATACATCGTAAGAGGTTTGGGCTGATTCTTTTAGAGATTTTTTTTTTCGAGAATTTGCATCAAATTTTCAAAAAAACGCTGTATCAACGTTGGTACAACTTAGGCTCGTCGGCAGCGACTGCGTAAAACCGCGTCGAGATATCGTACGAATTTAGAGGCAGAATAGCCGTAAGAAAATCAGAACTAAATCGGATCGGCTTTACCAATCTAATTGCTCAAAAAGCAATCTCATTGACGTTTATGCTTTGCAAATTAATGCACGCACAATTTCTCAGATTCGATCATGCCGGAAAGCTCAAGAGAAGAGAAGACCCCTCAAGAAAATACTAGGCCACTCATCAAAATTGTCGAGCATTTAAGAAAAAATGGACTCTTGGTGGGCACATTCCTAGGCGTGATAGCTGGTGGCGCTCTCGGTGAGTATTTAAGCATGATTTCAGTTCATCTCACAAATAATATTTAAATTTCTCATGAAACGATTAATATTTAAATTTCTCATGAAACCAATAATCACCTACGTAACAATGTTTACCTACACTTTGGAATTTTTCAATTTCATTTGTTTCGCTAACTTACATTTTTCACTTTGGCCATCTGTGTTATAATGCCTCTGTCGCTCATTTTTACTACAAAATTGTGTTAGCAACTTCAGCATTCAGCATCTTTGCGCTGAAGTAAATGTCTTCATAACAACCCTTTTTTGGGGCGAAAAACGTGTTCAGGCATGAAATTCCCAAAAATACCTACTCATTTTAACTTGAGGCAATCTTTAAAAATTAATTTGCATGGAAGACTGGAGTAGAAATCTCTTACCGGAGCATGAAAGCTCAGCACGACGAAGAAATGAGAGGTTTCGTTAGAATTTCAGAAATCAGCCCCCACTGCCGAAAACTACATCCCGGCAATTATACCTTAAAATACTTTGGTTTGTTTCAGGTTTCATTCTTAGATCTTTGGAGCTGACGCCCGACACCATAGTGATGATCTCATACCCTGGAGAACTCTTTCTACGGGCACTAAAATTGTTGATCCTACCTTTCGTCATTTCTTGCATCATAATTGGTACGTCGATCTGTTTCACTCGTCTATACCTTTCAACAATATTTTAACGATCGCTCTGTAATCATGGGTATAAATAGGTACACCAAATCTTATTTCTTTTCTCCTGGCTTTGGTCTTAAGACTTTCCTAAATCTTGTGTGTAAAATCTGAACCTCCTCTGAAATCTAAAATCTGAATCAGGAATCTTGTGTGTAAAACTTTGAGTGTAAAATCTTGTGGGTCCATTGCATCGAAACATTCGTAAAAGGGAATTGTAATGAATATACTCGGTTCAAAACACTTCCTGGCGCCATACGACCCCAAATCGCCATTGCCGTCGATTGACCCACAACCCTTCGGAGATTGAGCATCACGGCATTTCTGCTTCAGTCCTACCCGATCACCCCATTTACTGGGCGTATTCTGCGCCTTTTTCCAGGAGGAACCCATTCTAGGATCTTCTTGCGCAACCTGTCTCCTGCATTCTCTGAGCATGACCATAAGTTGTTTCGTCATAATACCATGTCTGTTAGGCATCCATGATCTCGCGCACCGTCTCATTCTTGACCCGATCCTTTCTAGAAGTACTAGCGGATATATGCCCGTACTGCCGTGCTAAAGAAAAACGCCATATGAGCCTTCAGTGGTTGCCATATCTCCTTCAATTAATAACGAATTTACCAGCAAAATTTCAACATTTTTCTTCAAAATTTTTCGACGATTTTGCCCGCAATGTAATCTAAAATGTCTGAGATTTTCAAGGAAAAATAAGCATGACTTTCCACAAAAACACATGTTTTATTCGGAGAAATTTGACAATTCTCGAATGTTCATACGGCGTTTTTCCTTAGCACAGCCGAGTAAACCATCTCTGTTGCCTCAAAAACCTCCCAGGTCCGCTATTTCATCGATCGTACTTCACCAAAGGCGCCACTGCAATTGTAAGTATCCCCTCCAAAAGTAGGACCGACATTTACAGAATAATTCTAAAACAAAAAAAAAACTTGATTCAGTATGAGCAAACGCGTAATCAAGATTTTTTTAGCATATGAACAGTCAAAAAAAAAACATCATGTACAATCTTAGTAGCACAATGGTGCTCAAGAATGTTTTGAGTCTGAATCTTCTCTTCTTTTTACGTTGAAACTCAATTCTTTTGCAATGATTTCAATTTCTTTTTCAATTTAAGGTACGGCATCTTTGAACATCCATAAAAATGGAAAAATAGCGGTGCGAACCATAGTCTACTTCTTTGCGACAACAACTTTAAATGTGCTTCTGGGCCTGGTCGCGGCTTCAATTATGCATCCAGGTGGCTCCGCGATAAAAGTAGGCGAGGATAGATCGCCCGGTCTCCAGGCTCAGACCTCTATCCACGATGGGTTTCTCGACATGGGAAGGTAAGGTTTGATATGAAATACACCATGCTGTGCAAAAAATCAGCAATACATGTGGAAATCAGTAATTTTGAACGGCATTACATCCGGAAAGCATAGGCGGTTCTAGACCTTCATTCTTGGGGGTGCCCAGAGGTGGAAAACGTCGGAGACCGTCTCCAAAGGGGACGGTCGCTCAGGGAACGCCTAAGTTTCGGCCCTCAAGTTTTATCCCTTCCCTACCCTCCTTTCTCTTTTTCTCTCCTTCTTCTCCACTTATATACCTGTAAATTCCAATTAGAAAATTTTATCAAAACTTTCCATTAAAACTACAATCTTATCATAAAAAAACAGTGGAATCTTTGTAAAACACGGCTATCAATTTTAATTCTGTTTAAAACATTTTCAATTAATTTCACGTTTCCGATAACCGTACTTAATTTTTGCTTGGGGGTGCCTGGCACCCACTGGCACCCCCGTAGAACCGCCTATGCGGAAAGAATAAGTATAAACTTTCATCACAGAGTTGCATTGTAGGGGCCTCGCAATACAGACTGCGCCTATAAACCTTAAAGTCTTAAATCAGACCCTGTTTATAGCAGAAAATCATTGCAATCCCTTTAAAAATTCCAATTCCAGAGTTGCGCTACTGAATTTAACCCGAGGTTTGCAAAACTCGTTTTTTATGATGATATGTATAATACTTGCTAAAGCTCTCTTAGTTCCAATGTATACCATATATGGCCTGTCCAAAAAAAGAGACTTTTCGAGGTACGACAATGAATAGAACGGATTTATGCTAAAAGGAACTGTAAGAATATGATTGGTGTGCAGCATACTTCCTTTTAGCATAAAAATTCCAAAAATCCATCAAAATGGAAATTCCATCAAAATTATGTATATCTTATTGTCCGAGTTTTATTGGGCAGAGCTTTTCACTAACTTCAGGTGAATACAAAGATCTTTTGTCGGTAGTTCACGGAATTTTTAACGCTCGTTCGAATAGACCGAAACAACCTTCAGAAAGAGCATCAAGAGCAACTGGACTGCATTTTGCAATTTGGAACTATAAATTCTGGCTCATCTGAAAAAACGCTTATGTGCACAGAGAAACTAATGGCACATACGTTATTTTTAAACCGGGCCAGAATTTATAGTTCCAAATTGCAAAATGCAGTCCAACTAGGCGTCGAATGCTTACAGACACTTAGGTACAGCTTGTCCTCTCACTCCTCATGAAAATGCTTCTGAGCCATTTTACGCTTGCATCCTTTTGAAAAAAAAATTAAAATAGGTATGAAACTAAAGAACCAAGTTCAGATTTCATGGAGCAGCAAGATCCTAATTTAAATTGTGTAACTCGATTGAAAAAACTCGTTTTAAAATGTGCTTTTGACGGTTTTGTATCTTAACTTTTCCTCTCCTTTTTTTTCAGGAATATCCTACCCGATAATATATTTTTAGCAGCCTTGGAAACCGTAGGTATTGTTTCAATTTTTACCAATAATGATGTAGATAAGCGCCTACTATGTTATCCTGAAAGTTAAAAGTCAAGTGATAAAAAATGCAGGTTTTTTTTCTTATTTTTCAATGTTTATACTCAGAAGTTAAAAAAATTTATGTCAGGAGATGGTGAAACGTCCACAGCACGTCTCTCAGTTTGCGACGGTGCATATCTCCTCCACTCATCTCTATATAGGTACATGAAGACCTCATCATCGATTTTAAAAAACATTCTCGTGCGATTTTTATCGTTGTCTCTAGAATATTTTCCAAAAAAAAGTTTAAAAAAATATTATTTTGGAAAAAGTATGGATAGAAATCTTTAAATGCCGCAATCGAGATTTTTGGTCTGGTAGTTTCACTGTTGAAAGAATTCATGAAGTATGTATCTGCATGTTAGGTTGTAGGCTGATTATTGAAATTCTTAGACAAAGTAATCGACAAATAAGACAAAGGGGAAATGGAGGGATCCTATTGATTGAAACAGGTGGTTCTTATGGACAAAGGGGGAAAATGATGAAGTCTAACTATATGGTTTCTTAGGGGTTGCCTTTATTCAGTCTATTAGTCCCTTTCGTCTTTTGTAATCACCGCCTTTCGCCAAGAGGATCGCTCCGTTTTATCTTTGTCCATTTTGCTTATAGCTTTGTCTATCAATTTCAAAATTAGCCCACACGGTCAGCGTACCATATTTCATTTTTTGAGTCCGTTTTTGATCGAAAGTTCTTTCTTCAAATTAATTGCAATTTGACACAAGAGATAAGTATGATGTCCAAAGTGGCGGAACATGAAACATTTGTTTCTTTGACCTCCTTTGATCGTGAATGTTGGATCAATCGAGTATATTATTAATTAGTGTAAAATTACATTTCAGACTTACACAAAATACGAGTTGATTCCTGGGACGAATGGCACATACAAAAAAACGATCGATACAAGGTTTGCTCATATATTTAACAATACTTATTCAACAGTTTCAGAGACAGGGAGAATAATATCGGTGGCTGAAGTGCAAAACTACGTTTCTCCATTGACGTGTTTCAAAATATCCTCTTTTCTTTTATTTTCTCGAATAGAAACGAAACAACTTTGCATATTGGAATTGAAACAGAAAATTCTACCAATAAAGAGGAAAAATCAAGGAGGTTCTTTTTTTTTGAAAAAAAAACGTGATTAGTTTTACTAGGAAAAAGTAAAATATGACAGGAAGCAGTCTGCAACGTTGCGACCGGAAATACGTGGTTTCGCACTTCAGCCATCGATAGGATTTTTAATTTGACCACATTTTGCAATTTGGAACTATACATTCTTGCCCGGTTTAAAAACAACGTATGTGCCATTAGTTTTCCTAAGTACATAGGTGTTTTTCCAGAAGAGCCAAAGTATATATGTTCCAAATTGCAAAATGCAGTCCAATTGCAATGGAAATTTGAGTGAGTTGTTTTGCTCACCTACTAAAGTTATGGATGATTCTAAAAATAACTACATTCTGGTTTGCAATAAAGTTCCTATTACACACTGAATTTTTTATCTATACGCCCAGTCATACTGTTCCTTGATAAATTCAATGATGGAAAATGCGTGGAGAGTTTATGTGCTCAAATGTGAGAAAAATACCTGTATTTTCTTTGTAAATTTTTTGGTTTACTGACTTGAGCTGGCACTCCAAAACGACTTTCAAAGACTGTGAATGAGGTCTATGAATAATTCATTACTTTTATATTTCAGACCGGGAACCAACATGATCGGAGTGGTTATGTTCTGTGTTATGTTCGGCTCTGTCTTAGGAACCATTGGATCTGAACGCGAACTCGTCATCAACTTTTTCTCAGCAGTATATAAAGTCTTGATGAAGCTGTTGCTAGGGGTCATTTGGTAGGTGACAAACGCTGCCTCATGGATTTGCCCGCTTTAAACAGTCATAAATTTTCGGTATTTATAAAATCGGATTATGTTTGACGATTAAAGAACGAGGTTATTAGAAAGGACAAGTTCTAATTGGAACTTTATTGTCCCCCGGTATGAAGGTAAATTCCTATTAGGACTAAGAAATATTGAGGTGGGAATAGGATTAAAATATTATGTCAACTAATAGATACTCATGATGCAAAAAAGGCTCCTTCAATTCATTGAGTAGGCCAAAAATCACAAGCTTTAGTTATTAAATAGACACGTCGTAACTACTTCGCTCATTGATGCTTAAAATGTAATTAGCTTGAATTCGCAGCAAATATTTCTACTCGTAGTTTTTTAAAACTGATGCCATCATTTTTGTTGATAGAAAGGAAAATATTATCAGAAATGTAAAAAAAGGAAATTAAAAGGGGCAAATGAAAATACGTAGGAAAATGAACCATTGGTTAGTTCATTTTTTTCAATAATTGGAAATCATCGACAAAATGTGATACAAATATATTCAGCACATCTCAAACTTTCAATTTAAAACCTGGGTGACTTAAAAACCTGTGAAATCTTTAAGTATCAATCATAAGGTAGAGTATCATCAGTTACGATGATAAGAAGTAGAAAGAAGTGAAAATGATTGATAATCAGGTGTTTATGATTTGGCAGGTTCACGCCTTTAGGCGTAGGCAGTGTCATTTGTGGAAAAATTGCATCGGTGCCAGACATAGGCTCCACGGTGGATCGTCTAGCGTGGTTCATCCTTACAACTCTGGTCGCCCTAGCCATATACCATGTCATCATTATTCAACTGATCTATTTCTTCTTCATTCGGAAGAATCCTTTTAAGTACTACTCGTATTTAGGACCGTCCCTTCTCACAGCTTGTGTCGCCGCTTCCAAGTAAGTGAAAAGTCGCTGCATACTTTTGAAGAACTTGGTATAGTCCTTCACTAAAATATAGCCAATTCGCAAAATAACCTGTCATGATCCGGACGCCTTTCTTTGTAAGGATATATATAATGAAATTTAAAAATTTAACAACTGTGCGTGGCCTTCGAGCTGAAATGAAGTTAAGTAGTCCACTGTAAAATGATCCGTCGAGTACAATGTTCTGGTCTAAATTGCTCCACACGAGTTGACTGGAGCTCATAACTGGTGAATGAGGGAGTGAATTCTCGAAAGCGGCCACGACAGCCAAAAACAGTCAGAAACTGTCAAAAAAAGTCGTTTCTCGGCTCAGAGAGATCTCTGATTTGAGTCTCGAGACCAAGCGCAATCGATTCTACACCTCGAACTACATAGGCTAAGCGCATTATCTCGAAATTTTATTCCCCGTCGAATATCGAGAAAAATCGACAGGGGTTACATCAACTAAAATTTTGGAGTAAAAAGCAAGAGCTCTCCAATCGCGAGGAAAAAAGTTCTTAGAGTAAAAAAACTTACAATTGAGCCGTGGGCACTAGAATTCAGAGCAAGAGTACTTTAATAAAATGTAATTTGGACAAAATCCTCAAAAGTTTCAGATTGAATCAAAGCTACAGCGATTTTATGCTCACAGTTCAAAAATGAAAGTTTCCAGAAAAAACGACTAAAAATTCTAATTTGCAATGGTCAGGGCACAGGTTTATCAGTTGCAACATTACGCCCTTAATTGCCTTAAAAATTAGCCGAATCGTTCGCAATGTGTTCTTCAAGACAAAAGAATCAGATTTCCGACGAGATCTTAAAATACGGGAGTTGGACCGGTGGACCCAGCTTGAATAGGACAGTGGCGAGGCTTGAATGATCGATTATCGATATTTCCCCACTTGAGGCCTCATACATCTGTGTTCCAAAATACCATAGACCTACAGCCGGCTGTAAGATTTCCAATAGCTTCTATAGCCGGCTGCACAATTTCTTGTAGCCTTTTATAGCCGATGGCGACAATGCAACAGCCAGGCGATTAAGTGTATGCTGAACGTTACTAATTACGGATGCTAGGACTTAGTGAGTTTTTGGACTACTGCTCTCTTTTTGGGCCGTAGTATCTTGATTTATTTTGCGAGGAAAGCTCCGTACTTTTGATGAATGTCTGCCATACCTAATATATTAGAGCGCCTTCAGTTTCGTATGATACTGCGCAATACCTCTGGTGTGAAATGATTGCTTCAAGCGCCGTGGCACGCTGCGGTGCGGCAGGCGGGCAGCCAGCGCGGAACGCGCATTAGCGCCTACAAACCTAACAGGGATACTTCACGTGTTGCGCAATGCGTGAAGTATCCCTGTTAGGTTTGTAGGCGCCAGTGCGTCGCCGCTCCGCTTTGTGTTAGGCCCTAATATTTAATCTGGCGGAGTCAGCGTTATTCAACTCATGATTTTGAAATGTTTGCACATCCTGTATGGATTATTCTCATGATGAAAAAAAGATATGTATTAAAGGAAAATCTAATGTGTGTTTTGTAGATATTAAGGTGGTTTCGTATCAAACTTAATGATTTCAAAAGCACACGAATTTCTACACAATTTCTTATAGCCTTTTATAATCGATTGCGAAAAAGCAGCAGCCAGGCGGTAAAGTGTAAAGCCTGGCGATGGGAACTATAGCCCGGCGGCATAATTTTTTATCGCTTTGTATAGCCCGGCCGTATGATTTTCTCAGCATTCTACAACCAGCTATATGATTTTCTGTAGCCTTCTTTAGCCGGCTATAAGAATTCCTATGGTATTTTGAAACGCAGCTCTTATCGCCAATTTTTACCAGGGATGAGTCCAATTTTTGTCCGAGGTGCAACTCATTAAATTTGTTTTACATTTCAGAGTGTGTGAATGAAATTAATCGTATGTTTTTCCTCCAAGGAGTGCAGCCCTGCCTGTAACATTCAAAATTCTGGAGGAAGAAGTGAAGATGGACAAGAGGGTGACGCGCTTTATTTTACCGCTAGGTAACTTAAACATGAATGGGACCGGTGTGTACATGGCCGTCGGAATCATGTTCATAGCGCAGATGAACAGCATCGCCCTTGAAATTGACGACCTCGTCAATCTGTGGTAAGATTCATCCAGTACGCGAGTTTTATTGATAATAAATGAATCATCGAAGTATTGTAAGAAAATCAGTCATTTTCGGATGAACGATTGCGACTAATTGTCACAGCAAGTCGGCAAAGTAACCAGCCTCTCAACGATACCTGGAACTGTCGGTAATTATATTGTATTTCACAAATAAAGTAAAAATGAAAACTGAAGATAAATCAGAATGCCCTGCATTTTTCAATAAATGTATTGTGTTTGTCGAAGGTGTCATTTTTGTCTGATGATCTGTGGGAAGATCGATTCCAATGACGATTGGGAGTCGCAGAGCGCTCTAGTGCGCTGGGGTAAGCATTCCAGTCCTAAGTTTTCGCAATTTCTGCTTACATTTCGGTCCCTCATGAAGGTCATCTTCAGTGCCTCTTAAAACTTACATAGGTAGGTATTACAAAATATATGTAGTCCTGACGTTAAAATCACACACGATTGTCCACGCGAAGTACACTAAAGGGAAAACACACAGGAAAGCTGTAAATATTGAATTATCATGAAAATTCTGATACTTCCAACTTCATTCGGTTATAATTTTAAATTCTTCAAAATAAGAATAATATTAAACAAATTACAACTGAACTATCTTTTTTTTTCTTTCAGGGTGACGGTCACATTTCTGGCCATGTCTTTGAGCACTGTCCCAAGTGCTTGCTTGGTCCATGTTGTAGCATTGTGCAACTTAATTCGAGCTCCCGTTGAGGATGTGTCTCTCCTTTTTGCAGTCGAGTTTATATTGTAAGATTATTTAATACACACATTGTCGGATAAGTATCCCTAAACAGCTAAGAGTAAATTTATTTTTAAAGATTAGGGATACGGATAGTTGAAGTTTGCCTCGGCATTAAAGAGGAAAAAAAACAACGGGTCAAATGGAGAAGTTGCATGTGTGAGGGATTTGCGATTCGACCATTGATTCTTATGTAAAAGTTCGCGAGGAACACGATGGTGCCACTGGTTTTCTCTGAAATCAACTCCCAAGCTCAAAAAAAGCTCTCAAAGTAAGGCAAAAATGGAGGGGATATCCCACCCTTCCCTGAGAGTCCACCTCTACATCAAAACAAACTCTCCATGCAAAGATAGGGAGCAAATACATTAGCAGGGTTGCCACTTTATTTGGGGACTCTTAGAGGGACTCCAAAACTGANAACGCAGCTCTTATCGCCAATTTTTACCAGGGATGAGTCCGATTTTTCTCCGAGGTGCAACTCATTAAATTCGTTTTGCATTTTAGAGTGTATGAATGAAATTAATCGAATGTTTTTCCTCCAAGGAGTGCAGCCCTGCCTGTAACATTCAAAATTCTGGAGGAAGAAGTGAAGATGGACAAGAGGGTGACGCGCTTTATTTTACCGCTAGGTAACTTGAACATGAATGGGACCGGAGTGTACATGGCCGTCGGAATCATGTTCATAGCGCAGATGAACAGCATCGCCCTTGAAATTGACGACCTCGTCAATCTGTGGTAAGATTCATCCAGTACGCGAATTCTATTGATAATAAATAAATCATCGAAGTATTGTAAGAAAATCAGTCATTTTCGGATGAACGATTGCGACTAATTGTCACAGCAATGAAACAAAGTCGGCAAAGTAACCATTCTCTCAACGATACCTGGAACTGTCGGTAATCTTAATATATAAATTGAAAAATAGAATGAAATTGTGAATTAACCTCTGTACTAATTGCGAGGGGCGTTGGTTCATTTGAAAGGTGTTGTACTCAATGCTTCGGGAAAATTATAAATTATTTTCTGGGGTTTGTCCCCGATTTTTAAATCCCTAAAAACTCAAAAATTGGATGAGGGGAAGTAGGGGTTTTTTCTTTTTTGTTTTTCGGAAAAGTTTTGTTGCTACGCATCTTACTTTACTATTTGCTGTCTTTTTATGAGCTGTTTTCATTCAACAATCATCATTGAATGAGGTTACCTCCAACACTCAACTGACATCAACTTACATTTTTCTTTACGGAAAATGAAAAATACGGAAAACGGAAAGAAGAAAAAACAGAAACAAAAAGAAGAAGAAAAAACGGAAGAAATGGATGAAGATAAAGAAGGAGCAGAAAATGAAGAAGAAAAAGAGGGAGCAGAAAATGAAGAAGAAAAAGAAGAAAAAAAAGAAGAAAAGAAAAAAGGAGGAACGAAAAAAAGAAAAGTTGAAGGAAAAATTGGAAAAAAAGCAGGGTAGAAATCGAAAAAAAGAAGCAACAATTATAAGGAAAACAGAGCAAAGTATTTAGAAGATAAAAAAACCGATATTTAAAAATTAGTTTGAAAACAAATGTAAAAGCTTAAAAAGCAGTTTGTATGAAGGTTAAAAAAGAAAATTCTAATGTAAAGTTTACAAAATAAACTTATAATTTTTGAAAAAATTTGTTATATTTCGATCGAAATCATAGGACCAGTAAAAAAAAGCATTAATCTGGCACTGATAATATCTCTGCGCCGGTTGCGCATAAGAGCCCTTGGAGAGCATCTGCAATTTGATTATTCAAATCAAGTTCATTGCGTATAATCGTGCTGGATACTAGATATCAGCTTCCTCGCATATCTCTATTACTTGTTGTATTGTATTTCAAAAATAAAGTAAAAATGAAAACTGAAGATAAATTAGAATGCCCTGCATTTTTCCATAAATGTAGGTAGGTATTGTGTTTGTCGAAGGTGTCATTTGTCTGATGATCTGTGGAAAGATCGATTCCAATGACGATTGGGAGTCGCAGAGCGCTCTAGTGCGCTAGGGTAAGCTTCCAGTCCTATGTTTTCGCAATTTCTGCTTTCGTTTCGGTCCCTCGTGGAGGCCATCTTCAGTGCTTCTTAAAACTTACATACGTAGGTATTACAAAATAAATGTAGTCCTGACGTTAAAATCACACACGATTGTCCACGCGAAGTACACTAAAGGGAAAACACACAGGAAAGCTTGTAAATATTGAATTATCATGAAAATTCTGATACTTCCAACTTCATTCGGTTATAATTTTAAATTCTTCAAAATAAGAATAATATTAAACAAATTACAACTGAACTATCTTTTTTTTTCTTTCAGGGTGACGGTCACATTTCTGGCCATGTCTTTGAGCACTGTCCCAAGTGCTTGCTTGGTCCATGTTGTAGCATTGTGCAACTTAATTCGAGCTCCCGTTGAGGATGTGTCTCTCCTTTTTGCAGTCGAGTTTATATTGTAAGATTATTTAATACACACATTGTCGGATAAGTATCCCTAAACAGCTAAGAGTAAATTTATTTTTAAAGATTAGGGATACGGATAGTTGAAGTTTGCCTCGGCATTAAAGAGGAAAAAAAACAACGGGTCAAATGGAGAAGTTGCATGTGTGAGGGATTTGCGATTCGACCATTGATTCTTATGTAAAAGTTCGCGAGGAACACGATGGTGCCACTGGTTTTCTCTGAAATCAACTCCCAAGCTCAAAAAAAGCTCTCAAAGTAAGGCAAAAATGGAGGGGATATCCCACCCTTCCCTGAGAGTCCACCTCTACATCAAAACAAACTCTCCATGCAAAGATAGGGAGCAAATACATTAGCAGGGTTGCCACTTTATTTGGGGACTCTTAGAGGGACTCCAAAACTGAAAACACGGCATCCCTGCTGATGTATTTGCTCCCTATCTTTGCATGGAGAGTTTGTTTTGATGTAGAGGTGGACTCATAGGGTAGGGTGGGGTATATCCCCTCCATTTTGGCCTCACTTTGAGAGCTTTTTTTTGATCTTGGGAGATGATTTCAGAAAAAACCAGTGGCACCATCGTGTTTCTCGCGAACTTTTACATAAGAATCAATGGTCAATCCCTCAATCAAATCTCTCACGCATGCAACATCTCCATTGTAGGACGGCTGCCATAGGATTGCGCGAGTGCCCTCTTTTTTAACTTTTTGGCGATGCATAGTGTGTGAATCTTTCTGGTACTTCGAGCCCACATGTTTGAACGAATATTCAATATTCAACGAGGAAGTGCTAATCTAGCAACCTTGGTAGTTTGTGATAGATAACTACATTGCAGAGGACTGGTCATCCCCTCCTCACTTACGGGCATGTTTCCCTCGATGGATATCCCTCGCGGCACGAATGGCCCAGAGAGCTTTCACAGACATTTAAAAAGCGAACTAGAGGCCTGTGGCCGCAACGCGGCCGCCAACCACTGAAAAAAAAGTGCACGTAAAAAATCGTAGAGCAACCATGTTCAAGTCTTTTAAAAAGATTAATGGATTCCAACCCCGACGGGTGCACCCGAAAGAAACCGTATATTTAACCCATAACGCTCTGATTGCAACGTTATACACTACTTTTATGTTCTATTTTTAATAAAGATTTTTAAAGAGCTACACACAGTTTCTCTGAAAATTTTCCGCGAATTTACCTAAATGATCTCAAATAAAAGTATCGAAAATTTAGACGCGATATTTTCGTTTGTTCTATTTTCTTTCAATGTAACCCCCAAAAAAATTAATATCATCCGAGTTTCTGAGTCCTTACGACGAGGAAACATATTTTCACTTTAATTATAGTAAAAACTGGAGAAGAAGGTCAAGAATGATGACACGCAGTCCTGTAGCCGTCCTACAGTCTTGTAAGTGCTGATATGCGTTTCACGCCAACTGACCGACTGCACTGCGTTTGGCGCAATGCGAGAAGTATTCATGCAGTCTTGTAGGCGCTAATATTGGCCTCAAGCCGAGCGCACTGTTCGGCGCAACACGTGAAGTATTCCTAAAGTCTTGCAGGCGCTAATAAACATTTAACGCCGGCTGCACTGTGTTAGGCGCGATTATTCGAACTCGCGTCAGAATAATCGCAACACCGAATAATAAAGTTGAAAAGGCATATGTTCTGTTTCGACGCTGTATGAGCATTCCAACGTTGCCTCGTTTCTCCCGATGAAATATTTTCCCGAGAAAAGTTTGAAAAGTTCTTTATACCCACGACCAATATTATATCTTTTCACTTCATTTATCATCAGGAGGTAAGACATCGATGACTTGTCACCAAACTAGCTTGAACTAGCGTTAACACAAAAATGCGTTTATTTTCCAACTGTTTCTGTTTTTGCCAAACTTCTACCTGAAACTAACTTCATTTTAAATTCGCGCATTCCTGTATCAGATGTTAAGGTTTCTATTCGCGCAATCCTTGTGCCTTTTCCACGCAATCCTCATATATTTTCTCGGACTTTTCGCGAAATCCTGGGTTACCTAAAAACTCTTCCTACTCATTCCAAGAGATGCTTTATTTTACTGTTTCAAAGGGACGACCGGCCAAAGTGTGAAAATTTTAAAAAATAATATCGCCAATATGAATTTGTGATGCATACAAACCCTCAGTGTACGCCAGAAAGTATTTTTGTCCCTCAAATTGAATATCACCTAACTCGAATGAGCAGGGGTTAAAAAATGCGACTCTTGCTTTCTAAACATAATCTCCGTGTATTTTTCCACTCTGTTTTCTTTGAAATGTCCATCGGATGGTATATCATATGAACTAGAATTTATGATAGTCTTAAGTTTTAAAGAAGGACTTTCATTAAAGTTTAATTCAAAATCAAAATCAAAATTTGACGAAGTTAAAATTGTCAAAACTTTTTTGGGCTTCTATAATTTTATTAAACAGTTCCTTCAAACTGTGGCTTTGGAGATCTTTACAGTAAAATAGACATGAGCTATTCGTGAAATATAATTCTATCAGCAATGGGATATTTATCTAGGCCTTTTTTGTTATGCTTAAATGCATCCAGACATGCACCTTATCCCGTCCCTTTAGGAACAGTCGTTGGTGGCAAGTCTAGTGGAACTAAGGTAAGGAAAGAAAACTGAAAGCGTTGACACCGCGAGACTGCATGATCAGGGTCACATTTTCTCCCCCTTAACTTTAGATTCATTTTTACATCATTTTAAAGTTGTATTTATTTTATTTTTATTTTTTTTAATTGTATCTCATTTTCCCTCTTTGGAACAGGGATCGAGCCAGGACGATCAACAATATTCTTGGAGATTGTTATTCGGTCGCAGTCATCCAAAAGCTGTCCGAGAAAGAGCTGGCTGCGTTTGATCAGGTAAAACAAATATGCGCTTTCAAAAAATAAACGAATTAAAGAATGAATGAATGACATTGTAATATATTATCAACAGCCGGTGGGTCAGTCGTTGGACGCGAAGAGACCATGATCATATAATAACGCCTTGATGCAACTATACGTGCACTGTGGTTGTGCTTAGCACATGTTCCAAAATTGAAGGCGCACATTGATTTTTACGCATGCAATATTTTGCACTGTGCTTGCGCTGCACGAGTTGCTAATGCCGATGTGTAGGGACGTAAGACGCGAGAAACCAGAGAGAGAGAGAGCGTTGAAGAGTCGCTCCATTATTAATCGGGGGGGAGGGGGGGGGGGGGGGGTGGTTATTTATCGAACTCAATACTTCGCCAGCACCTTGACATCAGACAGAATTTTGTAATAGGAAACTACCAGAACCGTAATACTGTTAAGATTGCGTGACATCCTTGATCTCACAAAAAAGTTGTAAAAATTTGAAATATTTCCATCTCTACATTAAATGAATGTTTTAACATTAAAAAATTAGAAAACTATACTCTGATTTCATTTAAATATTAACCTGCCTTCAGCGAATTTAAAGTAAAAACCAACTTGGCGAGATTTTAATGCTGGCTAATTATTGAAAAATATACTGCAATTTTACGAGAGGAAGTAGCACTCATGGTAATGAATGAAATGAATGGTAATGATTCTCACTACCAAAGTATTCAGAGGATAGTAATTTTTCTCAAAGGTCAATGATCCCTTCTTTTTCGCTTTTCCTATTTTCTTCAGACAAATCTTGCGTGAGATTTTTACTTTCAATGAAATATAATTGATTTCAGGAGGAACTACAAGATTCTCCTGCGCTGCCTCTAAAAACGGTGCAAACCTGTTGTTAGCTTTGGGAGCAAATTACGTGATCAGAACGAAAATGGATATTCAAAAACGAAGTCAGCCTAAATACTCCGCCTTGATCAGAACAACGTGGAAATGATTTGAAGATTGAAAAAGAATGGAGAAACTCATTTAACATTAAACCCTTTTATTTTGCATATCTTTAACTAATTTTAATCATCACATGGTATAAGAAAAGATGAATGCAATTTTTCCTCTATGAAGATCTAGTAGGATCTAATGATTATGAATTACTTTGTGTGATGAAACACACCCTTTACCATATGGTTCTGTGAACTTGATTGATTGCAATAAAAATTTGTCTAAGTACAAACCGATAATTGTTTTTTCACCATCTTAATATTTTTTTTTTCTTTTTGGAGATTGTAGAGTGTAGACCCACTTTAAATTAACTAAATTGTGCAAATATGTCACATCCTTTTCACGCAGAATAAACCAACCAGCCCGGTTCAAACTAGTTTACGTAAATGTAGGCTCCTAACTTCTTGAAATTTCTTCGAGTATTTCTTCAGATGAATTCCATAAATCGAACCCAAGAATGTTCATTTATTTAAAAAAAAGTTTTCTACGGATTAAAATGTCTCCAAAATTTCCCAGGATGCTATCTTATACTTATTAATTTTGTACGATTCATGCTCAGTGAGATTGCTACCTGTTTTATTTTTTTCCCTTATTCAAAAATCCCTCATCGAATATCATCCTGAGGAAATAAACTAGGTACTAACCCTCTCATATCGCCTTCGAGCTGTCATATGATCACAAGCGTGCGGAAATACCTGTGCCGTGCGGATCTTCCCTGTACCGGCACGGACTGCGTACGGACCAAAAGTTTATAGGAAAACGCTTCCCTATCTTAAAGTATTCGTACGCCTGACATCACAGAATGACAAAGTAGCCAATAGCAGCACGGAGAGCGGCAGAGCGTACGGATCTCGCACACGATGCACCCGGGAACACTACCACTATGTGACAATCTGAATGCGTCTGCAGTTGTTGCACAGAAAGTGTATCTTGGCCATATTTTGGAAGATTTTAAAAAATCGGGGGAAAAGTAGTTCATTACACACCATGTATATGTCGCATCAGGCAATTGGCAATCGCCGGCAATTTACAAGCCAGTGGTGAAGAAATATAGAAAATCAAAAAAATCAAAAATAAAAGAACAAAATTAAAGTGCGAATTATTGTTGCCTATAATGTGAATAGATACTTTTCCATCCTTAAAAACATGGCAGGAATATGCAAACTGAGAAGAGCGTGTATTGAACTCCGTGACATTGGTTGGGTTGAGATCGGACAGGCAACTAAACTAACATCGTGACGAAGCGTAGAGTATCACAAAAAATGAAGGCGCTTCAAGCCAAGCTCATACTTTTGAAGACCAGAACCCTTAAAAATTGCATTATGCCGTTGCGCATATTTGCGATTTATTGAAACAACGTGTGAACCGCTTGAAATTGCCGGCGATTGCTAATGGGCCTGTTGCAAACTTTTGCTAGAGCAAAAATAAGAGTTGTTTCTTATAGGTAATGCCTCAAAAATCACGATGAGCGCATCGGCAAAATCTGAAATGCACTCATAACTTCACAATCTGCGTAAGAAATTTGCGTTTTTTTAAGCTTCCCGCTTCAAAAACGATACTACGGCATAGGTGAACATTTTGTTAGAGGAGTCGCTCCATCGTCGGCGATATTCATCATGGCCGACGCTTGCACGCAGTTCCGCGCGTAATTCAAGGAGAGTTCAAGGTCAATCAATTCGGGCGTGGAAAATATGAACGTTAACACACCGATTGTTATCTGGTCTAATCCAGTTCAGGTGTTATCTCGTCCCATCAAACGTGTTTTGGCGGATTGGCGTCGGCTATGATGATTATTGCCGACGATGGAACGACTCCTCTTACAAAATGTTCACCTGTGCCGTAGTATCGTTTTTGAAGCGGGAAGCAACGTGTTTTGGCGGATTGGCGTCGGCTATGATGATTATTGCCGACGATGGAACGACTCCTCTTACAAAATGTTCACCTGTGCCGTAGTATCGTTTTTGAAGCGGGAAGCTCAAAAAACCGCAAATTTCTTACGCAGTTTGTGAAGTTATGAGTGCATTTCAGAGTTTGCCGATGCGCTCATCGTGATTTTTGAGGCATTATCTATAAGAAACAACTCTTAGTTTTGCTCTAGCAAAAGTTTGCAACAGGCCCATTGCCTGCGACATATACACCACCATTCAGTATACACTATGCCCCGCGATTCGTCCAGAAATTTCATTTGGAACAACGGGGAGTAAACGTTACTTCTTAGAAAAAATCTCAACCTCCCCCACATGACCCTGCGGCCACTATAGGTCAGGAGAGGGTGTCTGCCATGTATTGAATGTATAAATCCCATATGATGAAATAATATTCAGTGTTGCAGCATCTCGTTTAGAAAGAGAGGCAAAATAAACCGCGTAAGTTGAGACGGGAAACGCAACGCTGAGCAAGAGGAGCGGCAGGGGAGCGGGGGGGGGGGGGNGGGGGGGGGGAGATCGATAACGTGACGTCATTATACCGAAACAGCGTCCCGCGAATTTTCACGGCGTTCACATTTTCCCGCCTCGTGGACTTCCAAGCCCGCCGGCTGCTCTCGTATATCTTAATTAATGGGTGACTGAAAATTGAGGGACTCGAGCTGATCCCTGAAATCTGTATTAGAAATTCAAGAGGAATTAGAAAGACGCGCTTCTTGTGCGAATCGCATAGAAATGAAAACAAAGTAATAACCCGAAATGTAAAAGGGATAAACAAAAAACACTTAACACAATATGGGTAACTAAGGCTTTGATTAGATGTTTCAAAACGTTATGTCAAGCCGTAGGTTCTAGCTTTTGTTCCTTTCTCGAACTTTATATCCTTGTTATCCGTTGAAAATTGAGTTGAGAGTAAGCTTCGAAAATTCTTCGAAATGATTTTTCTTTTTAAAAAAAGAAGAAAAAACACTGTGTTTGCTCCTAAAGCAAGGATAAATGACAATCATTAATTTATCAATAGTCGTGCTAAGCTTCCGAGATTTTTGCAAGACGGAGAAGTAAGTGAAAATCGAAATCAGTGTTGATATTTTATTTTTGTTTCAGTTTAAAAGCGGCAACCAACAAAATTATATCAAACATAAACTCTATTTTTACCTCACTCCGGGCGTTCACTCATGGGCCCTTGGTACTAGTTGGCAAAACGACAAATCCGCTAAATTGAAAGTGAAACTTTCACCGCAAAAAACCGTTTCCCGCCTGAAAGTGTTGCCGACATATACATTAGCCGGGCAATTTTGTTTTACCTTCGTCCGTTTCATTCTAGAACCAGTGGGGTACCCTTCAAGGGGTCGTGACCCCTGCAGGGCCAGCTTCGAAACTTGACCTTTCCAGAAACGAGGCGAATTAGACTGCGGGAACAGCTGAACGAATAACTTACATGCAGCCAATGACGGACTGTTCATGTGCAATGATAGATAGATTGACAAATTGCTTTACGCATAGTGGAATCGGTTACTATTATATGGATCGCATTTTGCAATAGAGAACCACTATTTCTGGCTCATTTTAGAAACAACATATGAATCATCAGTTTCCCTAAACCGAAATGTGCTTTTATAAAAGAGCCAGAAATTGTGATTCCTTATTGCAAAATGTAATCCATATATTGGGTATAATTGCGTCGCTCCTCTGACGTACAAACATAACTGCATATTGAAATGAGCCTTGGCGTTCGTGTAACTCCATACTTTCCATGATTCACGTGAAAATGGTGTCACAATCCAATCTTACGTCAGAGAAACGACAAATTGGACTGTGCAAAAACGCACCAATAAGTCATCGAACCGAGAAGAAGAGGTCTGAAAGAGTGCGGCGAGGCGTGATAATCGACTATCGATATTAACCTAATTGAAGCTACGGTAAAAAGTCGATTATTATGGTTTTCGTTTCGTTGATGATCGATCTTTTTTCATAGGTTAGAATGGCTTATCAATCGATACATCGCAAAGCGCGCCACGCCACTGTAAGACTGAAGTGTTATCCCTCTATAAGACTCAATGTTCAGGACGAGGTTTAATTAATTTCACGTCTATAATATTATTTCTCATCTTTGAATTTTTGACGGGAGAACATTTGCGCCCGGTCGAATTCAAAACTAATTCCGACTCATTTTTTCCAGAATGCGACTTGACGCGTTTCTGTTAAACTTGGCCCATGTTATAGTTATCATAATACGGATTTATTCATTACTTATTTTTTCAAAAAGAAAAACCTCCTCTCAAAGATTTGTCTCGGGTAAAATACGTTACACTCCCAGAGAGGGCGGGGTTCATGAACCCCACAAATCAGAGTTACTTAAATTTTGGCTTTTGTGGATTGCGGGTCTCTTTTCCGTAGATGGTCACTTAATGTGGTGCAATTGTAAGGATAGAAATCAAATTGAGTGAAAAATGGTTTTTTTCAGCTTTCCAAAAGCATGGTTACATCCCAATGAGCGATTACGTCATTCATCGTGGGCGTCAGGAATCGCGAATCTAGATACCCTTCCGCGATGATGCAATAACTTAGTCTGTTGAGAGTAGCCGTCCCGGTGAGCCACCCTTCCCGTTGCTTAGCTTAAGTTTTCGCACGCTTTAAGTTTTAGCTTAAGTTTTGCTTAAGTGTCTCCACGCGGATTCGAACCGATCCGAGTAAATGTTAACCGTGCATTTCAGGACAGGAACTTTATCGTTGGACAAGCTCTGTTACAATTATTCCGTGTACATCGGACTTTACTTGTTGCGTTAGCGTACCTAGTTCATATTCAAACCGAGAAGGCCTGTTGTAAGTAAATAATGGGTGTCAAATAATCTTTCGGATGATAAATATTTAAAAAAAGAAAAAAATTAAACGAACTTTTATCGATGTTATCTTTAATTTTAGAGAAAAAAGGTTATGAAAAATAATATATATTTCCTAAACCTTTTCATGTTTCACTGGGAAAATTATATTAATCATAATAATAAGACAAAATAAAGATCGTAAGTAAAAAGAAGTTGATGACAGTTTGTGTATACAAAAGCACAAAGATTAATAAAGTGAGCGTTGATGAATGGCATAAGAATTATTTCTCCGAGAAAAATTATAATGGTTATGATGAACATTGGCAATCGTTATCTGCCAATAGCAACAATTCATTCAAATTTCCGAAATTTAAAATTTTCTTCCTAAACTTTCCAAAAGCTTCCGTTTGAACCTCATTACTGTATCCCCTTTGCTAATTCATAAATTTATGAATTCCTGAATTTATCAATAGCATGAATTCTCAAGTATAGCCCTCTTCCGTTTTACTCTGTACTAATTCAATCTGTAGTCTCGTGCAATAAGTAATGGATAGTTTTCGACTCCTCTCAGAATGATATAACATGTAGAAAGCTACGGAGTTGCAAATCGAGCGATCTAACCTCCACCTACTTTGAGATGCAAGTATTCACACGGGTAAAAACCCTTGGGCTCCAAACCAGCAAGATCATTTTGCCGCCGCGACAAAGTGAAGTGCCGAGTAAACACCGGAGTCAGAGCCCTGCCAGGAAATATAATATCTTCAACGATAAGCCTCAACTGCGGTTGAATCAATTTTGACGGGTTTCACTCACTCGAATAGTTGTGGGTGGGCCTTAATTTTGTATATTTTGATCGAGAAACTCTAGTAGGTTTTGCCGAGCTTTTTCAACAATTTCCATTATTCCTACACAATAATAAGAAATCTAAAAAATGTGCATCTGGATATACACACGCTGTATAAAGGAACGTGAGTCCGAGGACACAGTGTATCATCGCCCCGGGAATCCTGAGGATATTCGGCCTCCAGGTAATAACATTTACCGTACTAATTTGAACTTTTTGGTTTTTTTAGTGGGTGTCTATGCGTATGTTTCAAATGCCACTTTCTGATTCTTTAAACAGATTAGGTACCTATCAACGAAAATGCATCGGTGAAGACTAGAAAAACGACATGACAGGAAACTTTAATGCCAGTTGGTTAATTGCAGGGGGTTGCTTACTCACATTGCAACACCACCTGACAGTTCATTTTTTATTCATTAATGGACGTGTGTTTTAAACAGAAAATTTTGGATTATTTTTCTAAAATCGCAAAAAATATCGAATATTTTCTTCAAATCACAAAGAAAATTCATAAAACTAATTCGAAAAAGAATTTGTGATCGTGCAGGGGTAAATGAATAAACCGTCCAATTGCATACGTTATAAGACTGATAGGTACGCAATACCAAAGGTTCTTCGGCTTTCTCCCCTCCATTATGTCAAATAAAAGAGTAATGGTCGTGATGCTGATGATTTTTGAATGGATGTTGACCCGAAAAGTCTTATTTCTGTCTAAAAAATGTCGGATTTTGTAAAACTAAGTTAATAAAAATCATGCGCTCTTATCTTACTTAAATTATGCCATTATTAGACACGATATGAATGTAAGTACTGCGCAACTTATATCCTTTTAGAAATATTAGGAAAACGAATCATACAGCGGTAAATGTAAGAATTAACCTCTAAAAAGACATGATGGTCTTGGAATAGCATTGGTTAATTATTGGCAAAAAAGCAGATGACATAATTTGCATAATCTAAATCTCATATGATCTGTGTCAAACAAACGTCTTAATATCTCGTTCAGGAGTTGATTTCCGAATTTACCATTTTATGAATCGTTCTCTATGTAAGCTTTTCGAGAGAAGACACGATACTTTTTTCCTAGTTCTGGACTTGTCCATTCTGCCGTGCTAAGGAAAAACGCCGTAAGAACATTCGAGAGTTACCAAATTTCCTTCGATAAAATGTTTATTTTTGAGGAAAATTATGAATATTTTTCCGAGGAATTTTCAAGAAATTTAGGCAAAATTGTGAATAAAATTATCTGAAAAATTGGAGGAAAAATATCTACAAATTTTCCCGAAAATTCGTGATTTACCAATGGAAATGTTGCAATGCCTGAAGGCTCATACGGTATTTTTCCTTAGCACGGAAGCATAGGCCTATTGTATCTAGTTTTTTTTAATCATTATCATCAAAAAGAATATTTGCGAGCTTTTTGAGCTTGCCAATTTCTCATGTCACACATAAAGTGCATAATAAGGGGCAATTCTCTTAAGTTTTTTCCTTTTTAACTGAGTCATTGGATTTTTACGACAAAAAAGCGATTGAGGAAATTTTATAGTTTGACGTAGGTGAGCCCGACTTGAATTAGTGCGGCGATGTTTTTCCAAATACTCAGTCTTTATATACTTACCAGCGTAAACTATCCCTCCCTCACTTTGAATGATTTGAACTTCTGATAGTGTCCCTTCATTTTACAAGAACCAAATTTAAAACGAATCACAATCGTAATAAAAATGATTACTTTCTGTGAAATTTGTTTAGGTGAATTGTATTTGTTCGCGGGAAATTTCATAAGAGGATAAAAATTTTGTTTGAGATATATTGCTCAAGAATGATGACAAATTGATCGAATGCGAGATGTTTATGAAGAAACCTTGCTTTTCAAGAATGACATATATTTGTAGTCAGGTGTGAAGTGGATACAACATAAAAGTGGATCACATCAATCAATCAATCAATCAAATCATATCGTTAGGAAGTTCAGTTCACTACTAGATTTTCATTTGCGACTTTCATTGTAAAACTTCGACTCACAGACCAACAATCTACGCAAAAGCTCGATTCTACAGCTAGGATTGCAAACAGTAGCGTGGCGTGCTTTGCGATATATCGATTGTTATGCCATTTAAACCTATGAAAAAACATCGATAAATAGAGTGTTTGCAGCGAACACCTAAATAATCGATCTTTTTCCATTGGTTTAAATGCCATAACAATCGATATATCGCAATTCACGCCACGCTACTGATTGCAAATTCATTTTTGTATTTCTTAGGACTGCCCTACAACTAATTTTTAAAGTGACTGTGGTAATAAAAAACTGGTTGATAATTTTTTACGTGATCATTTATTATTATTATTATTATTTTTTTTTTTTTTTTATTTTTTTTTTTAAAAAAAAAGAGGAATGGATATGGGCAGAATACTTTTACACAAGACCCCGAACCCGTAATGGGCCCATGCAAGAGGTACAGCCGTGCGAATAGACTTTTAACAGGTTAAATGACACGAAAATTACGATGGTCACATTAAAAAAGTCTGAAATACTTTCCTTACTGCGCAATTTGCGTTGTTAGGAACGCACTTTTCCAAATTTCCCGCGTCTGGGGGCAGTTTTCTGATCACCGGAAACGAGGAAACGGCGGGCTCGGTGATTTCCGGAAGATGCCGAGTCGTTGTTGTTGTTGTTATTTTTTCCTTCAGTTTGTTTACAAACCCAACGTGATCTCATATAGTGGTTCATAAACGCTGTATGCGGTAACCAAATCGATCAACTTTTTAATATCCAACGCAATCCTTCTACATTTCATTTCACGATATCACGAGCTCCGATTTTTAGTTTATGTTGTCAGTTTTAGTTGACCGGAAATAGCCGCGAGTTGCCGTTAATTGTTTCCGTTAGAAAATTGCCCCCAGAAGCGGGAAATTTGAAAAAACGCGTTCCTAACAATGCAAATTGCGCAGTAAGGAGTGTATTTCAGACTTTTTTAATGCGACCATCGTAATTTTCGTGTCATTTAACCTCTGAAGAGTCTATTCGCACGGCTGTATCTCTTGCATGCAACAGGCCCACTGTTCCTTGCCGAACCCGTAATTCCCTGGTCCATTCCAGATTATAATCTTTGCAATCGGTGAAAATGTAATCTTTATTCCCGTTTGTGGCATTGTGAAGGCCTAAAATACGGGAACCAATCAGAAATGGATTCACATTGTCTTGACTCTCAGTATGAAGGGACTCAAGCCTCTAGAAGAGGCCGTGGATTTATAACGTATGGAAATTGTGGGGGGGGGGATCTCGAACTGGTACCCTACGAGAGAGAAGAGAAGGAGCGGAGTTAGTGCCAAAATCAGGTTTCCAACAACCCTTCGCGAGATTGATTAATTTTATAGGGATAAAAAAAACATGTCAATGTCTATTTATTTTATTCAGAGTTTTCCTCTCAAAATTCAGGAAAAAACTCGATTTAAGCTTTTGTAATTTTTTAGAGGGGGCTTAAAGTTGCCTCGCGGGGGCCTTAGAAGGCTGTCTAAAAATTAAAGAACGTGTCTTTCAGAATTTCTGGAGTCTGGACGGGCCGCAGGAGATTCATTCGTTCAATCAATCCCATTCTCGAAAAATGTTAGGTATTGAGAAATGATACCCTGAATTTATGGAATATAGGAGGAAACTACATGACAAGCAGGAAGGTTTTTTTTTGTGGTTCTGTAGGCGATCAGCTTAAGTTCGTGATTAGCGATCTGAAGTCAAGTGTGGCGAACACTTTTATTCAAGCACTTGATAAAACAATGCCGACTTCTTTAAACGCCAGTGATTGTTTGTTTAGATGAGCGATAAGTTCGAAAGGTTTTTACGCACTGAAGAAGCACTTCATGTTGGAATCTGGGCTGAAATCTCACTTTACTCCACATTCATATCGACGGCTGAAGTCAGGAAATGCATATTTTCCGATAGCGACGTCACAAATCTCCGCTCATGTTTTTTTTCTTCTTTTGTGTCTTTTTTCTTCGCTTTCTTTTCGCTAAAACTTAAACAAAAGAACAACTCATCAACAATTTGGTTTGACATTTTCTATGAATTTTTTTTTTCACTCCTTAAAAAATATTCACAGAATCACTCATCCAAAAATATTCTAAGAAAATTTCAAGAAGTCGTTTTACGTGGTTGTCATTTAATACCTAAATTGTCAGAAAACAACGCACGATCGGAGATGATTACACGTCCAAGGACCCAGCTCAACAAAGCGCTCACACTCGTAGAGAAAAGGAATCAAAATTACTATCCTCTTAAATGAAATAAAACTGAAAGTGGTTCTACGTCAATATTAATCCCATCGTTTGCAAATTCCATGTAAAATTCTCGCGTGGCATTCGGCTGATTATAGCCGTAGGTATGAATTAATTCACCTCTGGCAAGGGTTAACACGAATCAGGATCATGCACGCTAAGATCGTTCTTTATGTGATCGCTTAGATAGATCTCCGTATTCCAGTATTTTACCCCGCAGGCAACGGTTGACGGCAACATCATTAGCGTTTGCAGAGTGTATAGGTATACATATCTATACTTAGAAGTCAGCGATCTTAAAAACCAAATTGCAAGGAGAAGACACACACACACACAAAAAGGATTTCTTTACTGAAACTTCATTACTGAGACTTTTCATTACTGTAGAGTAAATTTAAAGTATTGGAGTGGATTTGATAGAATGTATCCGATGTTTTGTAAAAAAATTGACAACCTGAATGAATCAATTTGAATCGCCTTTGATCTTCATTGATTTGATTTAACGCATATGTATATTTTGCCATTATACAAATCATTAATACACGGAATGGAGTGGTTTATGGACGGATCAATTCAGTATATTGATTTAGTTTTTAGCCAATGTGCAGCGGTTCACGGAGCGATAGTCGCGTAACATAAGCGTTGAAAGATCGTCCCCAGAGAATGAGGAGCCTAGAACAGCTAGTATGTATATGTATGTGTTTAATCAGGCAGAGTGAACATCATGAAACAAGGGGATTTACCTACCATATTGGGAATTTGGCACTCTTGAGAGTGCCCCCCAGGATGAATTTGACTTAATGTCAGGAATGTCGAAGCTGAGTTATTACGTTGATTGGAAACTAGCCATTAGGTAATGTTAAAAAAGTGATGTCGCATTTTTGCGGATAGGCTCGGTCTGCCAAATGGTTT